CGTACTACTCTACTCCAGGTGCGGTGATCTCTCATACAAATCAACCCTGTCCCCATCACGTGATATCAGATAAGGTATTGTACTTTACAGTCGTGAACCCGGCTTTTGTTGGCTTCTACTCGTAGCTTTATAGCGTTTCCGAACACGACCAATATTGCATGACATACGAAAAAGCGCCAAATCCACCTTTTTGTATGTCATGCAATATTGGTCGTGTTCGGAAACGCTATAAAGCTACGAGTACTAGCACATTCGCTATTAAACCAGGCTCGCCGTTGACCCAGAAATGACTGTAACGAGGACGGTCTCTCAACTTTGCGAAAACCCCAAATTCTAATTGTCTGGCCGATTGGGGAATCTGCACCGGTCAGGTTACAGGAAATTGAGCCGCAAAGATTCACGAGTTATTATTTATTGTTCCATAGATCTAAAAGATGTAAAACCTTAAAATATAAAACATGTAGAAGTGAGAGTCTACAAGTAATCCTAGACTCCGCAATGTGAATACGTATACATACATGTAGAGTACATATGTACTTTACATATACTCTACTATTACTAGCGTACTAGTAGAATCTTTGCTTGTACTGACCGAGCAAACTCCACGAATAGTAATATATGCAGAAAGTACGTACATGCAGTACTAGGGGTGTGCCAAATCGCGACCGCGAGTTGTACTTTGTATTATGGGTATTAAGTGTATGTAGAATGCCTTCAATGGGGGCCTTTGGCCCCCTCCACCTCCCCTTCTACAATTATGGGGACCTTCGGTCCGCTCATGATCGTCGTGCGCTCAGTATTTTGATGTGTCGTGCTTACTAAACTACCCTTTCACTGTCGACCAATCAGACTGTAAGGAGTTCAGAAAAAAATCGTTAATCCAGTATATAATAGAAAGATGTACCGCGCGTGAACACTCACTCGCGCAGACCTGTCAGTCGCGCACCGTAAAAAACGATCAACAGTCATTGGCTGAAAGGAATATACTAGGTTTCGCCCGGTATATAGCAGCTTGTTTTACCGCAAGCGAAGAATAATATGCGAAAAAGGCTCTGGCTCAATTTCCAATAACCTGATTGGTGCAGATTCCCAACGGCTAATTAGATAATTAGGGTTTTGAGTTGGGGTACCTAGGTACATAGGGCTACATGTAGTTCGCTTTGCCCTGCATAAAAGTACACATCGTAGAGGTTTTGCGTATTACGAGAAGGGTCTGAGGTGAGCACGGAAAGCAGAACTAAAGGTTTTGTCAAGATACAAAATACATGCACCTACGTCTTTATTTTCTGAATTAAATCAAGCATATGACACAAGGGCAAGCAGACAACGTGAGGTCGGCATCCACATTCATCATCGATTTGACAGGGAAATTTGTGCCATATCACGTGCTTAGGTGCCCCTTGTTGTTTATTGACGTCCGCCGAGCCTCATCTCAAAGAATAACCACAACTCCAACGTTCAACTATTCTGAGCTGCTGCTTACTCAAAATGGCAGCCACACCAGCAACATCACCGAATCCTGTTGTCTTTTTTGACATCGCCATTGGCGGTAAGCCTTCTCCCTAGTTCCTCCTTCTCCTTTTCTAGCTGTACACTCGAATTGACGAATACTAGGTGAGCCACTCGGTAGGATCAAGATGGAGCTATTCCAGGATATCGTTCCCAAGACTACAGAGAATTTCAGACAATTCTGTACAGGAGAAACTAAAGGCCGTGGAGGAAGACCCCTGGGGTACAAGGGCTCCAAGTTTCATCGTGTGGTAAGGAACCCGAATGCGATTGAGTACATATCTATATCTATCGAACAACACAAAAGCGCGAGAAACCACAGTGACCGTTGGGTTGGGCTAACGATTATAGATTAAAGACTTCATGTATGGATGATATAATTTCCCCTCATACGATATGGTTAGCAGGGCAAGGCGGGCTATGATACAGATATTCGCGTTCTTATTCTCAACCTACTAGCTATGCATATAGTAGCTACCACAATCGGCTCAGCCATGTCAATGATTGATTCTAACAATCACATGATTCGAACATTACACTGATATCTACATGTAGCTAACTGCCCACAGGATCCAAGGTGGAGATTTTCTGAACAATGATGGCTCCGGGGCTGCGTCGATCTACGGCTCGGATCGGTTTCCTGATGAGGGGTTTCAGGTTAAACATGATGTTCCTGGAATTCTTGCTATGGCAAAGTGCGTGGAAGAAACCCTCAAAACTCCAATAATCAACTAACACGGGCCACTTAGTTCTGGACCAAATACAAACGGCTGTCAGTTTTTTATAACATCCAAGCCAGCCCCGTTCTTGGATGGGAAATACGTTGCATTCGGGAAAGTTATCGATGGGATGGACGTGGTCCGGAAGGTAGAGAACGTTAGAGTGATATTGGACCGGCCTACGACGGATGTAGTGATTAGCCAGTGTGGAGAGATGTAAGGGATGCGCAGTATAAGCCAATAAGCCCTTGGATTTTAGGCCAGCCGTCAATTTTGAAAATACTAGTCGCGGGTAACGGTTACCTTAAAGCCTCTATCCCACTAGGAACAAGCTTTGACTCGTGAGCTAATCCCGAAAAGTATTAAGCCGTGATTCTAAAGTACTAAAGAAGATCTGCAGCCGGACCGACAAGGGCCAGGCTTGGCCCCGGTCCCAGTCGCAATAGCTGATGCGTGATCTAGTAAATAAGGAGCATGAATAAAAGATCTTTCGTGGTTTTAATATCAAAGGAGGATTTTAATTTGAATTGAATTAAGGATTTATCCAGATCTTGGTCGGCGCGGGCCTTTGGGCCTAATTTCGAGTTGCAAACCGCAGTAGAGAACTTCGAAGCCCTTCTCAATGCCCACAGTTCGCCCCTCTGTCTCTAAATCACATTCACTAGACTGGCTACATGTAGTTGAGGCTTGCCATGTACCTATTTCTCATTTTAATTATTCCCCTAAAGCTTGTAGGAGGCACATGGACTGGATGCCTCAATTCGAAGGTCTGAAGATTAGTTGTGTCTAAATTCAAATTAACATATAATTATAGCTAGCCTATACATAAAACTATGTATCGCGTAAGTGTCTTACTGCGACTGGCCGTTCTAAAGGAGTAAAGAAAAGACATGATTATGATGGTTTTCACCGAAAGTTTTACAACTAGCTTTCATAGTGGAGGTGAGTGCAGCATTATTAAATTTTAGAGTCTACAAACATATAGTTTAACAGAAATCAATTACATATTACCAACAATAGGAGGAGCTAAGCCAAAATCCCGTGATATCTGATTGGTCTTTGTTTCATGAGGGATCACTCGGTGTGATGCACATGTGATATACTCCGAGTTTTTTTTTTTTTTTTTTTTTGTTTAATTCATTATAAATTAATATGCTTCGAGTGATCGATAACTGGATGCTGTTATAGTTAGATTTGTTAGTTTATTTATTAGGGGTATTCACTTCTAGAAATATGTGTCTTTATAACGCTGCATTACAACGCCGCTTATATATATATGGCACTGAAATTTTCAAAAATCTGAATACCTCTGGAGTGCACATGCCATATTGTGGGAGATAATTCGTTACCATATTACCTTAAGATTTATACTTAGTATACCAGTCAACAATCTTAGCATTTTCTCTACCTAATAATATTGCAATCCTATCCGGGTATCTTTGTAATATTAGGATAGTTTTATTTCAGAGCATGTATACATACATGTAGTCAATGCCATGCAACAGATCGATATATCAATTGATCATATACTACAGTATTATATATATCACGTCCGTCCAAACAGGATATGATCTTGATCATTCGCCTCTCATTAGATAACCCCATCCCGAGATCCCATCTAGATGGCGATGATATGATTGGATGCATAGGGTGGATTATGTAGAATATATCTTTTTTAACAAAGTCGGGCCAACTTATAAAGGCACATATTTCTAGAAGTGGATACCGGGGCTAGTGATCGGCCAAGAGCAATATTATGGAAGTTAAACTCTATAGGCGAGTTTCTTAATATCAACGTTGTTGGCCGGCTGTTGTGAACTATCTCTTCTTCGTCGACGATACCAACAGGAGCGTGTATTGATGATGATGTAGACTAGAAGAAAACAAAAGCTAGCTAGACGAAGTCCATGATTGTACATAATTTCACGAACGCTAACGCTATGTTTTCCTTCGGGCGTCTAATTCGCGCGTTTAAACTGTATTACAAATTCTGTGCGACTATCTTGCTTAATAACGTTCACTACTAGTAGTAGTAAAGTTTTGAACTGGGCGCCCAGTTCGTGAACTGGAAAGTTTCGTCTGCTATATAATTCTCAGCCTTTCCAGCAGAAAGGCGTTGGCCCTAGTTAATTAGCAATTTGTTAAAGAAACATTTATTTACCTACGTAGCCCCAGGACAGTGGTATATATATCAAGGGCAAGGGCATATAATTATATAAATGTAGGTAGAATGTGTTCTTTGAGTTTCTTAGCTGTTAGGTGATGGCTTTTGGGAGTTAATTAGTCGAGTTTGGTACATCTGGACAGAAGATCAGTGACCGTTTGTCAAATCTCAGGAAGCATTGGTGAATAGGCACAGAACGGCCTGTTGGCCAACGTGATATACTCGTGACTGGGACGGAACATATACACGTAAAACCTGATTTACTGTCCCAACAAACTTTTTAAAAAACTAACGCGTCCAAAATAGATACTTAAAGGATGCAGCGCCCTCAAACGACGTTCTTATATTATTAGGAAATCTAATATAACCGGGGCTTTATTGATCAAGAACTCTGTTGTGTCAATGATTAAGTTGCCTTTTTTTTTAATAAGATAAGTAGTACTAGCGTTGAGCTTTGGATACCTATCATAGCAAACTACATTGAGACGGGATATAATATTCATAATACACAATACAGCTTCTGAAGGGGGTTCCACCACCTTCCCGATCAGAAAATCGCCAGCCAAATCTCAGTACCTGAAACACCTTTTCACTCGTATTTCTGGTTTTCATTCTAGCAACTGAGGTCCTGACTCGCTAAATTGCAGCGGGAAAAGCAGTCAGGAAAAGAGACAAAATACACAAAAAAGCAAAATATTCCAACGATGTTTCCCAAACAAGCCATTCCTAACATCAAACGCAAAGAAAAACGAAGAAACTTAAGAATTATAGATCCATCTTTAAACTTACAAAAGTCCTGGAAAAACTAATTATGTTTAGCCGGCACAACACCAGCACTCAACACACTCGGTAGCGGTTCATCCCCAATGCCGTATAGCAGGTTGATAGCGGCAATAAGAACGAAGGTAATGACAATGCCAAACACCAAAAACATATTGAATGGAACACTGATATCCTTTTTCTGGCATGCAGCTCCTGCCCATGTAGTTGTTTTAACACCATCTTTGCGAACAGGTGGATTACATGAACAAGTCCAGCAAGAATTGGAACCCGCTTGAATGGCCTTAGTACAGGTACCACGACCAGAGCAGTTGGCGGTAGACGATTCACAGGCATCTTTTGTAGAATGGCAGCGCGCAATGAGGCCAGAACCAAGAATTTGTTTTGCTGAATTGGGTGTGGTGTCGAAGTTAGAGTCGAGACTGGAGCTAGAGCTTGGTGAGGGTTGGATGATGGAAAGAGGCTTCTCCTCCCGTTTAGCGTGTGAAGCTTCACTAGATTGGGGTAGGAGGAGAATAGTGCTTTTTATGGATGATGGAGTGTGTCGGAGTAGGTAACTATAGAGTGCCTCTGCTACCTTAGCCTCGGCGGATTTGGTACCCTTTGCAGCGATAAAGGCATCCAACTGGGGAGCATGGCAGTAAGCCATTCCATCTTCGGGCAAGCCAGGAAGAACAACCTCCATAAACCTTCGGATCATAGTAAATTCGGCAAGAAACCTTGATTGAGACTCTTCAGTCGGGTCGAGAGTCGATGTAAGTTGCTGAAGGTCTTCAGGTAGTCTTGTTGGAAAACCATCTTTGTTGAGCACAGCTTCGAACCTTGCAAGTTCCTGGGAAAAAGAACAGTTTGAGTTAATTACGCATAAAAGGATAATTAATGTGTCCATAGTTTTACCTCTAGTTTGGGAATAGATACACACAGACCGTCTGAGAAAGTATTTTTGTGAAGCCCAGAAAGCTCGGCCTTTTCGGTAGCAAGGCATGAGAGTAGATTCGCGACGGATGAGGCTGTAGGTGTGTCTTCATTTGGGTTTGATGAGCCGTCAATAATAATGGTTGAAGATAGTTCAGGGTCCACTATACGACAAAATTGTCAGATATGATATAAAAATCGTCCTAAACCGCGCTAAAAGTCGCATATCCCGTTATGAATGTGTGATCGCGTACATTGATTGTCTATCATGCCTGCCAATGAAAGAATAAAGTTCCCTTTCCGTGGGCTTTCTATGAACATGCCCGTCGCCTCTCTTTCTTCAAAGAGAGACATATCTGGGTATGTCTTACGAACGTTTGTCCCTTGGAGGTTCAATTCATGGAATCTAGAGACACCTAGACGCTCCACTAATAGGAGTCGTGTCTCTTGAGGCGATAGGTGGGCGGCGACGTTATTTAACTTGGATGCAGCAAGAGTTACAAGACTGGAAGCCGCGAGACCTGTAAGAAGCCACATTTTCGTTGGTGGTAATATTAAGTCAATCAAAAGCAGGCCTAGGGAGTAAAGGTGTTAGAGTATTGATGATGAGGGAATAGAACATCATCTTGGTGTTGAAGGTTGCGGCTCCCTTAAGCAACACTGTACCCGCGTATACGCATACTCGGCGCACTCCTAATTACATTAGTGGGACTTGTGAACTCTGCGCCCTGCCTTGTAATAATTTCTTCCCCACCTTCTACGCAATATCGCCACTCATTTCTTTCGACAGTCATCCCAACTGCATATTTTTCCCTGGATTTGTGGGTTCGGGGAGGTCTATTATTGATTTCTATCGGCGACTTCAAATCGCTCGTTGGGCACTTATTCCGGCGGCATACGCCGCTTCATCAGGCCGTCATGTTCAGAAACATTAGGAATTTCCTTTCCCACTCTCGGATTCCAGTCAGAATCTCCGCGCAGTCGGATAAATATAAGCTCTACCGGGTTCGGTTCGTTCCCCAAGACAAGAGATTTAACGGCCTCTTTCGGGGTTTACTACTCTTGAGCGGCTGTCATATTGCGGCAAACACCTTATTACAAACATTCGGTAGTGGATGGGAAGAACCGTTATTTATACCTCTAGGATTTTTAGAGGAGGGACCTAGGAGGAGATATGAACTTACGGATCCCGAGTTTCAGGCATTTTTAAAATTCAACAAAGATACAAAAAAGGCACTAGCTGCCAGAGGTAAGTGCCCACTTCCCGTTTTGGAGGTCGAGCTCTATGTTGAGTCAAGTTCTTTAGCCAGCTAACCCGGGGTACAGCAAAGGTAATAGAAATCCTAGTGAAGAATCTTGAAGCCAATAATAGGTCCAAATTTGGAGGCGATGTGAAAGCCGAAGGATCGATACTATATTATCACTACCCGTGAGCCATACAGTCTCCTCCTATTTCCTCAGATTTGAACTTACACGAATCAATTGCTAGAATTGGCCCGCCCCCGGAATACATACGGAAAGGATTACTTATATCACCCGCAGAGCGAGATTCTTCGGACCAAAGCGAAGGGGCGTCACATCCCCTCCGCCTTTCAAATTTAAAATATGAATGGGTATCGCGCCCCGTTCCCCAAAACACAATGCACCGTCTCTCCACTACCCTTTACCCCTCATGGGTATTCAACTCTCTCTATCTTTCCGCACAGGCCACATTAGGCTGGCTACAAACTCTAAAAGCCAGTGGGAAAACAGTGGATTCAATGGGCGATTTGGTGGTAATGGGTACGACCACTGTCAAACAAAGCCTGGGTGTTACCCACAGGATTCTCCAGAGAACATTGAAACCGCCACCCCCACCGAGAGGCCATGTTGTGATTGATGGGATTGTGCAGGTCTCCGGCAACAATTTGGTGGTGGGTATAGACATCATTGCTAGCTTTGACCCGGAGACCTTGGGGAGCTTGGTATTCCACAAGACGCATATTCGATACGTAGGGAAAAAAAGAAGGCAGCTAAAGTCTGTTACGCCGAAGATCCCACCGCAATTTCACCCTCTTGGTGGAAAGACGACCCTAGTGGAGGATCCGACTTCTAAGGGAACTGTTCAGGAGGCTATTCAGTCCTCAGAAGAAATTCGGAGGAGAACGGTTGAGCAACAGCGGAACTTTATCGATAAACAGGTTGGCGGGGTAAAGGCAGTTGATCAGAAGCGCGTTATCCAGGAACCCAAAGTTCAGGATAAAGGGCCCGAATCTGTGCCTGAAATAGGCGTAAAACCTATAGTACGAATGCTCAAGGGAAAACGCGGAGAATCAATCCCAGATATACCACCGGGCGGGGGCGCAAGCGAAAGAGGAGACGATAAAAAACAAGAGACAGATGTTGACGATGCTACTTCATCAAAACCATAGTGCGAAGGAGGCGAAGAGTTGCGACTGATAGCATGACGATTTGTTTGGGTCAGCTACATTTTCTGTAGAAGAGAGCAAATATCCACACAACGGAGTCCCTGGCGCGAACTTTTTTTCTGCCGGGCAACTATAGGTTTTACTTTGATACCTTTTCTGCTATGGACTTTGCAGTTCTCGTATATTATACAGAATGGTGTCCCTTCTTTCCTATGGATGGGTTTTTCGGTTTCTATCGTTAATCGTCCTCAGATTTTCCTCCACTTCTTTTCATTACTACTTCTAGGGACTGTGCTCCATCTTTTCTGTTATTTTATATCTTTGTAATAAAGATAGGTGTAGATTCATGTGTGTGGACGTGTTTATGAGAAAACGAAGTGTTTGTAAATAGTACATGTAGCAATCCTTGAGTGATGAATGTCTTAGTCAAGCCTTTCTAATCCCTGTTCGTGTGGATCGTGGCTTATGCAGTTATTATGGTCAATGACTTGGGGCCTTGTTTCATTGCTTTGGATATTTCGTCCAATAACGACATACATGTAGTGTGTATGTGCGCACGTAGAGTAATGCGGTATAATATTCACTAGCTTAGCTAGAGTTAATGGATTGCAAATTCTTCCATATCAATTGCACCATGTTTGGTGCAGGTTAGTGCGACCCCGATTTGTATATATATTATATCTACTATACTTGCTAGAAATCCCGCGATACTGCAGATAAATGTTCCTCACCATGACATTGTTCAAACTTCCATCCTGGCTTCCCAGCACTTTCGTGTGCCGAAACCTTGACATGTAATATAAACGCAATTGAAGAGAAAATGAAAGACATCCAAGTACAGCTGTACATTTTAACCCCCAACTCAGCGTAGACTTTAAGGTCAGGTGTTGATCCAAGCCAGAGCCAGAACTTTATGAATAATTGACAGGAGGTGATCGCTGAAATCAATGTGAAGCAAGCTGCACATAACGCAAAGACAGATGTCAAGATGTAATTGCGAGAAACCATGACAGAGAGCCAGTCTGAGCGGTAGTTATGATATGTGGTCAGACTGATGGACTTTACAATCTGGAGAATCTGACTGAGATCTTTAGAGACTTACCCATTACAAGAGACATAAGACTGAATACTCCCCCAAGAACAAAGCACACATACATACATTTGCTTGGTCGTTGTGCGTTTTTAAGGGCCTTAGCCATTCCCTTGGGTTCTGTAAATATCGGGCAGGATTGACGTATTAACGACACACCACGCTACCTTAACAACTTCTTCTTCTTCTCAAGCTTGGGAAGTCAAAAACTTGCCATATTTAGCAGGCACAGCCTTCTTTAACATACTCTCCACCGGGTTGAAATAGTGCGCGGGAGTCGGTGTTGAACAATATGTAATCCCAATCCCATCAAATCCCTCGCAATAGTTCCACAAACCAACCTGGTAAAAGTGTGGCATCTGGGCTGCATTAATATTCCCAATTCCATCCAAGAATACATCCTTATATAGCGGGTTGTGTTTCGGAAACGGAGAATTGGATTTGACCCTCATGAACCAGATATCGTCCAGTACATTATTGACGTGTGTGCTCCCTAGGAGCACCATGACGAGCGAGCCAAGGGCAACGATGCTACAGAATTCGGCTGCGACCGTCATTTGCTTTCTGCGCCGGATAGATTTTTCTTTGGCGGTGCGTACGGCTCGATTAATCTCTTCCTCTTCTCCTGACTGGACTTGAGGGTACATATCGTAGTGATTCATAATTGTAGCTTGCGGTGCGGTGGTGGGCTGAATTCTCAGAATTCTCGTGATCTGCCTCTTATCGCAAATATGTTTATGTGGAGAAGAATATAGATGGACCATGTGGCAGTACTGCACAATGCGGGGAGCTACCTAGACCCCCGTTCATTAATTTGAAGTTATGATTGAGTACGTTAGGTACATGCATTTACCGAAGGCTCTAGGTGCCACGGACTCAGCGAGGCAGTGCTGGTCATTCGTGTGGTGCAATTGATTGCTTCTGTTTCCGAGGACATTAGTAGATACATGTACGTATTTATCTTTTCGTGTGTTTTCGAGGACGCTATCGAGTGCACTAAACCCAAAATATGGTATGTATCACGAGGGTAGACCCCCCAAAATCGCTAGCTGCCAATAAGCTAGCCAAGTCCGAACACTCTATTATCAAAATAATACTTCTATATACCTCCTAACCAAATCATACTCCGTGATTAGTGCCAAACTAGGCTCTTGAGAGTACCAAGTCTCAGTGTCGAAGTGCCAAATCGAAATTCATAAAGTGTGGTATGCGGTAGTGAAGCACTGAATCAGAATTGATGAAGTATTATTTTGAGAAGGCTATGCGCTGGATACTTAAGGCTCCGTGCCGATATGGGATCACATGATTCATAGAATCGTCAGCCAAATGTACCAATTACATGTAATCGCTAAATAATTATTGAACTAAACTTATGTAGGAAACTTTATACAATTTTACAGGCGACCCCGGGCGCCCTCTGGAGCTCTGTCTCCCAAAGGAAGGGAGCGATAGAAAAAGAAACCAGGCTAACCCTCTCAAACCCTATTCCGTAACTCCCCCAGTTTTTATAGTGCAAAACCCGGGGTCCAGTTTTCGCCAATTCTTTTAACCTCTTCAATAAACCGTTTACTGGTTATCGGTTTCGCCTCATCGTTCTCGTAGAACGGATTACAAACGAGCTGGATGTACGCTGTCTGCAATGCCCGGAATACCTATTTTATCAAATTAGTCCCCCAAAATCCTCCTCATACCAAGAACTTTTCTTGGAGAGGGTAACACACCGGTTTAAGCTCCCCATCCTTCATTGCTGGTGTTCCAGCCCCCCCGCCTCCCACATCTACCACAACAATAATCTTAACCCCCGTATTTGTCAACCATCCATATGCTGCAAGACCTTCGTCGACACTATAAAGTAGTCCGAAGTCGCTATCACCATTGCTCTTGAGTGGTAATCGAGCTTGGAATACATCGAGGGTTGCATGGGTAAGAAAATGATATTTGAGGGTATTTGAAGTCGCGGGGAAAGGTGAAAGATGGAGCGGTGAGTTCTGAGTAACGAGAATGTTAGTGAGTATGGGGAGATAAGATAAACCAATGACAGCTGCATACGTTCTTTCCGATGATGGCAATACAGGCAATCCGTGTGGAAGACATGGTCAGTGGTTGTTTTGGGGAGCTTTCCAATATGTGAGCTAGCTTACTTGGAGTGAGGTTAGACGGGTGCGGAAAAACGTTTTTCCGACTCAGGGTAACGCTGCGCTAACACACCACACCTAAATACTAGTACAATACATGTACTATATATAGCATGCACGTTTAAACGAAGCCTCTGAACTACCGCGGGTGCATCACCAGGACGATTCAGCGCTGCATTACAAGATTATGGTGTAGGTATGTAAATACTAGAGGAATCATTATCACTTATTGTAGTTAACCATGTACCGGGTGTTGAGGGTAAGTGATCAGAATCTGATCAGAATCTGATAAGTGAATGTTGCGGTGAATAGGTGTATTTGTCTTATCAGATTCTGATCACTTTTCGCTACACCCTAGTACAGTCGAATCTCCCTATAAATGTACGCTCGGGGCCGGAAATCGGTACCCTTATATTAAGGGTCGGTTTGTGCCTAATAAGGACCGAGAGGTCGTATCCTTATAGGGCGAGTATTCTTATTACATACAATACGTACATACATGCACATGTATGTACTAGGGTGTAGCGAAAAGTGATCAGAATCTGATAAGACAAATACACCTATTCACCGTAACATTCACTTATCAGATTCTGATCACTTACCCTCAACACCCGGTACCTACTCTACCCTTATAGGGAGATTCGACTGGGTACATACATACATGTAATGTATATTTATCTATGTGTAAGTGTAAGTCGAGTATCGAGTGATAAACCATGATATAAAGAAATTGATCGGCCCAACTTTGCTTTTTTCACGGTTCTCGTAGTTTGGTTTGGTGCATAATACCAAAGGCCATCAATAGGTAAAATTACTATATGCAATCCCAGAAGCGTACCGTAACGCTTCGACCCCAAAAGACAAAGGAAGGGGAATGTTTCTACTACAGGGTAAGAAATTATGCGTTGAAAGCATGTTGTAAAGAAAATAAACACCAGATAAATGGGTTTAATTTTGACCCCCCCCAACCTCCCCCAAAACCCCCCTTGCGTCATCTCAAACGAGCGAGAAGGTGAAGTATTTCACCGGGGAATCCACAGCGCAAAGCTAAAAATCTTACAGATAGAGAGAACCTGCGTTTACGATATCTAATACACGGTTAGTTATTACTCCACACTATTGTGGTTGGACAGAGCGAGTGTATACCTCTCTTAACTTTTTCAAGCGATTGATCAAACTTCTCTTCCAATTCAGTGCTGCCCATAACTTTCGCTGCTAGGCTCATCTGCCTCAGTAATTCCTCTAGGCGCCTAAACATGCGAATTAAGCTTCCTTCGTATACATCTGTCATTTTGCAGATGGAAGCGAACGAAGCTCCTTTCGACCAGGTATAAACAACTTCCATCAGTTGTGGTTTGAACTTTTGAACATATTCGTCCTCCGAAACTGGGAGCTTGCTCTCTGCTGAGATCTTAGCAATGAGCCGGGCTTGCGACTGTAGCTCTTGAAACGGTTTTGCGAGGTCATCTTGGAGTTTCGCATCAGTTTTGCTGTTTTCTTCAAAAACAAAGCAACTTAGGAGGGCTGCGATTTGCTCAGGTGTAAGCTCGTTAAAAGTGCGGTTAAAGAGAAGTTCAGCAAGGAGTAGCTCATCTCCTGTACTGATCTCACAAGCTACTCTCGCTTTCATCTGAATGACATCGTCCCCGGCGATGAATCCAAGACGCCTCAATACACGTTTACGACATTTTAATTCGTCTAGTTGCATGATTGAGTGGGCGATCGTGATCTTTTTCTTTGTCGCTCTGATCTTGTCTTGGATTTCAACCTTCAAGCTGTAGCGGTTATAAAGATCCTCAAGGCGTGGAGAGTTATGCAAAGGATTCCCCAATAACCGCGATTCGAGAACTTCGATTTTCTAAATTCAAGATCAGATATAGGATCGGAATATCATGGTGGCAGATTACATACTCGAAGAAGATTCTTGAAAGACTCATCTGTGATACCCATATTCTCAATAGGATCAAGCACAGATATACCATCGCCAAAGCGTCTCTTCACTTCATCGATGTTCTTTCTTGCAGTATTCCGCTGGTCTTGTGACTTCATGTCCTTGGGCAGAAAAATACGGATACCTGCAATTCCTTCGAGACAGGAAAGTAACACAGGAACAACCTCCATCTTCCCACTTTCACCAGGTCCAGGGGGCTTGACGCCAGGGGGGAGATCTAAGCCTGGTCGGGCAGATGTTGGTGCATCAGCTGCGAGGCATAGTAGGACATCAACGACATATGATTCTTGAGGTGGATAATCTTCAGTTTGAGACTATGCAGAGTATCATTATTATTAGAGACGGTGACAAATTTTTAAAGATTGGCTGTTTACCTTGCCACGGATCCTCTTGGAATAATTAACCACAGCACCCCATCCAAAGTCATGGTTTTGGTATTTGACCTTGACTAATCTCCCAGGCTGCATGAATTGCAGGCAGTAGTTAGGGTGGTTAATAACGTCTCGCATGTCTTTAGCGTATGTATCGAGCTTTTGTCGTAGATCGTAATACTCTCGTACAACGCTCTCATCCTCGATAATCATGTTTAATTTCTCATTTTCAAAGTCGCCAAGTTCTAAAACGAGCAGATGATTAGAGCCTCTATATTTATGAAGATGGCACTGGGGACCTACCCTTTTCTAAGCCCGAAACACCGGCGGTATTTTGGAACTGAAAAAAACATTTCTCCAACATATATTCAGGCGAGATGCCCTCGACTCTCATCAAATTCAGGATCATATTATATCCGAGATAGAAGGCTGAGTTGAGGCGATCCTGTTCTCCTTTGACAATTTCGCGGGCAACATGAGGTTCCATTTTCTCATCAATCATAAGAATAACAATACCACGATCATCAAGTCCGCGACGACCGGCACGGCCCGACATTTGAACAAACTCTGAAGGGGACACCCATCTCTGCTCTTTCCCATCGAACTTGCGTACACTCGTAAAGACTACCGTCTTTGCAGGCATGTTCAATCCAATAGAAAAGGTTTCGGTGGCAAACAGCACCTTGATAAGCCCTTCTTGAAAGAGAATCTCAATGACCTCCTTTAATATGGGAAGTAATCCGGAATGATGTATACCAATACCACGGCGGAGAAGTGGTAAAATGTGTTGAATCTGTGGAAGACCCCGATCCTCCTCCGATAACGAACTAATTGCGTTTCCGAACACTTTACCAACCATGTCTTTTTCAGCTTCGTCGTTAAAGGCAAGTTGACTCATCTGGAGCGCCAGGCTTTCGCACTCTCGTTTACTGAAGGAAAAGACGATAACTGGGTTATAATTCTTGACCATAATCATCTTAACAATTTTGTAAATATCTGAGGGGCCGCCTTTAATGGTGTCAGAAAGATTCTCTCGGTGATGGGGGTATAATCATACTCTTGTTCCCTCCGGTTTTCGTTGCCCATTTTTTCTTCCCGTGACCCCTGCGACCATTGATATCTGCCGGATCATCACCTTGTTTGTCCGCTAACGAACCCATAGCTTTTTGGAAATTGTCTTCTCGGAATACACCCTTCTCATCAACCACAAGGTGAATACCATCCGCGCCGGCCGGGAAGAAATAATTTTGTAATGGCGTGGGTCTGAAGTCTGTATAGACAACATGACACGGCTGATTATGTGTCTTGCAGATCCATTCGGCGAATTGCATGGCATTTGGAATGGTAGCAGACAAAAATACGTAGCGAACCTTGTCTGGTAAGAGAATGATTGTTTCCTCCCAAACAACACCACGAGCTACGATAGATTAACAACCGGTCAAATATAGAGATTTAAGCAATTACTCACCTTTATCTCTCATATAATGGATTTCGTCGAAAATGACCCATTGAACCTCTCTCATCACTTCAGAACCCCTGTATAACATCGACCGCAAAATCTATATGAGATTTAGAAAAATACCTGAAGACTATACGGATACCGTTGTAAACATGACATACCTCAGTTGTCATCACAAGACATGTCGCCGAAGGATTTATGGTAGTATCACCAGTCATTAATCCAACATCACCAAACTCTGCAGAGAATTCTCGGTATTTTTGGTTACTGAGCGCTTTTATAGGACTGGTGTAGATGACTCTTTGGTTCTCTCGTAAACTCTGCGCAATGGCGTACTCTGCAACGACTGTCTTTCCCGCACTCGTATGTGCACTGACCAAAACACTTTCTCCACGCTCAATCGCCGCTACAGAGGTTTTCTGGAATGGATCCAATTCGAACTCATATTTCCGGGCTGGAGGATCAACAAATTTGTGATTCTCAATAGGTAAATACTTGTAGTCTGTTGGTAATGAGACTTGGTGTCGGACCTGATGTGGGATGATGATAGACTGTCCCTCGATCTCTTGAGAGCCCAATCCGCTGGAAGCTGGTACTTCCCTCACCGACTCGATTTCGAAAGCGTCAGTTGTAATAGGATCTCCTTCTCGTCGCTGCCTTTTCGCTGCCGCACCACTTCCGTTTTCTGTATCTACTAGCATAGGTTCCGTTACTGATCCTGCATCAGAATCATCTTTCTCCGGCGGTCGTGCACTTCCATTGGCGTATCTCTTTTTAAAACGATCTTTTCTAGGTTTTTTGAGGAGGTCTGCAGAATCATTGTCGAAAACGTCAAATAGTTCGTCACCGCCAAACATGACTACGAAGTGGTAGTGATATGAATGGTGAATGGAAAAGAAAGAATTTGTGGTGCAGAGAGAGAGCTTAGAAGTTATCGAAAACACAAAGCGTTGAAGGGTAGGCGGCGGCTTTGGGAATATGTACGGGTACACGCTAGGGTGCTCTTTTTTCTCCTTCTTGGCGCTGTGCTAAGAAGAAGCTCTGGGAGGGTCACTTATCGCTTGCGATCCTAACAGATGAAAACCGGGGGGAACGGCAGGTCACAGATGACAAACGGGGTCTGAGAAAGACTAGCTTTTTGGAAGATCACAGATTCACGTTTTGAGTGGCTGTGAGTGGTTACTATCCGCCTCACTTCCACAGCCGCATGAAGGTTTGCTGCCTACGCACAGACCTCTTAGTTCAGTGAAAATCGGGCTTTCGGTTATCGGAGTTCGGCATTACACGCTGCGTGGGGGCAGTTTATATCACGTTAAACAAATTGACGTCCAATAAGTCGAACCACCCTCACTCCCTCGTGGATTGTATCAGTCAGTCGATCAATCCTCTTTTCCCACCACCTTTTCTCGTCAGAACTGCTTACTGCATACATCTCCTCTCAACTGTAAGTGTATTGCCAGTTTACTTCTCTGTGATTTTATGCACTTAAGTGCTCTTGTCCATCGGTTCATCGATCATGCTGTTCCTGTCTGTGGCTAACCCCGCTGACTGTCAATTGGGTGCTTTAGATCAATCACTTCACAAAGTACGTGTGCACGAACCTCTCCATGACGACTCCCTGCAACGCATCCTTCCTGCCATTTCTCGATTGCTTACCTGTACTGGACTCAAACTTTTCAGATGATTTCTAGAATTGCTTTCCGCGCTGCCTCTCAGGCACCTCTGATCGCCCGCCGCGGCCTGCACGCCACCCCAGCTCGTATGGGGGGTTACCATTACCCCGAGGGCCCTAGGAGCAACCTGCCCTTTAACCCACTGACCCGCTTTTTCTGGTTGAGATACCTTTCGTACTGCGGTTAGTCACCTTAATTGTTCGATGATCGATCTTTACATTGCTGATACATTTGCAGTTGTTGGCTTCGGGTTTCCCTTTGGAGTTGCTGTCTGGCAAACCACCAAGAACCAATAGATTTGGCCGCCGGTGTCTAGATGCAATATATCCAATTTGTATTAGGTACCCGCTAGGCTGCGGGTCAAATGCAAGAAAGCACTTTCTTTATTACATACATGTTGGGAATTGCATAGTAGAGTAGAATCGAGTCGTTTTTTTCTGTACAGTTTCTCGCAGGTGCAATGTGTGTCAGGGGAGCGAGGTGAATGCAGCCGGAACTGGAGGCGGCCCGTCGCTGGATCTCCCGCCTTCCCGGTTTATGGAACTTAAGATTCTATTTGCTTTTTCAACCACCCAGATTATCTCTGTTAGACTAATCTAAACTGTATCCTCAGTTGATCGTAGTCTCATGGTATTACATATGGGTTGGTTTTACGGTTGCCACGAATGTAAAGTAATTTCTAAACACACTGGTTGTAAATTTGGGATATCAGCACAATTAGAGAATCATATAAAGAAGCTCCAGAGTCCGAAACCTTTTCCTCACATGTTCATTACATGATTACTCAATTATTACCAGCTACCGAGCACTTTCTACTAGTAGAGAGGTATTGGGTGCGGGTATAGGGGTTAGGTGAACCCTAGAGACGAGAGCCCTACATGGGCGATCGATATTTTTCTTTTGCTGTGACCGGGTCACGGAGCGTATTTTTTGTGTTGGTGCGGCTCTGGATTCCATGGCGGGGTATTTGGGTTTTGGGCGTTGCCCCTCCCTCAGTGACGTGACGACACGCAGAATACAACAGACAGCACAGCTGCAACCTTCAAGGTTCGATCTCCCTTCTACTCCAAGATGCGCAACCTCCTCGCGATCGAGCGCTCTGTTGTCGGCGTCTCCTCCACCGAGGTGCCTGACCTGCCTCTCACCGCAGTAGCCTGGGACTCCAGCGCCGACTCTCTCATATGCACTCATGGCCCTTGTGAAGCAGAAGCTCTAATCGAGCTGAAACGTGTTACCGTACGATTCGATTCGATCCAGGAACTCATTATTTTTTCTCTAAATTTTTTTTTTGTTCGTATTGCAGAAAGGGAAGTCACGATACTGACTACTACGGGTGAGTAGAAAAACGGTCAGGCGGTCAATATTGCGTCGTGGGATGCACCCTCCCCATCGCCTACCCTGCCTTGCGATCGCGTTCTCGACCTGCATTACTTCAGCGACACGTTTTCCACCTGCGTAGTCCTTTCTGGTGGGGATATTGTGATCGTCAAGGAGGACACTCTGCCGGGTGAAAACAAAATCGAGATAGTTGGATCTGTCGATGAAGGGATCACAGCTGCAGCCTGGTCCTCTGATGAGGAAGTTCTTGCCATCACAACTGGAGCCTCGACGTTTCTTTTGATGACACGAGATTTTGAGCCCATCAACGACGTTACTCTTTCGCCAAACGATCTGAATGCTTCAAAACATGTATCCGTAGGGTGGGGTAAGTCAGAAACACAATTCAAGGGGAAGCGGGCAAAGGCAATGAAAGATCCCACAGTGCCAGAAAAGTTCGACGAGGGCGTCTTAAGTCCACTCGACGATGGCGTTACTAGAATTAGCTGGAGAGGTGACGGCGCATATCTAGCGATATCGTCCGTGGAGGCATCTCAGAGGAGACTTATACGAGTGTATAGTAGGGACGGCTCACTCGATGGCGTGAGTGAGCCTGTCGATAACTTAGAAGGTCCCCTGAGTTGGCGGCCTGCTGGCAACCTCATGGCAGGTATTCAGCGGTTCCCCGACAGGCTGGATGTGGTATTTTTCGAGCGTAATGGACTTCGTCATGGGGAGTTCACACTACGCATCCCCTCGGAAATGGTGAAAGAAGAAAGGGTCTTAGAATTGTTGTGGAACGGTGATTCGTCTGTGCTGGCGATCTGTTTCAAGGATAAGGTACAATTATGGAGTACGGGCAATTACCATTGGTATCTCAAGCAAGAGTTACTATTTCCAGATGAGTTGCAAGTAGGGCTGCAGGACTTGGTCGTACAGTGGCATCCCGAAAAACCACTTCAACTGGCGCTCGGTGCCAAAGGTACATATCTTCTCGCGTCAGAAATCCAAAATGGATTGGAGTAGCTAATGATGGAACCAGAAAAGGTTATTACCCACGAATTCATATGGTCTGTCTTTTCGGGATCGTCCATGCCGCCCAACGATTACGGGATAGCGGCAGTTGTAGATGGAGGTAAGAAATAGCGATGGCGCTGTCAATACATCTACTCTAGAGTACCTCATGTCATGCAAAGGCTCACTATTCTTTTATTGAAATGTAGCCACACTTAAACTCACGCCCCTGCGTATCGCCAATATCCCACCACCCATGTCTTTCCGGGAAGTAGCCTTAGGATCAACACCAACGGACGTTGCTATCAGCCCCAGTGGCTGTCGTATTGTGGTGTTGAGGGGTGATTGCATAGATTTGATCACGTGGAAGTTTGAAAAACAGAGACTTATTTCCGAGCCAGAGACCTTTCAAAGAATATTGGAACTTGAGGGTTTCTCCAGTTATCGTCAAATATCATTTCTCGACGAAGAGACCTTAGGCATCGTTTATGACGAAGACGGAAGCAGTGTTCTACAAACCATCTCTATTCCTCATTCAGGGCCTACCGAGTCTACAAATACGTTTAGGCTTCCTGAAAATGTTACTGTTTTAAGGCTCGGCGCCGTACCGGAACTTGTAAGTTTTTTCTACGAGGATAACCAGGGCAACGTCTCTTTGTATAATCCGCGAAATCACACAGTGGATCGAATTTGTAGACTTCCTAGTATTTGTCCTTGGGTTCAGGTGGCTATTTTCGATGAGCAAGTAAGTGCCCTCAACAGATAAGTAGAGAATAGTTTTCTGACTTCGTTAGAATGTTGTATTTGGGCTATCTCAAAATGGGCGATTATACGTCAATGATAGGATGATAGTGCCAAATTGTACTTCATTCGCTGTTACCTCAGCACACCTTATTTTTACCACTACACAACACTTCCTGAAATTCGTTCATCTTCACGGAGATTTTAAAGGTATCAAAGATTCTTGTTCCTGGAAATGGAGATTGTTATTTATCGAGGGATTTTAGATCTGGAAGTGCCACCAGATGACCCAACTGGTGATGAACGTTGTCGTAACGTTGAAAGAGGCTCCCGCATAATTCATGTAATGCCGACAAGCTTCTCTTTAACATTGCAGATGCCACGAGGAAACCTCGAAACTATTTTCCCCCGTGCCCTTGTTCTTGCTGGAGTGCGTAGAAGTATTGAAGTTAAGCACTATAGAAGGGCATTCTCAGCATGTCGGAACCATCGCGTCGACCTTAACATTTTGCACGATCATGCACCAGCACAGTTTTTGGAGAGCATCGAGTTGTTCGTAGACCAGGTCAAAAACATTGAACACATCGATCTTTTCCTATCACAAATTCGGTGGGTTCTATTTTTTTAGGATTTTGATTCGCATACTTACAATTTACTGCTTTAGAGAGGAAGACGTGTCTAAAACAATGTATCGTGAGACATTGTTAGCTGCAGAAGCTACTGAACCCGCTCTTCCTGTATACGGAATTTCAGTGGACCCGTCGAAATCCAAAGTCAATAAGATCTGCGAAGCATTTCTGAGAGTTCTTTTGAAGAACCGACTTGCTACAAACCTTCAGAACATTATCACAGCCTATGTCTGTAAATCACCCCCGGATCATGATGCAGCATTACTACTAATTGGAAAGCTTCGCGAAGAAAATCTAGAACTTGCCGAACAAGCAATAACACATGTTTGTTTCTTGTCGGATGTTAACAAGCTATATGATAACGCCCTTGGTTTGTACGACTTGGATCTTACTTTGATGGTTGCACAGCAGTCACAAAAGGATCCTCGCGAGTATTTACCATTCCTACAAAGTCTGCAGGAAATGGAAAATACAAGACGAATGTTCACCATTGACGATCATTTGGGTCGTTTTACAAAGGCTTGCGGTTATTTACATGCACTTGGGGATGTCGCATTTTCCGAGATGAGTGGCTATGTTATCAAACATGAGCTCTACCAGACGGCATTGGATCTTTTTAAATACAACCAGGAAAAGCTCAAGGTCATAATGAGTCTCTACGCGACATACCTTGAGGGTGCATCGCGATACCCTGACGCCGGACTTTGTATGCTACTGGTCTCTTTAATTATTACCTTCTAAGCTTACATAATTGGACATAGGTTACGAGTTTCTTGGGGATTATTCAAACGCAGTTAGCTGTTATCGCAGTGCCGGAATGTGGCAGGAGGCGTTATTTTCAGCGAGTCAAGTACCATTTTCACAGGATGAGCTTGATGAATTGAGTTCTTCACTCGCCGAAACTCTCCTCGACGCAAAGGAGTACATAGAGGCTGCAACGATTCATATCGAATACCGAAATGATGTTACAGAAGCAGCGAGGGTTCTTTGTAAAGGTTGCTATATCGGCGAAGCAATGAGGCTGGTATGTGCCATCCACTATATTTCTTTTAGCTCGCAATTCTAATCTAGTTACAGATCGGGAAACAGGGAAAATCAGAGCTCCTTGAAAGCGTTGTAGATCCCGGGCTGGGAGAAGGGTTTGCCCAAACCTCAGAGCTTATTGCTGATTGCAAAGCACAATTAATTGCTCAAGTAAATCGTTTGAGAGAGCTCCGGGCTAAAAAGGAAGAGAATCCTCTTGCTTATTTTGATGGTGTGGCCGAAGAAGATGCACCTGATGATGTTTCTCTTGCACCAACTAACGTTTCTACCTCCGCATCCCTGTTCACTCGGTACACTGGCAAGACCGGCGTTACGGCTCAGACTGGTGCGTCTAGACGGACATCAAAGAACAGGAAAAGAGAGGAGAGGAAGAGGGCTAGGGGAAAGAAGGGAAGTATTTATGAAGAAGAGTATCTTATCAACTCTATTGGAAGGATGATCGAAAGGCTGGACACCATTAGAGCAGAGACCAAGCGGCTGTTGCAAGGATTGGTGAGAAGGCGCATGAGAGAACGGGCTGTAGCGCTGCAGACACAGATGGAGGAGATACTAGAACAATTGACTGGATGTGTTAAAGAGGTTTTTGAAGAAGGGTCTAGGATTATGGAAGAAGGTGAGAGAGGGGAGATTACTACAGGTACCAAAAGAATTGCACCCGTGGTAAAGCCGTTTGATGGGATCGGTGTATTGTAAAATATCATTTTAATGCTCTGGAGGTGTAGCTACATGAAGTTATGTCCACTGATACTTGTAAAAGGCCTATAAACTGCTAGATATGGTGGATTTATGGTATACAAGAGTTCTTTTAAATATTACCTCCTATATACATGTACTTATTGCTACGTATAATGTATTGCTGTCACCGACCTGATATACTAGATACATGTATCCCAGCCCTGGACTCCCACGCAGCGAAGACAAGCCTTGGCATTCAAAGAAATATGTGCATACATGTAGTACATGTACTCGCAATGTCCTGACGTTTTTAAACTGGGCCACTATTGCATACACCAAAAAATCAGAAGTTTGGCGTATTTTTGTATGGTATGCAATATTGGTCACGTCCAAAAACGCCAGGACATTGCGAGTAGTAGTACTAGTGTAACATGTATGTTATTCATCGATCATGATAATATTATCTCCCCATATTCTTCGCCGGCGCAAGTCTCTGGGCAGCGAAACTAAATGCAGCGATAGAGGTCACAAAGAAGAGTAGATTATAGAACTTTACAAGAACTTGAATTAGTAAACAAAACAAATCGCAACTATTGGGTGACTGACCGCCGTCCTACTGTATGCACTCTCTTCTTGCTCACTTCGCGAAGCAGCAAAGAGCTTGCGGAGGTTTGGAAGTTCGAAAGATGCCTGTGCGATACCGGAAAAGGCGATTCATTTAGTTCGACCTACCAACCTAAAGTAGTGGGATTTGCTTACCATGGGAAGTTGTCCGTTTTTGATTACCCTTAGATAGCTGTTGTTGTACGAGGAAGCAAATGGGGCTGACACCTTGACCATTAATTGCTGCACGTAACCGACCAACATCCATTCGCACCTCCGTTTAGAACCCCTCCTCCACCACAACAATAATCACCCACGACAAGCAACAACAATTTTCAGGGCTGCTTTAGCCGCTCCTAGGAACTTCCCTCGCATACTGGCTTGCAGCTAATTCAGTTAGTCGTTCTTCAGAATACCAAAAACTATGGCGGCCAACAGAATACGGAGCATGTTCCCCGTCGCCCCGCGCAAGGGCGAGACATTCGAGTTAAGAACTGGATTGAATTCTCAGTTCGCTCACGAGAGGTACATAAGTTCCACTTTCCCTCTCAGTCGGAGAGAATTACATGAGCTCTATCTGTGGCTAATAATCCGTGTGGGCTCTAGGAAAGATGCAATTAGGAACACCATTGCCGCCATGACGTTAGGAAAGGATGTCTCAGCACTATTTCCTGACATTATCAAGAATATGGTGGGGCATTCCTGTGGATCGAGTTAACGCTTGCGGTTATCTTTAGCTGCGAAAAGCTGAAGTTCTGACTATAAATGTCACCTTTAGGCCACGAGTGATCTAGATCAGAAGAAGCTTGTCTACCTATACCTAATGTGTGTATTTGTATGCTATTATCGGATTAAATACTAATCTCGTATTTCAGGAACTATGCAAAAACTCACCCAGACCTCTGTATCCTAGCTGTTAATACTTTTGTCCAGGTTAGTACCTATTGCGAGATCTACATAGTATGGGGGCTGTAGCTTATTTGAGCAGGACTCCGAAGACCCGAATCCATTGATAAGAGCGCTTGCTATTAGAACGATGGGATGTATTCGGGTGGATAAGATTGTGGATTACATGGAGGAACCGTTACGAAAGACTTTGAAGGTGAGCGTCCCAAAAATATGCTCATGGGTTACGATCTAATAATTAACTTCTTGAGTAGGATGAAAGTCCTTATGTGCGAAAAACGGCAGCAATTTGTGTAGCGAAGCTCTTTGATCTTAATCAGTCCTTATGCTTGGAGAACGGTTTTTTAACAACGCTTCAAGAGTTGATTGGCGACTCAAACCCAATGGTAAAATCAATCGTACTGAAAAATTTAACGTAGCCATGTGCTTATAAAAACATTGCCCAGGTTGTTGCAAATTCCGTAACAGCACTTGCAGAAATCATGGAGGCAGCACCGGAAACCGAAGCCCTTCTTGTCACGCCCGCAACCTTGAAAAAACTTCTCATGGCTCTGAACGAGTGTACTGAGTATGTGCCACTCAAACATTCTCCGTGACTGCCCCTGGGCTAACTAATAACGTCAGATGGGGACGCATCACAATTCTAACAACTTTGGCTGAGTACAAAGCGCAAGATGTCAAGGAAGCGGAACACATCTGTGAAAGAGTTGTTCCCCAATTTCAGCACGTAAATCCTAGCGTAGTATTGGCCGCTGTAAAGGTTATCTTTTTGCATATGAAAGTAATCAGCCCCGAGCTCTGTCGGCAATATATTAGAAAGATGGCGCCTCCTCTTGGTATGATATGCATTCATCTGTACCTGGTGCTGGACACAAGCTGATTCAATTATATAGTTACTCTTGTTTCATCTCAACCAGAGGTTCAATATGTTGCGTTGCGAAACATCAATCTTTTACTTCAGAAGCAGCCAGATATCCTCACGAAGGAAATGCGGGTTTTCTTCTGTAAGTATAATGATCCTCCGTACGTCAAGTTAGAAAAACTCGAGATCATGATCCGGATTGCCAATGAGAAGAATGTTGATCAACTTCTCATGGAGCTTAAGGAATATGCTCTTGAAGTAGACATGGATTTTGTACGAAGAGCTGTGAAAGCGATTGGGCAAACAGCTATCAAAATTGATGCTGCTGCGGAACGATGTGTTAATGTTCTACTCGAGTTAATTAACACTAAAGTAAACTACGTGGTTCAAGAGGCCATTGTAGTTATCAAGGTGGGGTGGCTTTATTGAATTATGTCCCTAGAAATCCCATGCTAACACTGTAGCAGGATATTTTCCGGAAATATCCTGGCTATGAGGGCATTATTCCGACACTGTGTAAGAGTTTGGATGAACTCGACGAGCCGAACGCTAGGGGGTCTCTCATTTGGATTATTGGAGAGTATGCTGAGAAGATCAACAATGCCGACGAGCTTCTAGAAACCTTTATGGAAGGTTTCAAAGATGAGTACACACAAGTTCAATTACAGCTTTTGACTGCAGCTGTGAAGTTATTCTTGAAAAAGCCTCAATCGCAAGCACTCGTGCAGAAAGTGCTCCAATGTGCAACAGCGGAGTGCGACAACCCGGATATCCGGGATCGAGCCTACGTATATTGGAGATTGCTTTCGAAGGACCCGGAGGTGGCAAAGGTAGGGCTTGAAAATCTAACTGTTAAGATGTAAGGATATTAACATTCTATAGGCCATCATTCTTTCTGACAAACCCCCAATCACTTCAACAATACAGTCTCTTCCAATGGGACTTCTCGATCAGTTACTTGGAGAGATTTCGACACTAGCATCTGTCTATCACAAGCCACCAGAGACATTTGTTGGACAAGGACGATTCGGAGCCGATGCGGTGCAAAAGAGAGCCATTGAGTAAGTCTACCTTGAAAAATATATGGAAAACTATGACTTATACCCTTAAGGGAATTACAACGAGACGCTCGCGAGAACCCAATACAAGCATCGGCGGCAGCCAAAGAGGGCCAAAATGTGGAAAATCTGCTGGACATTGACTTTGACGGAGCCGTACCAGCCAGTGCAGAGGCGTCAGGTGCAGGAGGCCTAGAAAGTCTTGTTTCTGATACACCGGTGCGCGCCGCCTCACCAATGTCTCCAACCACGGGCCCAGGTAATAACATGGATGATTTGATGGGCTTATTTGGGAGTTCTTCACCGCCAACTGGGAATTCAGGCAACGGGCTGAACGGATTCGAGGGATTAAACCTTGGAGGGTCACCACCGCCACCACCACAGCAGCAGAAGAAGAGTACAAATGAAGATATATTGGGATTGTTCTAGGACAGGGGCTTGTTTACTTAGATTCCAAACGATTATGTAGTCTTTCTCTCTGTTCCGGTGCTTGACATGCGAGCTTAAGGAAACAGTGGATATTTGATGATGGAGTTGTACTACACATTTCTCTCCCGCAGATGAGTACGTGCATGTGCGTATGGTGATAACGTGTAATTTTTCCTTTTAAAAAAATAAATATAAAAAAAAAACAAAAAAAACAGAGCAGTTTAAGGCGGTTACCTTCGTTTAGTGTCATGTTAAAGACATGTGACATGTGATTAACGTTTTTGACTGACCTACTCTAAGTACATGTACTCTATGTAGAATTGTATAGCCAAGGCACTAAAACTGCATGTTGTTGGGTACATGTAGATTTGTTGCGCAGCATTAGTAACATGGGATTAGACGCGGGATTAGCCGAGTTAGGCGCCCAAGGGATACGTAACGCTAAGCGATTTCTATGTACAGGTGTCTAGATCACGGGCACTTCTCTAGTTCTTATCTCTCCTTACTACATGTAGTATCATCATCAATAATATATGCTCCTGTTTATCGGTCGAACTTGGCTCTCTCGTATTCGTATCGTCGACGAAGAAGAGATAGTACACAACAGCCGGCCAACAACGTAGAGATTCAAGAACAGCGGGCGTAGGTACTTCATTGAAATACAGTACTCTCTAGTCTCGTATCACCGAACAAGCAACTCGTTACGTATTTTCGCAATTTTGTAAGTACCTACCAATTTACAGTTCAGTGATGTATGCGCTCTACCAGAATGCTGATTTCCAGCCAAGCCGTTCAAGCATTATTGCGGCTCTGTGGCGTACGGGCGTTGTCCTGGCAACCTAAAGTCGTTCGCCTCTCTCCCATCGCGAGAGACTTCAAAGAACGTTTGTAACGCGATCGCTCTTAAAAACCGATTCACCCCGTTCACCTCTCCCCATCGCTGACATCACCATGGTGTCGTCAATATCACGGTCTATACCTTCACCTGCCCCCAGGGCTCCGCCGCCGCATTACCAGACGTTCCTTACTCCCATCCTGCATCGACGCTTTGTCCGATCGTGCGCAGTTGGCATCATTGTATGCTATGTAGAGGCTTTTTTCATAAGTAATAAATCGAGTTGTAAGTATTTCGCGGTGGATAGAGCAGGGCAGTGGTTCTGACTATAGTGTAGTCTTATGGACACTATTTCCATTGAGCTCGACTGGGTTCAAGACTTTAGTCCTTTTCTTCTGCACGGCAGTGCCGGTTCTTATCCTCCGCGTCTCTCAACTTCATGTCGGTGTACGCGCCAATCCTTCGGGGTTTCACACATTTACGAGGAGTGTGGGCTCATTCGGAACATATTCTACAATCCTAACATATGTTTTTGCATCGCTGGTCTTCATCTCACTCTATCTTTTGTCTTCAACAAAGGGCGACAAGTTGAGCTTCATTGTGGATGGAAAGTATGGTTTTTCAAATACCACCATTTTCCAATACCAGGTTGAAGTATATTGATAAATTCTATAGAACCTATGAACGCCCCCGATTGAACGAGCGCTTTATTTATTTAGTATATAGCGCTTCACACGTCGGCCTTGTGCAGGGAATTCTTCATATTTATCGTGACCGGGGAAGGTTGGAATTTCCAGATGTCAATGTAAGCCGTCTGCTTCAATCCCCGTCCGAGATCGTCCCCAACTAATGATCATGCGAAGGTCCCTCCAAATGAAGCTTTGAAGGCGCGTATCCCAGTTATTGTAAAGGATGCCCTTACTCTCGCTATTATCGCCCTGTTCACTTGTCCTATAACCTATTTCTTCGTTCGATCGGGAATCTGGCACTACACTTTGATAATTGCTAGAACGTTTTTCTGGCTTAACCGTTCCAGCAGTGTCCCGTCATGGCCGATCGATACGATCTTCAGAAATTTTTGGGTCGCTTTTCTACTTGGATGCATCTGGGAATCGGTCCACACTGCTTTCAGTATCTACTTCTCCGAGGAGCCAATCAAGGATGAGAAGACCATCAGTGAGAAATCACCAGATCCAAACGGCACATTAGTATCTGGTCTTAGAGCAAACGGCCTCCTGACGCAGGTTATGGCATTCTCGGAGCTGGTTTTCATCTCTCACAATTCGCCCGCGAGGAGGAAGTCCATATTTACAGACGTTGATAGAAAGCCGATAAACATCTGGGAACAGATCATGAAGGAATGCCTTGCGGTGATTGAAGATGTGGATTCAAAATTGACCGGGGTTGGGAAGGCAGCTAGTAGTCCACTCCCAAGTTAGTCTCTATTCCGCTTAAAATCCAGAAGACAGTATATTAATAAACATTACAGAGATTGCATCCTCCCATAGCACCGCATTAGCCCTCAAATCCCCCTCACCAGCAATCCAGATAATTGCCGGCGATACAGCACTTCTTACTCCCTCCTCTACTTCTTCTGGAAAATTTCTAGACTCTATCCAATCTAAAGACGGTGCCCATCTTAGTCTCAATGACGTCATGAGAAAACTGCCGCTTCAAACACCGTCCATGGCCGAAGCTGAAGCTAGGTTTACTGATGGTGTCAAATCAAAGATCGAACCATTTCTAGCATCTCCATATGGCAAATCATTCCGCCAAACTATTCAGCAACGAACTTCAATTCTCATGCCCAATGTACGCATCCAAGTTAATGCCGTTTCGTGTAAGATTCCTACATCTGCTTAATCAGAAAAAATATTAACAAATATGTAGCGCTTGCCCGCCTAGTCACTGCCTCTTTGTCTGAGGACGACTACGGTGTTGTACAAAAACATGTCCCGCTAATCCTACAAGCATTCTCGTCGACTATCGAGGCTCTCAATCGATACATGGTGAACCCGCCCATACACTGGACTGATATCGAAGCCAAGAGTAATCCCAAGTCGTTAACTCTGAGGGAGCCAGAGATGCTCCTAAAGGCATTGGAAGGCGGGTTAAGAGATATTGCGGTGGCTTTTAAGCCGTATGTCAAAGACATGGAATTATCGGCGGAGGTGAAAAGGAAGGTTTTGGAAGCTAAAGAGGAGGCGCTGCTATAATTATTTCATGATCTGTGGGTTCTGATTTTTTTTTCTTTTTTTTTTTGTTTCTTGACTTTACGAACGATTCCGCTGTAGGTTTGAGGTTTGAGGTGTGAAATTTGAAATACGTAAGGCGTTAAAACAACAAAGCTGAAAATGATGCTACATCGGGATAAGGATTACAACTATGATAGATTGTGAATTATTATTTTCCTTCAAATAATGCTTCTTTGCCCTATTTTTCTTCATTTTTCTCTTTTTTTCTTGTGGAATGTATCTTTAATGTGCTTTTGGAATTCTTTGGTTTGGAGTTTGACCCTCGTAAAAGCACAAAGGGGAGAATACGAGGTGTACTCTACATACATGTAGTATATATATCTTGAGCTCAGGGATAGGCCGAAAGAGCATGCGTGATAGTGATCTAGTTAGATCGATTGTCATTCTCATCCTGCTCTTTATGGCGGCCAGATAAGTGTGATACTAAAGTACATGTATGTATCTAGAGTATGTAGATACATACTATGTACATACCTTGCGTCGCTAAATAGACCTCGGTGTACTCTAGCATTCCGCTACATGTAGTGATGGCATGGGACAAAACCTAGCAAGACTTTGACCAAGTAAGGTTGAAGATGCAAAATCTCGACTTATTTCGACAATTGCGCAATCTCTAAATTAATAACCCTAACCCTCTCCAACTCTCTCACTATCAAAATATTTCAGGTCGTTTTACAAAGTCTCGAAATATTGGAAAGATTGACTTTTACTATTTACGGTATTGGCAATTGCCGAAACATGAACCTTTGTATTTCAAGACGAGACAAAGCAATGCTCTAGTTCCGTCGCGTCTAGTGTTGTGGAGTCCATCCATCACTATAGCTATTCAGCATTTCTGTAGCACCAAGCATTTACCTACAGTATCCGGTAACATTATTGCAAAAGTGGGCTCTCCGTGACCCGATAGTCCTATTGGCCCTTGAAAGATTTTTTGCTGCGAGCACAGACCAACAAATCCACTCTTTTAGTTCTGACTTTTGCAATAATTCTACCGGATACTGTACATGCACGTACATACATGTAGTAACGCATTTGACCCGAGGATCACTGCCAAGATGCTAGGTTACTCGGGCGACCTTGTGTAACACACCATCTCTTGGCGTGGAACATCCCAATGTCGCGCGACCTACTCCACATACATACAAACAATCAGCAGTACCTCCACATAGAAATACCTACAATCTTCTAACTATGGATAGATCGGTAATAATCGATGCGCTCAAATCGATCGTTCAGACTTGGTTTAAAGAGGATCCGAATCGCGTGACGGTTCGTGCGGCGCGAAGTCACGTTGAACAAGAATTGGGCCTTGACCAGGGGTTCCTTGAGAATGAGGATTGGAAGGCGGAGGCAAAACGGATTGTGAAAGATGAGTTTGTGAGTTTTGAGGGCGCCGACTTATCCTATCTCTCCGCCTGACTGCGCGGGTTCTAACGCGCTTTTCGTGCGATTGTAGGCAGCTCTCAACGAGGAGTTGGATAAACGAGAGAATGAGTCGAAGAAGAAGCCCGCTATTGCGAAGAAACCCACTGCTGCCACAACCAAAAAACAGACCATGCGCTCAAAGAGGTCTGCGGCAATGGAGGAAGGCGAAGCAGAAAAGGCACCCAAGGCAAAACGAGGTAGACCCTCTTCGAAGAAAATAACAGAGGAGGAAGAGGCCACTGGATCGCCAGAAAAGGCGCCTGCAAAACGGGGCAGCCCTACTACCGCAACAGCGAAGAAACTTGCACCGAAGAGATCCCGGGCGAAACCTACTGTTAGGGAAGAAGAGGATGACCAGGAGCTTGAGGTGGATATTCCATCTGCACACCCGCTGTCGTCTGCTGCGATAACTCCGGATAGTGATAACAAGCTGTCGGATATTCCAAATGAGAAGTCCCCGGAGGAACTGAAGGTGCTCTCTCGACCAAGTGCCAAATCTACGCCTACGAAGGATAAAGACTGCAGTGAGAGTGAGCTATCGGATGTCTCAGAAGAACCCCCAAAAAGAAAGGGCAAGCGCGCACTTGCCGCAAGGCCTAATACTCCCAAAAAGAAGGTGAAGCCCTCACTAAAACCAGCGGAAATTATCGAAGGTCCAGGGAAGGACTTCAAGACGATCCTACAGGACAGGTCTATGCCACCACTGGATGCAGATGCAGATGATGCAGGTGCTGGAAGCGATAGTGAGATGTCTATTGTGCTGGATCCAACACCCCAGAAGGGACGCTCCTCGATCACCAAGGTCCCGCCGCCCAAAAAAACGAAGGGTTCGAAGGCTCCTGCAAAGAAGGGAAGGGCCAAAAAAACAGATGTAATTACGTGCTCCTCGTCTCTCTTTACTACTCTCACGTGAGCTAACTCTGGCGGCACGGGTGAAGTCCAGCACAAAACTTGACCCAGAACAGGAGCAGCTCAAATCCCTCAAAGCCTGGCTCCTTAAATGCGGTATCCGCCGAATCTGGGCGCGCGAGCTTGCAAAATTCGAGACGTCACGTGAGCAGATTGCGCACCTGAAAGGAATCTTGACTGATATTGGGATGACGGGCCGGTATAGCGCTGATAAGGCAAAGAAGATCAAAGCAAAACGTGAGCTGAAGGCAGAGCTCGAGGCGATTCAGGTCAACGCGGGATCGTGGGGAATGGAAGAGAAAGATACTGTAGAAGATGTTGGGAGGCCGCGGAGGCGAAGCGGTGGGAGGAAGGCTAGGATTGTGATAGAGGACGACGAGGATGAAGAGGAGGCGGACGAGGGGGAAAATATAGTGAGAGCAAGAGAAAAGGAAATGGAGGATTTGGCGTTTATGGATGGGCAGAGTGAGTCGGAGTAGTGATATCAAATGCCAGAGCATTTTAACTGTTTTAATTCCTAGGCTTTTTTCTTTCTTTTCTTTTCACGGTCTCTCCCCACGGTCGAGAAGACCGGTGGTAGTGTTCCCCCCTATCCTATTCGCTTGTTGAGCATGTTTGTTGCTTTTTTTCCCTTGCGTGGCATGGGTCCCACTTGTAGTTATCGCTTTTTGCGTTGTGAAATACTCCTCCCAGAGGTAAATTGGAGAGATGATAATTTATTTGTGATTAAAATGTATGCATGTAGCGGGCTTTCCGCCCATCTCTTCCTGCAATTAGCTGTTTGTAAGTATACGAATGCGTAGATAGAATTCAACGGAATCAGTACCTGTATGCACAATGCATACAATTAATAAAGTGATCCAACAATCAATTAAGTAATGTACCACTACCTACAGTGACAGAAACATGGATAAAACGACTACCGCAGTCATTGGCAATGCCGTACCACTGCCGCACCACTGCCGTATACTTCGTTGAAATATGGAGATAAAGCGGCACATTCTCGCGGTACCGTGCTGATGCGGTATCAGATCTACCCCCATTTCTAATACTGTACATGTATGTATGCATAACGCAGTGGCTGAGACGAGTGATCCTTTGTGATTCATCCCTCCTTGATCATGTTGTTACCCCATTAATTGTATGCAACATTCACCCCTCCTTTGAAGTACATTCATGACCGTATCAACGCGCCCTTATACTCCGTGCGCTAGGTAAGTTCACCTCTATTTATTCTATTCTCACCAATTAAGCCGTCTTTAGTCGACCAGAAAATCAAATGGTTAGTGTAACGTCTTAGGCATCACCGATATTGCGTTGATTTATCCATGGATTATCACTCAACTGATCAGCCGAGACGGTACATTAGTTGTTGATATTAGGGCTTAATTAAGTTTCATGCCTCAGATTTATACATAAATGGGTATAAAAGATATATAATGTACATACATGTCATCGTTGAGATTGGTTTGCCGAACATGATGTCCATTTGCCATTTGTTTATACAGCATCCCCCCACATCGTGGGCACAGCCCAGGCGCGCGCGGTGGGTACAAAAGCAAGATCTAGAGAAATTCGAGAGAATGATAGAACAAGGTGAATATAAGCGCAAAGGTGATTAGGTTTTGAGTGGCTAGTGAGTTAGAGGATAGTAGGAGCGAACATATATTTATGTAAATTACTTAATCATAATACCACAATAGTACTAAAGGCTCGCCGCATTGCTGCCACCAGAGTAACCCATATATTTAAAATATAGTGAAGAATAGGTTGGTGCTTCTGAACACGAGCTACAGTGTTAGTACTACTCGAATATACAGAGCTCAAAGGAGAGTTTGTTTTCTTATTAAAGCTGGCCCCAGTGAGCATGGGCCCAAGGCTGACAAGCTAGATCTAGAAGTACATGTAACTACATGTAACCAGCCTGGTTTTTTGAAAAAGAACCTAAAAGAAAACTTGTATTCTGACAAATAAACTAATCGCTTTTTTTGTAAATATAGGCGACAACTCCGTACTACATGTACAGTGGTGGGGAGAATTATTGCGGAAGTCAGAACTAAAAGAGTGGGCCTCTTGATCCGTGCTCACTGCAAAAATTTCTTTAGGGCCAATAGGACTGCCGGGTCACGGAAAACCCACTTTCGCAATAATTCTCCCCATCACTGTATATGGCTACATGTAGTAGCTAGTCATCATGGCAATCGGGCCTGGCGGTTTAAGGGATACAGCTTTATATCGCCGGATATTGAGCATCAAAGTTTGCTGCCCTAATAGAATTCGAAGCCTATGGCTTATGTATTGCGAGCTTCTGTAAGTTTAACTCTCGATATGACCGGTGCAGGCCTAGCCTATTCTGACGAAAGTTGAGTAAAATAATATGTACATGTAGGTCTCATGCCCAGACTTTCTGTAATTGGCCACATCTAATAATTGCGCTAGCAGTAATGACTTTTCGCGTAAGCAGTCTTGCCAAGATTTCGCTCACGTTACCCGTCATCCTCTCAGTGAAACGTAAAAAGTTTTTGAGCCTCTGATTCCTTCGCGACATTCTGCAGTGCGGCAGCAATCGCCCCACAATCTCTCTTCTTTGAAAAAAAGTAGGAACACTTGCCAGCCCGCCAGTCATGAATATCTCAAATCCCGTGGCCTCTGAGGTCACCAGTGTTGATTTCACATTCCTGTCTACAGAGGATATTCAGAATCTTTCAGTCAAACAGATTATAAACCCTCTGACCTTTGGAAGCGTTGCAGCTGGAAACGTCCCAGTTCCCATTGTTGGTGGACTCTATGATCCAGCTCTAGGAGCGAGTGATCAGCTGAGGCAGCGGTATGTAGGGATGACCTGCAATTGCACTTGGATTTTTGAAGGGGTATTGCAATCTGCAGAACTAACATCTAGATCATTATAGGTGCGCAACATGTCACTTAGATTACAAGTACTGCCCAGGGCACACAGGTCATATTGCGCTTCCGGTGCCTGTATACCATCCTCTATTTTTTGACCAGATGCTCCGACTATTACGCTCGACATGCGTCTTTTGTTTTCACCTGCGAATGTCCAAGGCTGTTGTTAACCGCTATGTATGTAAACTCAAGCTGATCCAACATGGGCTACTACTGGAGGCGCAGCAACTGGACGATATCCAGGTTGCGACTAAGCCAGCAGTAAAGCCTGGAAGATCAATCGCAGAAGAAGAAGGACCAGGAGACGATATAGAAAGCGAAGATGAAGACGATATGGAGGCTTTTTTTAAGAAGCGGAACAAGTTCGTGGAAAAGGCGATTAAGCGAAACCGTGCGAATCAGGCAAATTGGAACTCGGCGAAGGTTATGAGCGTGGCCGAAGAGCGGAGAGCTCTTGTGAAACAATTTTTGGCGGATATAATAAAGCCCAGGAAATGCAATCGTTGTCAAGCGTGAGTCTTTTTTTTATTTTTTTACAATGCTTTTAGTTTGCGGCAATGGCCCTAACCACAGTGTAGGATTGCACCCACTTTCCGTGCCGACGGATACTCTAAGATTTTTGAAAAACCCCTTCCCACTAAAGCGCGTAACCAAAACTCTCAGCTTGGCCTGCGAAGACGGAACGCCGCTCTTGACAGAAGAAAGCCAAAGTCATCACCACACAAGAAGTACTCCAATGCTATGGAGATTGACGAGGGTATTGGCGGCGAGATTGATGTAGAGATTCAGGAAGCTTCTTCAGAAGAGGACGAAGAGGCTCTTAATGAAGCTGCAGATAGGAAAGGATCGGCTGGGCGACTTCTGATGAGCATGGAAGTGCTCAATACCCTAATCAGGCTTTTCGATAATGAAAAGGATATCACACAGCTCTTGTATGCCCCGCGGACAGCAATGGATAAAAATCCAAAGCCTGTCTCGGCAGATATGTTCTTCTTGCACGCCATTGCCGTACCGCCTACAAAATTCAGACCCCCACAATTCTCCGGTGGTGAGGTCAGCGAATCGGCTGTAAACAGGGGACTGGTTAAGATTCTTCAAGACTGCCTCTATATCAGAGACCGTAACGAAGCTATTAATGATCCTTCTACCACACCAGATTCTAAGACTGAGATTGTCCGCCGTTTAATCGAGTCATTTGTTACACTCCAAGAAGATGTAAATACCTTCCTTGACTCCACAAAGTCACCTGTCACTGGATTGGCCGCAAAGGCTATAGAGGAGGGTATCAAGCAGAAGCTCGAAAAGAAAGAAGGATTGTTCCGGATGAACATGATGGGTAAACGTGTCAACTTTGCCGCACGTTCTGTCATTTCCCCGGACCCCAACATCGAAACTCGTGAAATCGGTGTGCCGCCGGTATTTGCGAGCAAGCTCACCTACCCGGAACCAGTTACAGAAATTAATGCTACATGGCTTATGTCATTAGTAGTGAATGGCCCTGACACTTGGCCAGGAGCTGTAGCGATCGAGATGGAGAATGGCTCTGTTCAGCGTCTACCCGGCGACAAAGAGCCTAGCGGTCGCCAAAAGAGAATTCAGCTTTCGAAGACACTACTAACCCCTGATACCCTCTCTCTTTCAGACTCCCGTCCCAAAAAGGTTCACAGGCATCTTCACGATGGCGATGTTGTCCTCATGAACCGTCAACCAACGCTTCACAAGCCATCCATCATGGGACACATCGCAAAGGTTTTGCCAAAGGAACGCACGATTCGCATGCACTACGCCAACTGCAATACTTACAATGCCGATTTTGATGGCGATGAGATGAACATGCATCTTCCCCAGAATGAAATGGCAAGGGCCGAGGCAAAAGAAATTGCAAATACCGATAACCAGTACCTTGGATCCACGGCCGGAAAGCCATTGCGAGGTTTAATTCAGGATCATTTGGTAATGGGTGTATGGTTGACAAATCGTGATACTATGTTCACAAGGGAGGAGTACCAGCAGCTTCTTTATAGTTGTTTGTTGCCGGAGCATAATTCGCTTTTTGCGACGCCAGGGAAGAGTAGTAGAATCATCACCCTACCACCTGCTATTATGAAGCCAAGACAGATGTGGACTGGGAAACAAGTCGTGACTACGATCCTGGAGAATATCCGCCCCAAATACTTTGCTGGATTGACACTATACTCCAAGTCGAAGACTCCTGGAGACTCCTGGTATAAAGGTAATGAGGAGGGAAATGTCATCTTTCATGACGGCTACTTCGTTTCTGGAATTCTTGATAAGAACCAACTTGGGCCTACTGAGTTTGGGTTGATCCACTCCATCTACGAAATTTACGGCCCCACAGTTGCGGGAAGTTTACTCAGTATCTTTGGGCGTCTGCTTACGAAGTTTTTGCATATGAGGGCTCACACGTGTGGCATGGACGACTTGCTGCTCACCCCCGAGGGAGATAAAAGGAGGCGTGCTGCTTTGGCGGGGTCAGATGTTGTAGGGAAGAACCTCAGTGTGGAATACGTAGGGCTTAAGCCAGAAGAGTATACCGAGACTGAACTCAACGCGAGAATGGAAGAAGTTCTTCGAGATAAAAACAAGCATAATACTCTAGACCTGAAAGCAAATTCTCAGACTGCGGCTTTTACTTCAAGGGTAATTAAGGAGTGTCTGCCGTCAGGGCTACAGAAGGCTTTTCCATATAACAACTTCCAGGCCATGACTGTCTCAGGAGCTAAGGGGTCCGACGTTAACGCATCACAGATTTCGTGCTTGCTCGGACAGCAGGTTTTGGAAGGCTCCAGAGTACCAGTTATGGTCTCTGGAAAGACACTGCCTTGCTTCAGACCATATGATACGAATGTTCGGGCAGGAGGTTATATTACGGATCGTTTCTTGACCGGTGTTAGACCGCAGGAATACTATTTTCATTGTATGGCTGGGCGCGAAGGTTTGATTGATACGGCTGTAAAGACATCTAGGTCTGGATATCTGCAGAGATGCCTGATCAAGGGTATGGAAGGCATTCAAGTGCAGTATGATAATACTGTCCGAGATAGTGACGGGTCGCTTGTCCAGGTATGTACTCTCTTGATATTGACTCAAGTTATCGTAGCTTACATTTGATTAGTTTTTGTATGGAGAGGATGCTTTAGATGTTGCAAAACAGAAGCATCTGCGCCAGTTCAAATTCTTGTCGCAGAATATGGAGTCTGTTGTGAGAAAACTTGCCGACGATACTGTCAACGAGAGCTTGGGCCCTAAGCTTTCCATGATTGCAGAGAAGTTGAACCATGGGGTTGCAAACGAGCATCTCAAGAAATCAATGAAGAAATATGCCAAACGGGGGGATCTAGCAGCGTCAGAGGTTACCATGTCAGAATACAGCCCAAGTAGATATGTTGGTAGTGTCTCTGAAAGCTTTGCCGAGGCTAGAGAATACGTAAGTCGCATGACTCCGAGCATTCTAAAGCCATACTAACTTTTGAACAGTATTTAAGAGAGAATCCAGACAAATTAATCGTCAGCACCAAGCAATCCCGCACAATGGTCGGAACTGAGCTCTCACGCGGTCTTGATAAGGGTGAATTCAGGAACCTGATGGATCTGAAATACTTCCGCTCCCTCGTAGATCCTGGCGAGGCCGTTGGTATTATAGCCGGACAGTCAATCGGAGAGCCTTCAACACAAATGACACTCAATACTTTCCATTTAGCTGGTCACGCAACCAAGAACGTCACCCTTGGTATCCCGCGTCTACGTGAAATCGTCATGACTGCTTCTGCAAACATCGCCACGCCAACAATGACATTAACATTAAGGAATAGCGTTTCTGACCGCAAGGCAGAGGTGTTTTCCAAGAGATGTAGTCAACTGATGTTGTCGGAGGTCATCGAGAAAGTCACTATTAAAGAAAGTCTTACCAAAGATATCAAGAGCTATAAGATCAGATTAGACCTCTTCCCTAAAGAGGAGTATGAGGAGGAGTACTCGATCACAAAGAAGACCGTTGGAAACACTTTCAAAAGTTCGTTTGTGCCAGCTCTTGAACGATCCGTTAACAAGGTGCTGAATCCTAAGAAAACCAAGAGCAAAGAGAGGATTGGCAAAGATGACGCCATGCCAGATATTGGCGAGAGTGCTGGCACTGTTGAGGAGGAGCGAAGAAAAGAGAGCGCTGCTGATAACTCTGACGACGAGGAGAGCGACGATGACAACGAGGAAGACGCGACAAACGCGAAGCAGAAGAGCAGGAAATCAGAGGCCGTGTCCTACGAAAACCCCGACGATGCCGAGGAAGAGATCGCGAAGCAGGCCGAAAGCTCTGGCGAGAGCTCTGATGAGGATGAGGATGTTGATGAGGGACTTGGGGCTAGTGCTCCGGATAGTGGGGATAATAGCGATGATGGCTCAAAGTCGAATCCAAAAACTGCTAAGAAATCGAAGGCAAAGACTATTGTTACCCCAGTAAAGAAAATTGTCGTGAAAAACAGCAGCGAGAACGTGTCAAGGTTTGAGTTTGACGAACAATACGGCCAATGGTTCGAGGTGGATCTACAGTACCCATCGGAGGCACCAAAGGTTCTCATGTTAGGAATTGTGGAGAAGGTGTGTCGAGACACGATTATCCATAAGCTTTCTGGCATCGGATCTATCATGAAAGTCCCAAGCTCAGAACTCAGTAAGGCTGAACAAGCCGCTGGCAAGGTAAGCTAGATCCACCGTATATCACTCGTCACGATCACATACTTATCACTCCAGTAGCGCAAACTTGCAGTCGAAGGTGTCAATTTTGAAGCCTTCTGGAACGAGCAGGATGAGATCGACCCTAACACAATTGAATCCAACGATATCGCCGCCTTCCTTCGCTATTATGGCGTCGAAGCCGCACGCAATAATATCGTCAAGGAAATGAATGCCGTCTTCGGCGGTCATGGCATCGCCGTTGATATCCGTCATCTTAACCTCATCGCCGACATCATGACCCGTGGTGGAGGGTATAACCCTTTCAACAGACAGGGCATTAAGACAGGGACTTCGCCGTTCTTGAAAATGAGTTTTGAAACAACGTGTAACTTCCTCAAGGATGCAGTGGTGGAGGGTGATTTCGATGATCTAAGCAGCCCGTCCAGCAGGATTGTTCTTGGGAAACTGTCTAATGTGGGAAGTGGGAGCTTTGATGTGATGGTGGGTGGGCTGACAAGGGAGAATAGGTAGCAGGGACGGGAGAGTAATAAATTTGTTGTAGGTACATGTAGTTTTCAATAGCTATTGGTTTGGTCCCTTCTCTTTTTTTTTTTTTTTGTAACATACATGTAGTTAGTAGTCACCTCTTTTGTCACAAAAGCATTTTTTGGTTTTTATTTGATTGATTTACCTAAATACGATTATTAAGTCACCCTTCACTGTGTGGTTGATATGTCTTTGAGGATTAATTTAAGCCGCCATGTTCCCCCGCCCCGCGGGCCAGCTGGGCAATTCTAGAGTACCTACCTCCCGAAGTGCCTCGATGCCCATCAGCATCCTAAGCCCTCGTCCCATATAGTAAGGGAAAGCCCACCGATCTCGCTTAGTTAAGTGGCTTGGCAACTTTGCATGCATTCTACTTAATTGCCATCCCATGTGAGCGCCTCCCGTAGGTTACGAAAATACAGTATCGCAAAAGCTCACAAACTTGATTATTTCCGTGCAGGGAGTGTTCCTCCAACGATTGGTTGCGAAGCAGTGATAGTAGAGTAGAGTACAGCACCAGTGTGAATTATTTACTCTGTAGCAGTAGCCAGCTAGCCATGAGACACATTATTGCCACCGAAGAACAGGACTTTATGGCTAGGCAATTAAATCAAACACAAACCTTAAGGCACTAACACAATTGGCGTTGAGGCTGTACAGCTGGAAGGAAGTACCTGTAGAAAAATGGTACCTCCCTAGCACATACACACGTTGCTAGCCCTGCCATAGAATGCAACGCGGAGGCACCTCCCCCGGTGGGCAGTGCCTGGAGTGAGCTTGGTGTATTATAAATTATGTACATAGATTCTATGGGGAGTATAATGGAAAGGCTCTTATAAAGAACGAGAACCATCACTCTTTTTTTTTTAATCTACACGAGCATACACATAAGTCCATACACACACTCTCTTAAAGCTCCGTGCTCAATTAATTCAACACACTCTAATCGAACCTCACACCTAACAACCACTACCCCGATTTCATTATGCTTCTTCCCCTCTACCTCACCACCCAATTCTCGCAAAACAGCAGCTTTGCAAGCTTAAAGCGGAAACACGATGACAGTGTCGAGGTATTTAAATTCTTTCTTTTTTTCTTTCTAAATACCATGCTCATATACTCAACCAACCACAGAGCGATAATTATTCCAGCGACTCCGACTCCGACTCGGATTGCTCCCCAAGCCCTGATTCACGCCCTCGAAAACTCCTCTCTCCGTCGCGGAGGATTGGCCCTGTGCCCGGCATCCCGGCAGATGAACCTCTGGACATCGACTCCAGGATCCCGATGCCGGTGCCGGCTGGACGTCGCCCGCGGTCACGTGCGCTAATGTGCCCCAATCATTCTTGGAACTGCACTGTGTGTGGGAAGTAGAGTACTAGTTGAATGGTGCTGCGGAACCGGGGCGGGACAGGGCATGGCTGTAAATATGAATAGGACTGGGGAACTGGATGTTCTCCATGGATGGTTCGGTTGGCGTGGGTGGTGTGAAATTACAATGGCGTTTTTCTGGTTGCTTTTAACATCTGTATAGAAAAAGGATAATTTGGGAGGCGTTTGGTAATAAATATATCTAATTGATCAACCGAAGCTATTATAAAGTGGACGGCGGATGGTGGTTCATCAAGATTCAAATATCGAGTGATATGCTGTGACGCCTGGGCCAATGTCTGAACTTGCATGAATTTACAATTATTGTGTATGGTTGGAGCGGCACGCCCCATGGGGTATATCAGGTGGGAAAGTGAAATTGCAATGGTAATCCGCAGATGGCATCGCATCTTGGCTGATAGAGATGGCCAATTGTGCTCCTCAACCCCACTCTGGGACCATACTCGGTTATCCAGTATTGTACTAGTAGTAAGTATGTACATACATGTTAGATCTATAGACTCTGCTCTAGAGTAGCTATAAAACATGTAGGTACTATATACAGCAACATTACAAACACAATCATCCTCGGAGACGTTATAATTACTTCGCGTGTATATGTACCATTATCATGATATCGGGAGAGAGTCCTTACCCCCCATTAATGAAAAAAGAAAATCCCCTCTAACCTGTACCGTAGAATTTTTTTTTTCACCGTTGCGACATCGGACAGCCGGACATAACATGACAGTTCCCCCTACTTCCCCCCGCCTCTTACGGTATTAAAAGACCCTGCATGTCTCTCACAAGTGGCAACGGCGAACAAAAAAAAATACCTAGCTCCCCTCATCTCTCATCTCATCTCTTCATAAAGCCCACCCCCGCCTCATAAAAAAAAAGTTCACAAGAGCAATTCCCACCGCCTCAATGTCACCCCCGGCTGCTCAATCCCCTACACTGCCACCTACTCCTGCGCTCGATGAAACACCTCTCGGGAAACTCGCAAGCATGAAGATTACAGAGTCTCCCGCTCAACCGCAGCCTGACATACTGGCACTGCCGAACCAGCTCGCCATAGCTGGCAGGGCTCAGAACACTCTGACCCTGAACCGCCTCGGCCCATTGACACCGGAAGCTTCACGTCCGAGCAGCCCGTATGCTCCGCCGGTCAATTATGACGGATTGTCGTGGCCGAGTAAGACACTCTGAAATTGTGCCGGTGACTCATGGGACCCCAATGCTAATACTGGTGGCTTGCAGGTGTCGGAACGAAGGAGCGCTTGGAAGCAACACCCGAAGAAGCCGCTGCGCGCCTTGAGAAGCTGTCCGGAGCGTAAGCCCCCCCCCCCCCCCCTCCATTTGCCCTGTTCAAGAGGCGTAAGAGAGATAGCTGGGACTAAAAAACCTCCATGCAGCATCCGCACTCTCCTAGAATGTATCGGCGAGGACCCCACGCGCGAAGGTCTCCTTGACACCCCAACACGCTATGCCAAAGCCATGCTCCACTTCACGAAGGGCTACCAAGACAACCTGCGTGTCATCGTCAACAATGCCGTCTTCGCCGAGGACCATGACGAAATGGTGATCGTCAAGGACATCGAGGTCTTTTCCATGTGCGAACACCATCTCGTCCCTTTCACCGGAAAGATACATATCGGCTATATTCCGAAGGGGAAGGTCCTGGGGTTGAGCAAGTTTGCCAGGATCGCGGAAATGTTTGCGAGGCGGTTGCAGCTACAGGAGAGGTTGACGAGGCAGGTTGCGATGGCCATCGAGGCTATTTTGAGCCCGTTGGGTGTTGCGGTCGTCATGGAGAGTAGCCATTTGTGCATGGTTATGAGAGGCGTGGAGAAGACGACTGCGACAACCATCACGAGCAGTATGTTGGGGGCGTTTAGGAAGAGCACAAAGACAAGAGAGGAGTTTATGCATCTGGTAAGCTTCGGACGATATCTGTGATAGAAATGACGATTTGCGTTACTAATAATGTTCTGTAGGTTTTGCGAAATGGACGATAGTCGCGCCATTTACGGGGGTAAACAAATATCTTTTCTTTCGCTTCATTTCTTTAAAATTTACGAATGTGCTATATTTTTTCTCTCTCTTCTTTGGGTGGATTTGAATTGTTTCTTTGGATAAAAATATGTACTACTTCAACAAGGTACATAACGGCGTTTTTAAAAGGTGGTATACGGTGTTCATCCACTGTCAGCTATGGGAGGATAAATCTTTTTCTTCTTTTTATTTTTCTTTTTGTTCGAAAAGCAGTTAGAACGGGAGATATCATTTGGAATTGATACATGGTTATATGTGTATCAAGGGATACACACCGAATCTTATGTTGTTCGATGTGCCGTGATGTATTGTAGTGATGTGGCGTCATAAGTTATCACTCGTTCCACAACTCTTGGGGATAGGTCTTTCTTGCGGTTTACACTAGCACTATGTAACTCTCATGTATGACCATCCATACAGCACCAAAAAGGGGATGTAATAGGTCTTTATTGAAGCTACATCAGCACAAAATTGTTCAAACTTCCGATTAAATTTAAATTCTAACCATCATACTGTAGAAATGCCGTTTCCTCAGGGTATTCTGCTAAATACCGAACCCACTCGCTTTTTTTTTGGCATTAAGTAGGTATATTGTTTAGATTCTTAAATAAATGATTATGAACAAGACAATCTAAAAACTTTTTATTTTACAATTAACCCAACAACTTTTAAGCCAGAGTTGCGAAGCCTCTCTTCTTCGTCGCCCTTTCCTCCTGCATCTTAAACGCCTCCTCATCCACATACTCGCTCACCCCTCTCTGATCAACCCCACTCTTAACAAACTTGACCGCCGCCAGATTGAATCCCATCTCATCCTTCTGGTGTCTTAACGCAGCCCTTAGGTTCGCCCTCACACTATCCAGCATCGTCCGCATCGTCTTTGACGCCACAATCTGCTTATGATGCGTCTTGAGTAGGAAGAACAGGATCCGGCACGTCAGCGAGATGTGCCACTCCTTCTGCGCCCAGATGTCCAGGAACGTCAGGAACGACACAACCTTCTCGAACGGCAGCACGAGTAGGGCGTCTTGCAAGTGGGATGCCTTGATGCGCTGTGCCGTGGTCAAGACGTGTTTTTCGGCGGAGATGTTGCCTAGTGCAACGAAGACGGGGTTTCGAGCGGGGGGCGCGAGGTTGGGTCGGGTGGCTTTGGCTTGTGCGTACTCCCGCAGGAGGGCAAGGTCGGCGATGCCGGCGTCGAGTGCCTCCATGAGACGCTCGCCGGCCATGAGGGTTTCAATGGTTTGCTTTCCGGCGGCGGTGGCCCCGCCGTCGTTGGCGTCGCCTTCGGCTTCAAGAGAGGTGGTTAGTGTGGATTCGTAGAGCTCTTCAAGCTCCTTTTCGCGCTCCTCTTCTAGGAAGATCTAGGGAATGTTAGTGAGGATGGAGCGGGATGGAGATGAAGAATGGGTACATACCTCGTCGTCGCCTTGCTCCCATACTCGGATGCTTTTGTCGTGACTGGCGGAGACAATTATTTCGCTGACTTTGCCGACGGCGAGGGCCCATACTTCGCCAAAGTGACCGTCCATCTTCATGATGTTCTCGAACTTGTCGCCGTCCCAGTACTTGATGAGTTTGTCTTTGCCGGCGGAGAAGAAATTGTGAGAGTTGCGCTCGAAGGCGACCTGCATGACCGAGTCCTGGTGGGCGAAGAAACTCTTGTGACAGTCTCCAAAGTCAAGACCCCAGATCTTGACATTCTTGTCGGCGGAACATGTTGCGATGAGCTTGGAGTCTGAAGAGATGTCCATTGAGAGCACGGGCAGCTTGTGGCCGTAGAGATTGAGGAGATGCTTCAGAGTGTCTGCAAAGAACACCTTCACGGTGTTGTCTAGCAGCGCAATGGCAAGAAGTTTGGTATTAGGGGAGTAGCGTACAGAGAGCACATCATCTGTGACCTTGAGAGTGCGGGTGTGGGCTAGCCTCAGGCGCGGAGTTGTGCGTTTTGTGCCGGGGATCTCCTCCTGCACAATCTCAAAATTCCAGAACTTGACGTTCTTGTCTGCGGAGCCGGTGACGAGGGACTTTCCGTCTGGGTGGACTTGCAGAGACCAGATTGCACCCTCGTGCGCTGCAACTGTTTCGATGATGCTGGAGGAGGTGACGTCGAAGAGCTCTAGTTCACCAAATTTTGTGCCTACTACTACAATCTTGTCGCCGGGGAGGAAGGAACAGCAGAGGGCATAGCCGCACTCAAAGGTCCGGATGCAGGTAGAGGTTTTGACGTTCCAGATTTTGAGAGAGCCGCTGGATGCAGACGCAAGCATTCGATCGTCAGAGCTGAGGGATAGGGAACGGATATCGGTCCTGTGACCTGGTAGCTCGACAGTGTAGACTTTGTTGTACTCTGGGACTTCTGCGGCTTCCTTCTTCCCTTCCTTCCGTGAGGGCTTGGGAATATCGTAGAATTCGAGGGTGTTGTTTGTGCAGGCTACAAGGAGCTTTACAGCTTCAGATGCTTTGCTTCCCCCTCGGGTGGCCCAATCTACTGAACGGACCTTGCCGCTAGTCCGGAGTGTGACATAAGAGACGAAAACATCGCTGACCTCGGCAGATGCCAATGATTCGGGTTCTTCTTCTGTGGGTTCTTCAGGCTTGGGTTTTGCACCCTTCGCCGCCTTTTCTTCCTTCCGCTTTCTCTTGCGCTTTAGCGCCTTTTTGACCTCGTCTTCCGTTCTTATCCGCCAGATCTCGACATTCTTGTCGGAGCCGTGGCTTGCCACGAAGTTGGATGTGGGGTGAAAGGTCACCATTGTGGCGCGGTCCTTGGTGGATCTGTATAGAGCCCCGCGAGGTATCAGGCAATCTGTATCGCCCTTCGACCGCGATGCAAGGCTGGATGTGTCAATCCCCCATACTTTGAGTTCTCCGTCGTTTCCTGCTGTGATACAACCCCGTTCATCGGGGGACACTGCCATTGTCCAACATTCTCCATTGTGCGCAACGTGGGTCTCCATGCAGTGCTGGGTTGAAAGATCCCAAAGTTTTATCAGTGTGTCTTTGCCAGTACTGACTAACCAGCCCGCATCATTCGCACCCATTGCGTCATCTTTAATCTCGGGGCCACGTAGGAACACAATCTTTGTGATCTGGTCTTTGTGACCCCGTAGTCTGTAGAGCCCAACTTCAGAGATCAGATCCCAAACGATAATGTTGGCATCCTTACTGCCGCTCGCAAGACGGGTGCCAGAGTGGTCGAAGCATAGGGTCGAAACTGCCGAGCGATGCCCATTGAAGCTGATTATTACTGTAGAGGTTTTGGTATCCCATAGTCGGATTGATCCATCGTTGTAACCAACTGCGAATATGTCGTTGTCGGTTTGGGACTGGACGATGGCCGAGACTTCGGATTTGCATTTGGGGTCTCTCCACCGGGAGATGAGCTCGCCCTTCTTAATATCCCAGGTAAGGACTTCTTCGTTCGCCGGGACTACGGCGCGACCGGCATTGGTGCGCGATGTGCTGTTGCTCTCCGGGGTCCATATGGCATTCGCAGTGCCCGAGGCGACAATACCGAAGGTTCGGAGATGCTCGAATCGTCTGTATTGTAGAATATTGTGTTAGTGGAGTAATGGAGAGCAATTGGAGCCCGTGGGGATTGTGCGCACAGATATGACTTGACCATCGTGTGAAGAATGCGCTGAGGAAAAGAACCCAAGCTGCTGCAAATTGAAGCTATCTATTTTTCGCAACGGTTTAGGACTTTTTTATGCAGGTTGGGCGCAAAAATCCCGTCGCTACGCCACTTGGATGATGCGGCTCTTATGGCACGCACCAGCCACATCCCACTTCTAGTGCGTTGAACGACTTGTCTGAATGAAATAATCTACCACCTTCTGGGGAAACCGCCCACCACAATACGCAGACCGCTGGAAATGACGTCCCTGAAGAGATCATCCACTGATTCGACAAATAGATCTAACATCTCATCAAAAGTCTTTCTCAGATCAAGTAAGGGCAAATGCACAAAGGTCGTCCGTGAGCTCTATCTCAGGCAGGACATACCTTGTTCTTCACAGCTATGTTTCCCGTGCAGCGCAGATGCGCCCGCCGACTCCAATGGCCGTGTAAGACCATTCGTTCTCTCAGCCACGCCGGCTGCGAATAATATATTCACGAAAGGACACTATATAGTCCCCGATACGAACATATTCCTCTATTGTATGGACATCATAGAGCACAAAAGCGCTTTCTACGATGTAGTTGTGCTTCAAACCGTGCTCGACGAGCTCAGAAATCGGTCCTTGCCATTGTATAATCGGCTACGGTCCCTAGTCAGCTCGCAGGAGAAACGATTCTACGTCTTTCACAATGACTTCCGATTGGAGACATTTGTGAAGCGCTTGGAGGGCGAGACAATCAACGACCGGAACGATCGAGCCGTGAGGAGGGCTTGTGCGTGGTATAAGGAACACTTGATGGATGCAGTTTCGGGAACGAAGAGTAATTGCCCGGAAATTATCATGGTGAGCGATGATAAAGGGAACCTTGCGAAGGCGAAGAAGGAAGGGATCGAGTGCGCTTCTAGTATGTTGAGTTGGTCTAGTGATATATGTGCCTGTTCTGGTGACTGACTTTGTATAGTAAGGGATTATGTCCGAGGTCTCAAGAACGCCGATGAGCTCCTTGATATGATTTCTGCGGCTGTGGAAGACGCCCAGGCTAAGGCTTCTAAGGCGGAAATGCTGTATCCTGAATACTTCACAATGTCTAAAATGCAAACTGGTGTTAAGGCGGGAACGCTGCATCAAGGAGCTTTCAATGTATCGCCATACAACTTTCTCGAGGGAAGTGTTCATGTACCGGCTTTCGACAAGGCTCTGCTCATTTTGGGTAGAGAGAACATAAACCGAAGCGTATCGGGTGACGTTGTTGTTGTAGAGATCCTGCCAAAGGAACAGTGGAAGCAGCCGAGTACAAAAATCGTGGAAGAGGAAAGTCTGACGAAAAACGACAACCCGGACGTAGATGCGCCTGAGGCGATCGAGACTGAGCAGGAGCGGAAGGCACTGGTCGAAGAGGTCAAGAAGACACTTGGAGGCAGTGCCGAAGGAAAGCCGCAACCTACAGCGAGGGTTGTGGGTATCGCGAAGAGGAATTGGCGATAGTATGTGTTCCTATCCAAGCTACATAGAAACAACGTTTGTTAACATTTATTCTGATAGTTACGTTGGTCATGTTGACCCTTCTTCTGCCTCAGCCTCTCGCGGCCGTAGCCAGCAGACTGTTTTCTTAATACCTATGGATAAACGTATTCCCAAAATTAGAATCCGAACCCGCCAAGCCTCTGAACTTCTGGGTAAGAGGATTGTTGTAGCAATAGATTCATGGGATAGAACATCGCGGTACCCTGTCGGGCACTTCGTCCGTTCACTTGGTGAACTCGAGACTAAAGAGGCGGAGACAGAAGCATTGCTGCTCGAGTACGATGTCCATTATAGACCATTCCCGAAGGCAGTCCTAGACTGTCTCCCCAAGGAAGGTCATGACTGGAAGGTCCCCCAAGATCCAAACCACCCAGGATGGATTGGGAGAAAAGATTACAGGGGTTTACTTGTATGCAGTATCGATCCTCCTGGCTGTCAAGACATCGACGACGCACTCCACGCAAAACTACTTCCCAACGGAAACTATGAGGTCGGCGTGCATATTGCCGATGTCACACATTTTGTTAAGCCCAACAACCCAATGGATGATGAAGCTACAGCCAGAGGAACCACAGTTTACCTTGTCGATAAACGTATTGACATGTTGCCCATGTTACTCGGAACAGACTTATGTTCACTGAAGCCATATGTGGAACGTTACGCATTTTCAACAATCTGGGAAATGACACCGGATGCCGAGATTATCTCTGTTGATTTTACGAAGTCGGTCATCAAGTCGCGAGAGGCGTTCAGTTATGAGCATGCGCAGTTACGAATTGATGATGAATCGCAACAAGATGAGCTCACTAACGGAATGAGGGCACTCCTTAAACTCTCCAAGAAGCTTAGGCAAAAGCGTATGGACGCCGGTGCACTGAACCTTGCGAGTCCTGAGGTTAAGGTTGAGGCCGAGAGTGAGACGAGCGATCCGATTGATGTAAAGACAAAGAAATTACTAGAGACGAACTCTCTGGTCGAGGAGTTTATGTTACTCGCCAATACTAGTGTCGCAAGCAAAATCTACGAGGCTTTCCCCCAGACGGCCATGCTGCGGCGTCACGGCGCTCCTCCAGCAACCAACTTTGAGGAGTTGCAAACTCAGCTCCGAGTCCGAAAGGGTCTTACCCTCCGCGTCGATTCTTCAAAGGCGGTCGCGGATTCACTTGATGAATGTGTCGACATCAGTGAACCGTTCTTTAACACTCTTGTTCGCATCCTCGCAACAAGATGTATGCTTTCTGCGGAATATTTCTGTTCTGGGACTCAAGCGTACCCAGAATTCAAGCATTATGGACTGGCTTCTGAGATCTACACCCACTTTACATCTCCCATCCGACGTTATGCAGATGTAGTGGCCCACCGTCAACTCGCTGCTGCGATAGCCTACGAACAACTTGATAACTCTCTTCATAGCAAGGCGAAGCTCGAGGCTATCTGCAAGAATATCAATGTCCGTCACCGGAACGCACAATTTGCAGGACGCGCATCTGTAGAGTACTATGTGGGGCAGGCGCTCAAGGGGCGCGTTACTAAAGAGGAAGGGTTCATCATGAAGATCTTCTCCAACGGTTTTGTTGTGTTTGTACCCAGATTTGGTATCGAAGGGATGATCAGGACACGGGAGTTGTCGCAGGGAGGGGTAGAGCCGGAGACAGAATTTGATGCGGAGGCCTATGTATTGACTATCGGTGAAGGTAGCGAGAAGTTGAGTGTAGGGCTGTTTGATAAGGTTGTGGTGGAGGTAACAGATGATAAAGAGGAGAAGACGGGAAAGAGAAAGATAAAACTGACGTTGGTCAAAGTTGGAGGGAAATAAAGAATAAGGATCATATAGATAAAATTGTTAGAGTGAATGTTGTTACGGGATCAATGGATCGCTGCCTTGGTTGCTGCTGTTCTCTCTTATAACTGAGAAACGCTTCCTCTTCATGTTTAGGGCCCGTTTGGGAGCGGTCCGAAACGGAGCTATTGGGGCTTGAAACTCCGTTCTGGTGAAAACTCCGTTCTGAGAAAATTAGTTGTGGTTGGCGACCCATTTCGCGGGTCTAGAAAACAACGTTAATCCCATGAAAACGCTCAGACTTACTTTTTCTTATCACAACTGTAACATCTCGTTGTACCGTCAACACCACAGTCTCCTAAACAGTACACAATACGTTTAAAACTCCGTTTTAAAATTTCTCCGTTTCCTCCCCACTAACGGAGGCCTAAGCAAAACGGCGTTTTCTACACTCCTGGCTCCTAAACGGGCTCTTATTGTTTGCTGCTGCCTCGCCCGTAATCTCTATCCTATTTGGACGACTATTTTTCAACCCCATTGAACCAGACTCCAAATGTCTATTCCTAACAAAAGTTATTAACATACAAGTAGTTACTTGTGTGCATGGGGCTATCGAACTTACGATCTTGTGTGACCAACTGATAATACTCCAATTCACCGATGCTGCACATTTGATTTGCTGTTAGATTCGCCTCACAACCCAGACAAATAAAAATGGGCCACCCCCGCTTTCAATTTATCCAGCTGTATCCCTACCTCTCCTGAGCTTTGACTTAACCTCCTTCATTTCATTTTCAAATTCTTTGCTGTACCTTATGGCTGAACCTTTATCCATTGCGGCGAGCACTATCGCTATTGTGCAGGCCACGCAGCTTGCTGGTCAGGCTTTGATTGCGATTCATACCTATTATGGCGATGTAAAAAAGGCGCCCGAGACTGCCAGGAAGCTTGTGGGCGAGATCAAATCTCTTGAAGGAATCCTCAATCAAATGAAAACATATGGAGAAGAAAACAAACAATCAATAGCAATACCGAATCTGGAGGAAAATCTAAAGGATTGTTCCAAGTCACTAGAAAAATTACAGGCAATGCTTTACACGACTCAGAAGGTATCAAAGCTGAAGAAGATGTTGAAAGGGCTCAAGCAAGCACTCAACAAACAGGAGATTGCGGATATCATGTCCCAAATTCAGCGTTATAAGGAAACATTCAGTCTTGGCTTGGCCGTGGAGAATATGTGGGTTATCCTAGTTAAAAGGTCTCATTAATAAATAGACGAAAGCGAGACTAATTCTCGGCATAGATTCATTACAAGAAACGTCGAGGCACGTGTTCAGCATATCGCTCAAGAACAACATATCGATAAAATAAATACAATGAAAGGCCATTCAGGTAAAATCCATGACTACAAACATTTTGGATGAATTCTTACCGAAGCTAATGGGTCGTTAGAGGAGAGATGGAAGAAGATCCTTCATTGGGTTTTCGCGGGATCTACTAGTAAAAAGCACATTGATATCACAAAGAGAAGGCGGAAAGAGACCGGGAAATGGTTTTTACAGACTCCAGGGGTTCAAAGCTGGATTACTGATCCAGATTCCCCAATTGTTTGGGGCCACGGTATTCGTAAGTTTTGGGGAATAGAGAACTAATCATTGGCACTGATGATTTTAAAACAGCTGGTTCTGGAAAGACATTTTTAAGGTATATATAATGCCTTCGTATTTATACAGAGTATATTGTTTCGCTAATCCAAGGTATTGAGTCTAGCTCTGCTGCAATCGACCATGTCGAAAATGAAAATCTATTCCCGACAACAGAAATTAACGGAGTCGCCCATATATACTTTGATTACAAAGACCAGGAACAACAAAAAGCTATCGATGTTCTCTCCAGCTTGGTGAAACAGCTTGCTTACCAATTGCCACGCCCGCTCAAAGAACTTGAAGAATTATATGAAAGGAAAGAATCTAAAGATAGAAGGCCTACGACCGATGAGCTTTTGTCTATTCTCCTCATTATCTTCACATCCTTTAATCGCGTCTTTCTTATATTCGATGCACTGGACGAGTCCGATCAGCGCAAAGAGATTCTTCCACTAATTCAGCGCATGTCGATGAAAAAAGTAAATGTGCTTGTTACCAGCAGGCCTTACCCAGAAGACATTCAGGCGTTGTTCGGGCACAGCACCTTAAAAGTAGAAATTCTCGCCAAGGAAGAGGACATCGTCAAATATATCAAGGGAAAGATCGATGAGGACCCTCGAGCAAAGCGGCTCGTCGGGCTTGGGAATTGTCGGGGAAAAATCGTTTCCGAACTTGTGGACTGTGCTAAGGGAATGTATGTGTATCTAGAAAAGCCACAATTTATGAGATCTAGGACTCTTCTATATGTGCTAAATTTTGATATGTACCCAGGTTTTTGCTCGTTCATTTCCATGTAAAGTACATTTGCGAACAGACGACTCCAAATGAGATCCTGGAAGCGCTCGACGGACTCAAGAATAGCTCTACGGATGAGAGACCCCTAGATCCTACTTATAACAGAGCTATAGAAACCCTCAAAAAGCAAGCTAAGGGCCCCAGAGCCTTAGCAATCAACATTCTTTCATGGCTTCTAAAAGCTAGGCGCCCTATGACAGTTGACGAAATCCGGACTGCGGCACGTCTCGAACCAGGTAAATACAAACTAGACGAATTTGACCTCCCAGCGGACGAAACACTTCTCGACGTATGTGCTGGTTTGGTCATGATAGACGAGATGTCTAAAACGATCAAATTTGCTCACTATACCGTCCAAGAGTATCTTTTAAACAACAATATCATTCCTGATAATATAGAGTCCAAACTGGCTGTGGTATGCATTACTTATCTACTATTCAAAGTCTTTGAGGTTCCTCCACAAACAGAAGAGACTACCCGCGCATGCCTTGAGTCACATCACTTTCTTCGTTATGTTGCTTCACATATATCTTTTCATGTTGGAAATCGTGAGAATGATGAATTAGTTACGGATATAGTTATGAGGTTTCTGAAGAGAACTGGCAATGTTTTATCGTTCTTGAGGGCATGCCAAAATCTAGATATTGTTAGCTTTTTGGAACACAGGAAGATCCAAACCATCGAAGATTTGGAAAAGTGGGAGGCTTTGTGCATAGCATGCCATATCGGACATCACGACACCGTAAAGATTTTAATCGGTGACGGAGCAGACGTTCTGAAATCAGACAAACTAGGACGTACTCCTCTATACTTCTCAGTGCACATTGGAAGTCAATCGATCGCCCAGCTACTGCTCAATGTTGGCGCTGAAGTTTCAACCCAGACATTGAACCATCAACGGACACCGCTAATGGAAGCAGTAACAAATGGTTATCAGTCAATTGCTCAAATACTACTCAACAATAGAGCCAATGTTAAAGTTCAAGATGAGTATGGTTGGACAGCATTGCACCATGCGGCATATGAAGGGTACTTTGAAATCGCGCAACTCCTCGTCAATTATGATGGTGTGGAGATATCAGCTCAAGACGAAGAAGACTGGACAGCACTACATCTTGCAGCACAGGATGGATACCTGCCAGTTGTCCAGCTCCTGCTCGATAAGGGCGCCGATTTCTCGAACCGAAATAATAATGGAGCTTCAGTCTTATGTATCGCGGCACAAAATGGACACCTGCCAGTCGTCCAGCTCCTGCTCGACAAGGGTGCCAATGCCTCGGACCGAGATAAGTATGGTGCTTCAGTCTTATACATGGCGGCACAAAGTGGACATCTACCAGTCGTCCAGCTCCTGCTCGACAAGGGCGCCAATACCTCGGACCGAGATAATAGTGGTATTTCAGCCTTATACATCGCGGCAGAAAAAGGACACCTGCCAGTCGTCCAGCTCCTGCTCGAGAGGGGCGCCGATGTCTCGGACCGAGTGGATGATGATGGTACTTCAGCCTTATACATCGCGGCACAAAATGGGCACCTGCCAGTCGTCCATCTTCTGCTCGAGAGGGGCGCCAATGCCTCGGACCGAAAGAAAAATGGTACTTCAGTCTTATACGTCGCGGCAGAAAAAGGACACCTGCTAGTCGTCCAGCTCCTGCTCGACAAGGGCGCCAATGTCTCGAACCGAAATAATAATGGTGTTTCAGCCTTATACATCGCGGCACAAAGGGGACACCTGCCAATCGTCCAGCTCCTGCTCGATAAGGGCGCCGATGTCTCGAACCGAAATAATAATGGAGCTTCAGTCTTATACATCGCGGCAGAAAAAGGACACCTGCCAGTCGTCCAGCTCCTGCTCGACAACGGCGCTGATGTCTCGAACCGAAATAATGATGGTGCTTCAGCCTTATACATCGCGGCAGCAATGGGAAACCTACCAGTCGTCCAGTTCCTGCTCGATAACGGCGTCAATGCCTCGGACCGAAAGAATAATGGTGTTTCAGCCTTATACATCGCGGCAGAAAAAGGACACCTGCCAGTCGTCCATCTTCTGCTCGAGAGGGGCGCCAATGCCTCGGACCGAGTAGATGATGATGGTACTTCAGCCTTATACATCGCGGCACAAAATGGGCACCTGCCAGTCGTCCATCTTCTGCTCGAGAGGGGCGCCAATGCCTCGGACCGAACTAAAGATGGGTGGTCAGTCCTACACACTGCGGCACACAATGGACACCTAAAAGTCGTCCAGCTATTGCTTGAGTATGGTGCCGACATGCTAGTTCAAGGCCCGGATGGGGTAACACCGTTGGACCTCGCAGAATCAGAATCTATAATCCAACTCCTCACTCCAAACGCAAACCAGTAAAAGATGTGCGAAGAGCTATCTTCCCGAAACTTTTATCTAGGTCAGGTGCTTACTCTGTGTGAAAGTAGTGATAATAATAGCGAGGAAGAGGGCCCTTGAGGTGTGACCGATGGTTTCCGAGCCGCGGGTGGGACAGGGCAGCGCAAATGGGTATGTGGGAATTGAGGGTTGCTGGGGGTTTCGAGGGCTTTAGGCTTTAAAATTTTCTTATTTTTTCGTCTTATGTAGTTCTACAAGTAAGATGATTATTATTATATCCCTTGGACGGATGAAAGTTGTCAAATTCGCGACCACACTCTTTCAGCTATCACTAGCCTAATATAGCAATTGTTGGAAATTCTTGATTGGTTCTGTTGTTGTTTCCAACCGTAAAAAGCAAGATAGTTCCCTTACTAAGTGGTGCACGGTCCAGGTCGCGAATTTGACAACTTTCATCCGTCCAAGGGTTATATAATTCTGGGAGCGGACATTTCCGGTGATCGAGTGATGGTCTATGATCGAGTGATGATCCATGACAGCTAATTGAAAGCCGCCTAGGTATCAAACTCCTGAATGGTGATCATCTCAAGTAGCTGTAAGGAACCGGAGCGCCCGATAGAGGTGCTTCCAGGTCACTAGGCTTCAAGGCGAGAGTGGCGGTAATGCCTAGTATGGCGTTAGCAACGAATTGAATCTTGATATAGTAATACTGCAGCTAAGCAGCTGAACTCCGAAAACGGAGGAAGGGATACACCGATGCTTTCATCTAGACGATATGTAAGAGATCTAAAGTTATCAAATTAATCCATTCGTATATGTCTTTAGGGCCCGTCGTCGATAGCTACATATCTAAGCTGGAGGACAGCGAAGTACGTACCCGGGCACAGCTTGGGCAAGAAATCATCTCATAGTCTTTGGAGCCCGCAAAATCTTAGCTATTCCTCTGAGACTCGTAGTTAGACTTCACCCATTGCATTATTGAGGGCGTCTAATGCGAGTCAAAGATTTCTCCGTCTTTCTTTCTCGACGTATTTTTCGTATCGTACAGCTGATGGTTTTCATGTGGGTTACCCAAATACTCTCTAATAGCAGTGCCCTGGGTGCTAGGAAGAGGAGAGAGTCGCCTGGAGAAGGGCACATAGTCCCCTTGATAGGTATAGCACTGGTGTGAGTACGGGGCTGCAACACATAGAATTCCCTATATCAAAGCGCCCATCGTACCTCACTTCTGGGTACAGACTAGGATCGTGATGTTCGTTAGAACAAGGGTAGCACATGCCAAGCACATATCCAACCCAACTAGCTTTAGCGTCCACAAGCTGCACAACGCCAAGATTTCGCAACTTTTTCCTCCAGAGCTGCAACTCTCCACCGCAGACACCACCACCCCCACCACCGCCCTCTACTACAACACAGAAGATGGCCTCCAAACAACCCTCAAGAAAAGGCAAAAAGGCCTGGAGAAAAAATGTCGACATCAGCGAAATCAACGCAGGCCTCGACCAGCTCCGCGATGAAATAATCCAAGGGTACTTACTGCACACACCCTAATCCCCACCACCCCCAAATTGCCTTCCCCCACCTAACGTGCCACCTACAGAGGAGTAATTGTCGAAAAGACCGACGAGCAGCTCTTCGCCCTCGATACAACCGGCGACACCGCAATCGCCAAAGCCCACTTCAAAACCGCCAAAGTCCTCAAAGCCGACGAGATCATCTCCGCGCGCTCCGCCGTCCCAGCAATCAGGAAGCGCCCCGGCCTCAATACCACCAACGGCATCATCGCCAAGAAGGCCCGCCGCGCAAATGTCATCACATACAAGGATATCGAGAGGATGAAGGCCACGGCGTACGGCCAGGAGGCTGCCTCTGGAGAGCTGACAAGTACGAAGAATATCACCATTGACTACGACCCGTGGGCCGAGGAGGCTCCGCAGGATGTGGCGAAGAAGGAAGCGTTGCGTGAGACGGAATTCTCGTTCATTCCGGCCCCACAGCCGTTTAAGGAGCCGAAGACGCTGAAGCAGCCGCCGGTGTCGCTGGCGGTGTCGGGACGGCCAGTTCCGGCGGTCAGGGTGCCTGAGGCCGGGATTAGTTATAACCCAGAGTTCGCACAGTGGGATGCGCTTTTGCAGAAAGAGGGGGCAAAGGAGGTGGAATTGGAGCAGAAAAGGCTGGCCGAGAAGGCTGAGGCGGAGAGGATCAAGGCGTTGGCAGCAATCCCCGATGAGGAAGAGGAATCGGACGAAGAAAACCACTCGACCGAGTCAGACACAGAGGCAGAGAAGCCAGTAAAGAAGATGCCAGACAGGAAAACACAGGCGCAAAGGAACAAGATCAAGCGCAGAAAAGAGCTTGAGCTGATCAGATTACAGGAGCAGAGACTCAAGAGGCAGGCAGCAGAGTTCTCGCTCGTAAAGAAGTACGCCAAGGATGTCGAGGCGAGGGAGCGACTAAGGCTTGCAAAGCGTGCGGCCAGGCTCAATATCGACGATGATGAGAAGAACCCTAAACTTATGCGAAGGCGGAAGTTTGGAAAAGTCGGGTAAGTCGTCCCCTCGTAGGATAACTATCCAAAAGAGTTGTTATTAACCATACCTAGTCTTCCCCGTGCTCCCTTGGAACTCCAACTCCCCGACGAACTCGCAGACTCTCTCCGCACTCTCAAGCCTGAGGGAAATCTTCTCCGGGATCGCATGAGGAGTCTGCGAGAGCGTGGTGTGTTGGAAACTAGACTCCCAGTCACCCAGCGGAGAAAGCACCAGAAGAAGGTGTCGGAGAAATGGAGTTATAAGGATTTCAAATAGACTTGGGTTACGGGGCGGCTTTTGTACAGTACATACACGCATAAAATTTGGTGGTGTTAATATTTGTTGTAGGATGGGTGGGATTGGGAAAAAAAAGTCTGGATTTGATTTTTTGATTTTTACTTGAAAACCGATTGATGGCTACATTACTCATGGCATCAATGAAAACATTTTCACACCACATTTCCCTATAAATATAGCGAGATACTTGTCCAGTTGCTCATGGGTCGGGGCTTTGCTGAGTTAGCCTCACCTCTCATCACTTGACGTGTCCCATCGATCGGTACACAAGGAACCTACAATGGGTTCCGCAGGTTTCCAATTGAAAATTCGTAAGTTTTCTCTCTTTTTTTTTTTTCTTTTCTTCTCTTTCGATTCCCCTTATTTTTTTATTATTATTTTTTTCTCCCCGCAATGTCTTGTAATGGAACAACCACCCAGAGGAACGTGAAAAGGCGTACGTAGAGTGCACTACATAAGATATGCGAAATTCAAATACGCGTTCGGCCGGCCGTCGCCGGGGGGTCGCACAGGAGACAGGTAGTTGACCGGCATTGTTATTTAAAAACATATGGGAGAGAACTAGGCCGCAGGCCAATGCTTCATAATTGGGCATAAATTTCTAGAAATAAAAGCTGCAGTTTCGAAAATTTCCCTCAACGGTAACTAATTCTAGCTCCCATAATCTCAAACCCTACAATTGATTGCATATCATATCTGTAATCCGCCATCTAGCAATCTACTGGCGAGAAGGCCTCCGATATAGCGTAGGTCGGGCTTGTAGGAAATATGGCATTTCAGAAAACCCTAGCCCTACGTTCCAATGCCACAAAGTTACCCTCCCCGCCCAGCCACGGGAGTCAAGACGCGTTAACCCCTAGCTTGCCGCGTCGTCTAATTACTTCTGCTTCACCACCACCACGACCACGCGAACAACCCATCTCCATCCTCATCACCACCCTCCACCCACAACCATCCCAATACCAATTCCCATCATCCTCCACCCTACACACAACCCAATCCACAGCTACAATGTTGGAAGCACGTCTCGAGCAAGCCAGCACCCTGAAAAAGGTACCACCATCCTCCCTCCCACTCAATCCATTCATCCCCCCAAATACCAGCACCCTACTAACCCCCCCCTGCCATCCCCCAGGTCGTTGAGGCCATTAAAGACCTTGTCCAGGACTGCAATTTCGATTGCAACGACTCCGGCATCGCCCTACAGGCCATGGACAACTCCCACGTCGCCCTCGTGTCCATGCTCCTCAAATCCGACGGCTTCTCCCCATACCGATGCGACCGTAACATCGCTCTCGGTATTAACCTCATCTCCCTCACCAAAGTCCTCCGCTGCGCGCAGAACGAGGACATCCTGACCCTCAAGGCCGAGGATGCCCCCGACAGCCTCAACCTCGTGTTCGAGAACGCCGAGAACGACCGCATCAGCGAGTACGACATCAAGCTGATGGATATTGACCAGGAGCACCTCGGCATCCCCGAGACGGAGTACGCGGCCAGCATCACCATGCCGTCGGCCGAGTTCCAGCGCATCTGCAGGGACCTCATGGCGCTGAGCGAGAGCGTGGCCATCGAGGCGACAAAGGAGGGCGTTAAGTTCTCGTGCTCGGGCGATATCGGAAATGGCAGTGTCACGCTGAGACAGCATAACAATGTCGAGAAGCCAGAGACGTCGACTAGGATTGAGCTGACGGAGTCGGTGGCGTTGACTTTCTCGTTGAAGTATTTGGTCAACTTTTGTAAGGCGACGTCGCTGTCGTCGACGGTGACACTGTCGCTGTCGAATGAGGTGCCGTTGTTGGTTGAGTATGTCCACCTACCTATCCTCTAACTTCGGGAGGTCAATTGCTAACATTGCTTCATAGATACGCCATGGAGGGTGGTTACGTTCGATTCTACCTCGCCCCCAAGATTGGGGATGAGGAATAGACGGGGGTTGGTTTGTTTGCCAATTTCTTAGATGGGTGCAAGGGGGTAAACGCTGGGGGAGTTATTAAAAAGTACAAGGTCGGCGCGGCATATCATTTTGTATTTTTATTAAATAGCGTACTAGTAATGATCATGTGGCATGCCTTTTGAACCAAGCAAAGTAGTAGTAATACAGAAGGATATGAAAAAAGAAAAGAAAAAAAACTGTGCCGAAATATATGCTTATACATAGGGGTCTTTTATCCTTAAACAAGTGCCCGTCTCACCCTGCCGGCACCGGAGATGCGTGGCAGTATAGCCCGGATATCCTTAGAGACGAAATCTTTATTCGGCCCTTAAGCCGTCAAGCCGGTTGGTTCCTAATCGTGTTATAATTACTCAAGCCCAATTGCAATACGGAAGTCGTGATATGAACATAGGAGTGTCCATTGCATGACGAGGTGATCTCTCACTAATTAAGGACTGGTGTAAATTCGTGAGGAGCTAGTTTTTTTTCTTTTTATATATATATATATATATATATATAGCGGCTTCCGTACTGAGTTATAATTTAAGTAACACGATTGGGATTTGATCGGCCTGACGGCTTAATTGGCCAATTGGGGGCATAACAGGATTGTACTGCAGTAAATTGTAGTATTTACCGTGATGGCCCGCTGTTGTGTTTCTAATGTTACTATATGCACTGCCTACATGTACATGTATCTAGTTGTTGCTTTATGGCTTCATTTAAAAAAAAAAAAAAAAAAAAAGGCCAGAGGCCACACACGCCGGAGGTGCCGTGCCCACGCAACGGCTGAAGTAATGCTTTCCTTGCTGGCAGAACGGATTCGTAAAAAAAATGGCAAATTGAGGAACGGCGAAGTACTTACTCTGGCTGGGTCGCACAGAATGGTTATGCAGCAATAATTGTGCGCCCACTCTTAAAGGTGACGAAAATCGGGCGAAAAGTCAAGGGCTTATAACTTTGCCAAAAAACAAATTAAAAAAAAAATCGGTAAATAAAAAGTGTAGTACTGGTGATGAACTTTAGTTTTTATTTCCAGATTTTTGATATCTACCTTAGCTAAAAAGTTATAAGAGTTTGAAGTTGCGGATTTTTTGTATGTAAAGGGCGCCAAGACTGAGCAAAGTGGAACAATATTATACCCCCTCAAAAGTGAATTGCGGCAGGAATGCAGCAAAGTGGCTAGGAATAAGCCCTCTCATTGGCCTTGGAGTTCACCTTGCGGCCACGATTGTTCCACTTCCAGATACCGCCGTGTCACCATTAAGAGTGTGCGCACCATATCAAAACCAAGTATTTGCTAGAGCTAGAGGAACCTGTTGGAATTGAGTCCTTGCAAACTGGGTGCCGGTGTGGGGTTGTGAGCGGTTCGAGCTACATATGCATACCTTGTGTCTACTGCGGTGTGCTGCCCTTAATTCTGCGAACCTACTCGCCCTCTGATTGGCCAAGAGCGGAACCTAACCCTGACCTCTGCGTGGCAACGGGCTCACCCAAAATAAAAATAAAAAAAAAGACCCCAAACGGCATATAACACCCTAGTATAGACGAAGTATTGAGAGGTATCACCAATGGGGTGGGAGATATTGTTAACGGAATATAGAAAGGTAAGTACATGTACTACGTACATATATATAAGTCCTATTTTTGTTTGTTTAGTTCATTAATTGCATTATATAAGTCCTATAAACTAGACGGTATATCATAAACTACGACGTATAATGGGAGAAGCATAAGGGGAGGGGAGCTGGGGGGGGGGGGGGGGGCAGTACGTTTTAAATTTGGGTGGCACAAAAAAAGAACAAAAAGTACTGTGCGCTTCCGGGACGAATAGGCACTACTCCCACCCCTGGGTCGAACCCTGGCCTTCTGTGATCGAAAGCAGGGCTAAACCTCGCGGCGTTCTTTGGCGAGGGGTTAACCGTTAGACCACTCGCCCATGGGGTGTTGGTGGCTAGAAATGATATTTGTGCGCCAAGGATGGGTTGGCTACATACATAGCACTATGGTTGGGGACACATGGATCACAGGGCATCACTCGCAATGCCAAGAAACCTGCGCGGGGTCTTTGACGGTCTGTTCCTGCGCGCAAAGTCTACTTGTGTGATGTATGTGTATGTGTAGATATCCGCCGAAAGAGAAGAGAAGAGACAGAAAAAGAGAAAAAGAGAAGAGGAGGAAAAGAAGAAACCTCACTCGCACACAATATCGTATATTACAAGCTACAAGCTACAAGCTACAAACTACAAACCACTAGCTAACTACCAAACTACATGTACCTAAAAAAAAAAAAAAAAAGCCAAACTCCCGTAGAAGCAACGAAAAAGAGAAAAGACAAAAAAGAGAAAAGGACCATATAAAACGGAGAAACCCCCACAACCTACTCCTACTCCTACTCTTCATCCGCAAACATATCCTCGGCCCTCATCCTCTTCCTCACTCCCCCACCCCCCACCCCTCCTGCCACTCCTCCAACCCCACTACCCCCCACCGCACCCCCAGAAAAAGAAGGCTTCACCGCCGCACCATCATCAAACATCTCTTTCACATCCCTATCCCCATCATCATCCTCCTCCTCCTCCTCTCCTTCCCCCCCATTGTCCTCCTGCCCATCATCATCATCCTCCTGCATCGGCTCACCGTCATTATCCTCCTCCTCCTCCTCCTCCTCCTCGTCATCCTCAAGCATAGGCTCGCCGTCCACATCGTCATCGTCGTCGACCATGGGCTCGCCGTCGACGTCGGATGTGGGCGAGTCTGCGGGCTGGTCGGCGGTGAGCGGGTTGAAGGAGGAGGGGGTGGTCTCGACGGTTTTCCATTTGCTTTTGGGCGCGGGGGAGGTGGTGGCGGTGGTGGTGGTGGGGAGTTTGGTGGTGGTGCTGGGGGTGCTGGTGCTGGTGTTGGGGGTGGTTCTGGGGGCGGTGGTGGTGGTGGGGGGTGGGGTGGGGGGTGTGAGGAAGGAGGTGAGGAAGGCGTCTTGGGTGGTTTGCGGGAATATGCACCATTTCTGTATATTTGTTAGTTTTTTTTATTGTCCATCTCTCTATAGATCCCATATACATATCGACCAAGAAGAGAGAAAAAAACGGGAAAGAGAGAGAGAGAAAGCACATACCTCCCACCACTCCAGCACGCCCTCCACCACGCCCCTCCGAAACTTCTCCGCCTTCATGCGCCCCCACCCGGGCGTGCGATACACCTCGCCCAGATGCGCAAACACGCCCCTCTCCCTCAGCGCCACATCAAACAGCTGGCGGTACCGCCACGCGTTCCGGATTCCTAGAGAACTGTTGCTGAGCACGTCGGAGATGATCCACAGCGCCACGATCTTGGCCGCGTGTGTCTCCTCCGCGCCCTTCTCCCCACTCCCTTCCTCCTTCTCTTTCTCCTTCTCCTCCTCGTCGTCGTCCTCGCCTTTCGCGGCCCGGGTGAATGCGAGGGGCCGCAACACATTGCCAACCAACACGTCGACCACCTCCTCCCCCATCCCGCCCTCCGCATGCTCCATCGCAAACGCCATAACCCGCCCCACGTCCCCGCGCCGCACCTTCATCGTCTGCGTCGGCACCCTCGCCACCAAATGCACCAGCTTCGCCCTCCCCAACACCCCCAAATACCCCCTCTTCTCCACCCCCTCCGCCGCGCCCCCCCCAGCCCCACCCTCATCCTCGTCATCCTCCAGCAGCTCCTCACTGCTAAAGTCGCTGTCCTCCCTCACGTCGCGCATCGCGCCCGCAAACTCGTACCGCAGCGCGCGCCGCGGCGGGATCCACAGCGCGGCCAGCGCCGGCGTCGGCTCAAACACCTCGATGGCCGGCGGCGGGCGGTGCTGCCCCGTCACCAGCGACCACAGCTTCCAGCGGTAGTACACACCGGCCGGGGAGCGCGCGTCCCACAGCCATGCGAAGCGCGCGTCGGAGCGCACGTCGTCGCTGGCCATGAGCAGCGCTTCGAAGGCGGGCCCGTGGGTGATGAGGGCTTCGAGGGTTTTGTGGATGAGGCGGAGCTGGCGGATGTCGTTTGGTGGGGCGACGTGGACCTGGAGGGAGGCTGTTGCTGGGGTGGTGGAGGAGGAGGAGGAGGAGGGGTTGGGGGCGCGGTAGTTTGGCGGGGGTGCGAAGCCGCCGCGGTGGGCGGGCGGGGGAGGGGGGCGGTGGCGGTGGTGGTGGTGGCGGTGGTGGGTGGAGGTGGAGGGGGTGGGGGCTGTGGCGTTGAAGGGGGCGGTGGTGGGCGCGGGGAGCGGCGTGGTGGTGCTGATGGTGGAGGGGAGGTGCCGGCTGATGGTGAGCCAGAAGCCGGTGCCGAGGTAGCGCCCGTTGAGGGTGGTCACGGCCGCGTCGATGTCGGAGCTGGGTGTCTCGGGCGAGAGCGTGATGAGCGCGGAGGCGGCTTTGCGGATGCTGGGCGAGGGCTGGCTGGGGCCCGGTGGCGGCGGCGCGGGGATGATGCGGATCGAGTCGATGCGCAGCGGCGTGGACGCGAGGAGGGCCGTGAGGATCGGTTTTGTAGTCGACGGCGGCAGCGACGTGAGCGAGAGCGTGGGTTTCGGGTGTGGCTTGGACGTCTCGGAGTCTGTAACACAAAGCCCCCCCATCCATTAGCACTCCTCCCGCACCAATCCACTCCCCCAACACCACAGACAGAAACAGAAGAACGCACCACTGTCATCATCATCATCATCCTTCGCCCCACCAACCGAATTCTCAAACGCCAACAGCCCCACATTCCCCTCCCGCAGCCTCCTCTTCTCCCGCTCCCCCAGCCCCCCCACACCGCCAAACACCCCGCCCGCATCGTCGCCATCGCGCTCAAACGCCGCCTCCAGGTTGCGCTTCCGCTGCAGCGCCGCTGGCGGCGGTTGCGCCGTGAAGTGCCGTCTCCCAATCCCTCCTCCTCCTCCTCCTCCTCCTCCTCCTCCTCTTGCGCCACCGCGGAAGGAGCCGCGAGAGGAGGAGGAGGACGGGAAGGGGAGTGGCGGCTCGGGCTCGTCGAACGAGGCGACAAAGTCTTTGAGCACGGCGGCGGTCTCGGCTTCTTCGCGGAGGCGCTTGGCTTCGGCTTCGAGGCGGGACTTTTCGAAGGCGGACTTTTTGGTGGGGGCTGTGAGCTTGTCTTTGACGTTGGGGAAGGGGTCGTGGTCGGACATTGTTTTTGTTTTTGTTTTTTGTTTTTGTTTTTTGGTTTTGGTTTTTGGTTTTTGGTGGTGTTGAGGTTTGGCTGGCGTTGGTTGGGCGCGTTGTGTGAGGTTGGATGGATGATGGGTGGGTCATGGGTGATCACTCGGTCGGCCGGGTAAGGGTGGGTGTGCTACCATGTTGGCTTGTGAGAGGCTTGGCGGTGTTACACGGGGTGGGAAGCTTAAATGGCCCACTGCAGCTGGTGCTGTCACTCAAAAGCGCAAAACAGCATTCCCGGCCGTATATGTGCCGTTTACACATGCAAAGTATAGACATATTGTAGTCCCCAGTAATTTACAGTTCGGGATTAAATAGTGGCCATTGGTAGAGCAATTGAGCTCCCAACCGCTGCTCGTCCCTCATAGAGCTGGAGGACCAGGCACAAGCGTTGCGGAACAATGGCAAAAACACGAGTAACGCAGCTAGAGAAGTTAGGGAATGAGGACCGCATTCGATCACGGAAGCCGCTGGTGAAGGCCGGAGGCGGGTGTGGGTTCGTCGTCGTCGTCGCCGGTTGGGGCAGCGTCACAAACGCTCACTCGCACGGCTTGCAGGCATTTTGAACGTCGAGGTAACGAGAGACCTCGAGACTTCGAGACAACTGCAGAACAGGTAATACAAAGGGGATGGATGGGTTCAAGAGGCTGATAGATAACTCGCCTACCAGGGCGGTTATTTCTCTGTGTTTTCCCATGCGTGGAGGTATCTACAGACGCGTTGGGGGGAGGGGAGGGCAGGGCAGGTGGTGCAGTGCGTCCACGACGCACAGAAAGAGAGCAAGAATTAAGCCTTGCTCGAAGGTTTTATTAAACTATTGACTGCTTGTATTACTTGGTGAGGGTGAGAATGAGGTGAACTACGAAAAAAAGAGAGGTAGGATACAAATTCTTCTATTACTCACGGAAGCTACATACTCCACAGTGGTATACCTAGGAATTGTGGCGGGTACTTCTGGTTTATAAATAAGATAGAGGATAGTTAATACTCACCATGCGCACAATACGGGTGGCAAGACCCCATCCTATCGGCTACGCTGGAACCTTAGAGGACGTATTCACCCGCTCCTATCAGGCCCTCGGTATCACCCAGAGCCCAACAGGTGCGGACGAAACAACGCAAAAAAGCCCCCTCCTCTTCATCAGAAGAGGAGAGGGCAAAAACGGACACACGAACCCACAGCCCCGCAAAACAACCTAACGCAAAAAAGCCCCCTCCCCTTCTTTCGAAGAGGAGAGGGCCGGCAGGCAAAACGAATTAACGCAAAAAAGGCCCCCTCCTCTCTCCGCGCAGAGAGCGCAAAGAGGGGAGGAGGCCTGGTGAAGTGCTCTGCCTCTTGCAGACTCTCACCGTAGTGAGGGCCCGCAAGAGGCAGAAGAAAAAAAGCCCCTCCCCACGAGGGGGAGGGAAAAAAAACTTGTCTCCCCTCCCGCAGTGAGGGGAGGGGAGAGGGGGGCCGAGAGCAGGGCCAGGGAGCCGGGGGAGGGAGGGAGAGGGGGGGAGGCGAGGGCCAGAGAACTATAGTCCCCCTCCCTCCGTTTGGGAGGGGGAACTATCATCCCTCCCCAACAGGGGAGGGGGAAACAACCCTCCCACAGGGGGGAGGGCAAAAATCTGACCTCCCCTCCCCTAGAGGGGGAGGGGGAAAAACACTCCTCCCCACAAAGGGGGAGGGAAGAAAGAGTTACTTCCCCTGCCCCACTTTGGGCACAGGGGAAGAACTGGGGCTCCCCTGCCCCACTTTTTGGGGGAGGGGAGAGAGCTGGAGCTCTCCTCCCCAGGTGATGAGGGGAGGGGAGAAGGCACCTTGAGGCCTATGATTTGTGAAAGAGGTGGGGAATCCGGTGGTTTATAAAGTAACGTCGAGCGCCAAGATTGCGTGGGGTTAGCCCTACGTATGTTGCCAGGTGCTTTTTTTCCCCGCCGCTCGGGTATCTTGGCGTGTGTTTGGTGGGTTTTGGTGGAGGGAGGGTGGGGAGGGTGTGCCAAGATGTGTTCGCAAAAATTCTGGGAACGAGACTGCCGGGTGGGTGTAAGGAGGATCTGTACATGTAACTCTGTATTGTATTATAGTCAAACAGAGGTATGATATTTGCTAGACATGTTTCCTGTGGTGCAGCATATCGGCTCGAGCCTACATAAGTCTTCACGAACGCGCCAAACCACCTCGATCTCGAGCCCGTTGGCCTTCTCGATATGAGCCTGTTCGTCTAGAAAAATAGGGCCGAGTTTGTAATGTTGTTGGCCCATTTACAGACAAATTCCATCGGCAGTGTGGCTCATGAGGACGCATTGACGCTCGAGGCCTCCGCTTTGTGAGAACTTAAGGCATGGGACGGGGATTTACAGGACGAGTATGCTCGAGGCAAGCCCTCCTACTCTCCCTGCCCTAATTGAGAGTAGGCAGCATTCCCAAGATCTTTACAAGTAGGCCGAGCTAAGCTCAAGATATGATAGGCTGACTTGAGTTCTACTATCACTGCTCGTGGACCACACTAAACATACCCGATATTTGAGATAGCGAGTGATTCCTGTGATCCGCAACGCCACGTGCACAAACGAGACTACAACCTAGCCGGGTGATTAAAGAGTGCAGCTTAAAACATTAAACCCAAACACTTAAAAGAAAGTACTCCAGAAGCCCACAGTCGCTGAGCAAGATATGTCATCCGACTGTAGATTTGGTGGGTTGGGGTGTGGTCGTCGTTCGAACCCGAGTTCTCATGCGCAACAGGGGTGAATAATCGAGTGATTATCTGTGATCCAAGCGCAATACCAACTTTTTCGCTAGAGGTTTCTTGGTTTGATTACTGTGATGCCCATAGATAGTATATTTAATCTTTTTTAAAAGCGATATAGATGCTGTGGGGTTAGAAACTACTGGTACCGCCTGTTGTGGACCCGGCGGTGAGGCACCAGTAGTGCTGCATATACTCCCTGCGTGCACAATCGTGTACAGCGGTGGGTAATAAGTGATGGAACAGAGCAATACCTGTTTTGGTAAAACGCCACCAACATTTGGTGTTTGTACTCTCAGGGCGTTCCATCACTTATTACCTGTCGCTGTACATACGTGGGCATGGTTGCTTGTACGCATTGGACCGGGGAATCAGTGCGTGTGCGTAAAAGGTTTCGTCCGGACACAGTGGAGTTTTAAATTCCTAGAACAGACACTAACCATCACGCTGTCGACAAAAACCCGCACGGTCTGGGTACGAGACCAAACTCATGTAACTCGAGCTAGGTCAGAGAGATCTTTCGCTGCCTACTCTACCGAAAGTCACAGAGACCAGCGGCTGCCACCTTATCGTAACTGCACAGTTCCTTATCACTCTACGCACGTACAAGATGCTGGCTCCAGGGTTGCTCGTGAGTGCCCAGACGTGTATATCAACCCCAACTTTTCTTGCCTTAACGTCGGCGAAATTCACTCCTTAGCCAAGACTGATGGTTCTTTAAATTGAAACATTTTCAACCAGTGTTTCCTCTCTTCATATACACCAGCAATGTCGTCTTCCCCCGCCTCCCCCCGCCTCCCGCCGCCCTCCCCCGCCAACTTCGCCAAGGCCGCCCGGGCCTCAGGAGAGAGGGGGCGAGGCCCCGGAACCCGCCATGCCCCTCCATTTTTTTTTTTTGTTTGGCAGCTCTGCTCCCGTTCCCGCCTGGAGGCCGGAACGGGAGCTCAGCTGCACAACCCCATCTCTTCGTGGCCCCCTGTCCCCCATTCCTTCTTTGGAATGGGAACATGGCCCTATCTCCGGTTTCCCCGCTTCAAATTTTTTTGAGCGGGAACCGCGAAGCTACGGTTGGAGCAATCCATGGTGGGTTAGGGTTTCTTTTTTGGTAGGTTTTTTATTTTTTATTTTTTATTTTATTTTATTTTATTTATTTATTTATTGCATGTAGATTTTTGTATATAGTTCTCTGTAGATATAATATATTCTTTGATCAATAAATAGTTTCTCTATGACTTTAATCGTTCTGATCTGTAATCTCAAACTGTTCTTCGTAATGTTCTGTCGTCGTTCTTGTGACAATGATCAATCAATGAATTACAGCGTTCTCCCAGTGCACGTGTTCTTCGCATACATAATCCACTCAATGTAACCTCTGGATCTCGTCACCATGCTCCTCTGCAGAAGTAACATAATCCAAACCACAGCTTGTTGGTGAGCTGGCTTCACCCGCAAGATATGCGGGTAGCTGACTCTGGTGGAGTACGTATTGGAGTAGTACCGGTGCTAGGTTTTGTTCTTTCTTTGCTTTACAAGCCGCCTGGATCCCCCGATGAAGATCTAACGAGCACCGCTGACAGCTGACAGTGGCAATTCTTCGTTTCTATATCTATAGAGAACCGAGTCACTGGTGCTGCACCCGGCCGGAAAGCGCCGTGGCCGTGCCTTGAATCAACATGTATGCGGCCGAAGACGAGGTTCTTGTGTTCTTGCCCCGAGAGAATGTCCCCGATCACATAAATAAGATAGTTGTCAAAAGCACAGTGGACAGGGGACCTCGAGGACAACTCATGGCTATAATACACCTTTCACCACCTGGTACGGTAGGGCGTGCGTAACAAAAAATTGTCATACCATGCAACTTAACTTATAATCCCGGAAATCTCAGCACCTCTAGCTCTATAACGCTACTCACAAAAGCCACCCTTTCCTTATCCTCATACGTTCTTCCCTCCAAAAGGAAAAGGAAAAACGAAGCCATCACTGAGACCACCTCTATTTAACTCCTGATGCTCTCTATCAGTCATGCTTTGAATAGAGTAGGGATGGAAATAGGCGAGTCGTGCCGCCCTTCGATCACCCCTGTACGTACGCAGGTAGAAATCGAGTGCGACACTGTGCATCATTCGCTTCTAGGCCGACGGCGGCGTTAGCGTTATGCAACGGCCAACTTTCCCTCCCGCCACGCACCAACGTCGTCTCGACTTCTCCGGTAACAAGACATGTACACGCCACTTAATTAACACCCTTACCCCATGAACAAACAGACAAGATGTCAGGATCAGGCCCTTCCTACCGGCCTTATCACCCAAACTCATTCCCTGGTTCCGTCAGGCGCCAAAACCTAGTGGTTGACGGCGCTAGCATTAATTGCACTTAGTTTGGCTGGCTGGGAAGGGCTCAGCTACTACCAGGTGGTAGCTGGTGTTCTGCACCGGAGTTTTTAAATCCAAGCTACAGTCAAACGAGCCCAGAGAACTTGGACCTATGGAGAACGAGGTTAGATTAGGGAGAAAGAACGACTACTAGCACTCGTATCCACTCCCGTCGGGTAAGAGGTACAGGTACAGTTTTATCCATGGCACAGTCGAAGGTACACTGCTAGAAGGCTACCTTGAAGGCTACTTGGTACCCCGTCAATAAATGAAGGAAGGTTTCAATTGAGGCGGCTATCCCTCTTGAGCTCAGAAGCGCGTGTAACTGCTCCCACGAACACACGCATCTAAAACAGACAGTTACTTGACAATGGCCCCAACACACCCCCACACCCCAAATGGTCGGTCACCTATATCCGTCAGGCCCATGTTGGATGATAGACTTTTTCTTGGTGAGAGTAGTATCCTATGGTCCCAGATATCGTAGTCTATCACCTACGCTAAGAAAGCAATGCTTATGAACTGATTCTCCTTAGGCTAGGCCTAGATAGCACTTACAAGCTCATCAAGTATACAACTCTCTCTCATCCGCGGAAGCCACAGCAAACTATACCCACTGCCAACATCCCCAAGGCCGGCAGTATAAACGTCAACCCAAGATATGGCCATTCTTTCCAGAATGAACAACTTCACAACATGAATCATATCCTCATCATTATTCTTCCCGAAACCTAAAAAAAACAGCCACACAAGACCCAGATCACGAAGGGGGGAATCATCCCTCCGCCTCTTTTCCTCGCTCAACGATACCCAGCTAGGTCAATAGGTGCGGACAAAACACCACACTCTCAACCCTTAGATCTAGAAGGTCAACTCCAAAACGGTAGATGTCCGTCCCATCATAAAGTGACTTACATCCGTAATCATCTCTCTCGAGAAGTGGAGCAAGCGCTCGTTCGTTCTTCTGCTTGCTAGCTCCCATCTCATGGTTCCCTCCCCTTATCCGCCATGACCCCACCACCGTTCCGTCTAGAGGCCCACGCGGAGCTGGATCAACCATACCGAAAAATACCCGGTATAAGATAGTGCTGTAGGCCTAAATCCCAATCGGGGCAGTACCACTTTCTTTTTGCTTTTTGCTTTTGTCTTTCTGAAATACAGGGTAGGCGGGGCAAATGGGGGTGGTGATGACTATTTTTTTAGGTTGCCTTCTTTATACGCTGGTATATGAGGGGGGCGGGGGTAAGAGGAGGGATAATCTCGAAGGAGTACTATGGACCGTCCGCTGGGGAGAAAGCTGAAATCACGCAGAGAAAAGACGGCAGCAGTGAATACTGACTATGTGAAAAATAGAGGTAAAAAAAGAAATAGAGGGGCAGGCTTATGACTCTTGGTGATGAGAAGGTACGATAGAAGGTGTGCGAGTGGACTCCGGCACCATAATGTGGGCTGTCGTTGTCCTCCAAAGGACACAAAGTGAACTGCTGTTGTCCATAAATAGGAGTTCTGTAGTACAAACGAATACGAGATTGAGCCTTTGAACCTATCAGATAACTATAACTATAACTGTTTACTAGACGCTTGTACCCTATATTCTAATTTTAGAAGAATGCCAGCAGCCTCGTACTAGTCGTCAACACAACAACATTCTCATGACCACCAAACGTCTTGGTATAGAGGGATTATGTTAGGAGAATATGAGTGTCATGGTATATCACTCGATTACCAAGAACCACACCCAAGTTCTGCCCAATATGAGTAGTTCTGGTTCAGTGCACATGTGGTTGTTTACCTACGTTCCGAAAATGTAACTCCTAATAGTGAAATATGACTCCAACTCAGTACTGTCTACATTTGCAAAATGGTATTGATTGCTAACTAAATTTCCAAAAATAAACGCCCGAAAAACGAAACCTACAACTTAATCCTCACACCGGATCTATCCAATCCGACCGCCAATACTGTCAACACGCCTACATACCCTAACAAAATCGCCACCGCCGCGCCCCTTCCCACTGTCAACGTATTAATGCTGACATTAACTGCACCAGTCAACAGGTTCGCCACCAAGAACACTGCCAACCCGTTCGCGTTGAACGCCTCCAATATCTTTGGTACGGCCATCTCATAGCTGTCACCCTGGCAGCCGTCGTAGAAGAATCTCTCTACGCTGTAAAACGCCGCGAGTTGACATGTGTTGAACGCAACAATCCATAAGAAGTACGGCAGGTTCGCCAAGCGCCTAGAGATGCCAACGCCGAGGCCCCAGTACTGGTTCACCGCGCAGAAAAGAAAGACCCAAGCCACACTCCACGAGCAGAGGGTCTTGAAGAGCTTGTTTTTGCTAGCGGTGGAGGGAAGGAGGTACATGCCCGTTGCCATTCCAGCCAGGAAGATAGCAAGGTAGCCCGAGAACGAGGAAATACCTTCTTTGTTCTGACCGAGGAGGCCATAAGCATTGCGGTCGCCGATAAGCACATATTTCTGGAGGCCCGTAGACTCCAAGACAGTTTGGTATGTGACACCGACGCCTAGCGCTAGTAGTGTGTACAGCCACGTCAGATCCAGGCTGCCAGTAGGAATACTTTGTAGTAGAGCAAGTAGCGGCGGGAGGAACCCGAGCGTAAAGAAAAAGTTCCAATGTACGCCATACTCTGTTACGTGCTCTGCGTAGTCGACACCCTTCACCATGGCCAGGCGGACAAAGCCTAGCACAATCAGAGGCGCTGAAGATCTCATAGCGCCTTTCATCCGGACTGCTAGAGTTGATGGCGCCTTCTTTGCGAAGTGGTCCTTAAGGACCTGACGTGCGCTCACCAGCCCGGAGGAGAAGACGAAGCTGCCGACACCGAGATCCATCAATGAAGTTCCCCAATTTTCGACTTTTGCAAAGCGCCGTGGGAAGATGCGGAAGTCGACGGCTAGGATGGCGATGCAAGTGATCACCATCATGGACCCGCGGTAGACGGTGAGAAATGCCTTTTTGGGCAATAGAGGTTCAGAAGGCGGGGGCGCCGTGTCATTTTTAGGTTTCGCAAGGCGCTTGGGTTTTTGGTGAGCGGCGGCGGAAGTAATGGTAAGGAAAAGTGCGGGAAGGAGGATTAAAAGGTTGAAGAGCAGTGGGAGCGAGGAATAGAGTGTTATTGAGAGAAGTATTGCGACGGTGTTCAGGAAAAAGTCTGTGACGAATTGGAGAGGCCCGTAGGGACGGAAGAAGTTCAGCCGTGTCTGTAGAGCTGAATAGAGGATATATGTCGCCTGAGAACTCGACATTAGTACTGCAGAGCTTCAATCAATATATACCCACCATTAGTAGCTAGGTAACTTACAGGCGCGACAGCAGTAACAAGATTGATCTCGGTGATGGTACCACCGGTCAGGTTAGACACAAAGTCCTCCTTGAGTGATTTCATAGACTGAGCCATATTTGAAGCTGTATCTGATCGCACATTGACGTTTGAGGGTGGCCTTTTATAACAAGCGGTGGTGTTTCCTTGCGTGTCCTTTTGCTAGTACTTAACACGTCTATGTTTCGAGAAGTTACTACTCTCGGCAACTTCCGTTGACACAGAGGTTACCCTGTTATACCGAGTGATACTTTGTGAAGCATCTAGCTTGGTGCACTCTGCCACCTTCCAACCGCTTTTTCTGACTCATAATAACTTTCTCTACATACCACCTTCACTCCTATGTTTCAGTTTCTCTTCACTACGCCTTGATGTTACGTACGTATACACTGACCGACAGATCTACAATAAATGAGAAACCTGTCATACACACCCACCCCGCCAGGACAACACCCAGGGTAGCACAAATGATCCTGAACCGAAGCAAGAAGTGCGGATGACACTCCCTGATACTTCAGGAAATTTCCATAAACGGGTCTTCACCCTTACTCCTCCAATCCTCACTCGAGTTTCAATATGAGCAACTAAGCCTTAGAAACTACAGCTCTGTCTCACCGGTACATGCTTCTGTGGTCTCTTATGAAGTACCATCGCACAGATAGCGGGCTACGGTGGTTTGGAGAAGATGGGCAAGGAAGAGAAGTCCAATCCCGGCGCATAAATGTTTATACGCATATCCTTTGTGGATACTCCCATAACTCTTTCAAGCCAAATACTCCTCTAAAATCTCTCAGTACCCGCGACAATATTCGAAAGACTCTCACCTCTCCCTGCCTAGTCATTTAGAGTTTTCCGACCACTGTTACAATCCGCAGAACAAATGCAAAAGGAGCCTTTTTTTTACAATGGCAACACAATTTTCACAATAACATCGCAATTACCAACATTGCACAATTTTCATGTCTAAAGGACGAAACTAAGGCGCAAAATTCCTCTGGCCGCGCGGGCTGCGGTACGAAGTGGAAAGAAGGTTTTCTACCCTAGCCTATATATTCCATATCAATCGCCACATTTCTACCCACTTAGTGTGGTCCATGAGCCGGCATATAAGCTCGAGCTGGCTCGGCTCGTGAGAGGTAGAGGCTCGCAAGGCTCGAGCTTTGGTGACAGCCTCATAAACTGGCTCGAGCCGGTGGTCAATGATGCAAAAAATAGGTTATTCTTACACCAAGTATAGTAAAATGGCAGATATAAGCTTCATTTCATGGAGTAATACCGTGAGAAAGGATTTATTATTTAACTCAGCATTCTAGTGGGTATAAATCCCCTCTTGGCTCCCTTGATGGCTTCTAGAGCCTAGTTCAGAGCGAGTAAACTGAGCTTGAGATCAAGCTCGAGACTAAGCTCGAGCCTTAGAGAAAACGGCTCAAGCCGGCTCAGGCTCGCTGGAAGGTGAGGCTCGCTGAGCTCGAGCCAAAAGCTCGAGCCGGGTCGGCCATGGACCACACTATACCCACTTACTAGTTTATACTCGCATTGTCTTTTCAACGAAGTTCCCACCTCTCCCTGACATCAATGCCTCTCTCTATCTTTCACGGAGAACCTCGTACTCTCTTCCTTACACCCGCATTCGTTCATCGGGAAGTCCCCCAACCAAGAAGTCTCCTTCCACAGTGCTTTTCAGCCTCTGCGGCTCTAAGCAATACTAGCTGAAGGTTTGATCAGAGTAGGAATACTGCGTGGCTCCAAATGCTCTTTTCCATGGAGACACCAAGGGTGCAAATCCTGAAGGTCGCAGGTAGAAACATCTCCTCTCAACGGCTACCAGGCAGACCGCACGCCGAAGCGCAGTTTCTGCCACGAAACATGGAGTTTTCGCACACTTTATTCTTCTTACTAATACATCTCTCGTAGCTGATAACGGGCTCCCGGCGCTTCCAAGAAATAGAACACAGTGCCAAAGAGTGGGAAAGATGAGAAGGATCGATCGAAGCGCTGTTGACTACTAGGAATATTTTTTACAGATCCGCAAGACATGGAAGGTCCGAAAACCCCCGGGCACTGGACACTAATAGATATATAATCAGGCAGCAGGCCAGTGATCTAACAATGGGTATATACCCCAGTACTAGCACTTTACGGGGCCGGATACGCCCAGGGCGAAAAGTCCTCCTTTCCCAAGCCCGATCAGGGATTACTGAGTTCGTTCAGTTGATTGACTACAATATACATATTTATACGGAGTCATACACAAAGCCAATTTCTCGGCGGTTTCTTGGCGAGAGCGAGTGATGCGATGTGATTCTCGGCATCACCTTCTATTTCTACCTACGGTCAACTAAACCTATCCGGTATGAGGGGCTCGTGTGTTATGATTCGGAATACGATGAAGGACCGACCCGATCAAGCCGGTCGAACGGAGAGTTGCCCGTTTTCCTTTTTGCTTTCTTTTTCTTCTTTCCTCCTTGGATACCTACGTACATGTAGTATGCTTCTGCTATACTCAACCCCGCCGGAGTCTCTCACATTTGCGCCAAAGAAGATTACGTACCACTTTCATAGTACCATCTATTTTAATTCTGCGAACATTAAACAATTATCAATTGACTAAGCATGACTATCTATCTTCTCTTCCCAAATTATCATAACCTGCCACTAGTATTACATTATCAAGTCCGTAGATCCAAAATTAGTTGCCTCCTTGCTTCGCAACAGTCTGGACCTGTGGCGGCTCTGCAAGCCCGTTCTCGCCCCTGCACTTCGCGAGAGCAGTCTCATAGCATGTAGACCCCTTCATCGTGTCGCTAGAGGTCTTCTTGGCAGATGCACACTGCTTGCTTGAATCGATTCTGTTTTTGTGTTAGTTACGAGGGGTAGAAGAGGAGGTGGTGGCAAACTAACCGGCATTTCCTGCAGAGATCCTCAACGTCTGTAGAGGGGTTCGTGCCGCGATATGTTTTGGCATGGTCTACGCACTCTTTTTGCTGTAGATTGGAAGGCCTGTTAGTGGAGATCAAGAAATATGTGGAAGATTTGTACATGCCTCGACCGCGGGGTCAACATCCATGGCGCTGGCGAGAGCAGCGGCGGCGAAGATGGTAAGGAGGATTGACTTGATCTGCATTTTGGGTATTTGAGTTGGGTTTGACTTGTTTGTTGGTGGTTTGATGGTATGGTAGTGAGTTGTAGATGAGAAGTCGAATACCAAGGTGGACTGATAGTTGTATTTATACACAACGTAGGTACAGCCTTGCGGGCTCGAGGAATGTTATTGATTCGCTAAAGCCTCCCACATGCGTATTAACTTTTTTTGTCGCCCCTGAACTACCGTAGAGTTGGAGTTGGGTTTACTTTTTTTTTTCTCTCTTATTCAGGGCCCAGGACCAAGTCAGGGGTTGAGTTCGTCTGTCTGTCTTCGTGATTTGTGGAGATGTCTTACTTCGGGATGGGAGATATGGGAAACCAAAATACATACATAATCAGTTATAGTAGCGAGATGTGCATGTGCACTGTACTGCCAGATCATCCAGGAACAAGTGATGTGTGGAGTTAAAGTAGACAGTTTCCCCAGATCTACACTGTTAGTTGCACTTGTGTTTTGTAGACAACTTTCCCCAAGCCTTTTGATAAGATCCGAATTCGAAGTCTCTTCAGAGCCGCGACTGAGACTTTTTCTGAGTTGTGCCACTGTCGCTAATAAACCCCTACGATTGCCACCGTTTAGTAATACATGTAGTTATGCTTAAGCTTAAAAGAGGCGCTTAAGGTTGTATTACCAACACGGGTTATGAATGCGTGACAAATTGGGATTCCTTTGCCCAAAGCTGAGAACGGGGGGTCAACGATATTTAGATTGAATACGTAGGTATTGAGCTCCAATTTTAACAAAGCATCATAAACATTCGCGTTTGCCAACGCCATCAATGCCAATGCCAGCCAGGCAAATTAGAGCCCGAACGGGACGGGCCGTATCGCCAAGTGTCGGCCACCCTCGGGCCGAACACCACTACACAGTCTTCAAAGACTCAGATTCGAAACAAGCCTTTCTATCGTGAGAAAAAAAATGCTTGTTTTGCGGATCCAGCCGGATACGGGATCCAGAGTACCCTCCAGCCGCCGGTCGTACAAGGAACGACAATTTTATCTTCATCTGGCCAACACGGGAAATCCTACTCACGAATCCAGAAATGTGGCACTTTTAACGCGCTATTATTGGTTGCTGAGCGAAACATCTTTTTCAGGCACATGAATCATGTACTACGTGGTGTTGAGCTTAATTGGGCGCCCCATGCCTATTCAGGGGCACAAAAAGAACTTCACTAATTCGTTGTTGGCCTGTACTCTACTTTGTGGGATTGGCTTCCCAGTCTGGCTCCGGAACTACCGAATCCGAGGTTTGGAAGAAGTGGGATCATTCACATCCGATGTGGATTCTATTTTGCCATCAGCGCGTCGACCAAAAAAGACGGAATTCAAGCTGAATACTTAGTGTTGCGACTTCACAAGGTTGATCAATCCGAGTGATATACCATGAACATGACTTCTCTTAATCAACAGAATCCCCTATTCCCTAGAATTAGTGTAATTGGTGATATGTTGAAAGTAAACTCCTAGGCTCTCAGTACAACTGTTAGCCACAATATGTATGCGTATATTGATATCAGGTTTCAGCTTTGCAAAGTCTGAAGCTGCTGGGTGGAGCACATAGAGTACATGTACTCTGCACTTGTGCGCGCGTTTGGCCGTCAGCTTCCCTTCACCCGCCGTATGTAATGTATCAGCCAAACCCTAATGCGAGGGCCATGATCAGCATTTGTTATCACGATAGCTTCGGTCATCTCCACCTGCGTAATTGTCAGTGCGCGAGACACATCCATCTCAATCGACACGCTGACTTGTCATCAAGTAAGCCGCAAGTTCTGGGAGCGCAACAGTTTGCTGACCTGGTAAAGCGAAATACTATTGCATGATGTTAGAGTAGGTACGCGCGTATATGCATCAATGTACTGCTCCAAATCGAGGCATTATGGTGATGAGCTCTACTAATTCGACAACCAGTTAAGGTAGCAATAGACTTGGGATAGCACCTAACGGGATTTCAGCACTCTGTAGGAATTGAATCGTGTGACCACATGTTCCATCGGTGATCAAGGTTCAGGAAGCGAGTATGTACGAGGAAGATGGGATGGCGAGGTGTCAGTTCATCGAGGTACCTGACACAAATCATCACTAGTAACAACAGAGAGATAGTCCTTCCCAAAAAAGCCCCAAGACCTGTTATGTACTCGTAGCTTTATAGCGTTTCCGAACACAACCAATATTGCATGACATACAAAAAGGTGGATTTGGCGCTTTTTCGTATGTCATGCAATATTGGTCGTGTTCGGAAACGCTATAAAGCTACGAGTATATCAGTAGAGTAGAGTATAGTAGTCTTAGATACCTAGAATACTACGTGTAACATCGAATTGTACGAGACGTTCTTTTGAGGACGCATGAGAGCGCATAAGTCTGTTAATGGTGGATTTCTTGAAGGCCTGCGAGGCCGTCAAGCAAAGATTCCTTTTTGGCAGATCTAATAATTCTGCCCGCACGGCAAAATGGAGCCGTTGCGAAGTTTTAAGACTTTTTCAGGTGGAGTACATTCCTCATGCATGTCCAGGAGGTGTTCATCTGATCATGAAGACAATGGACCGACCTGGCCCTCCCCCCGTTTTATTTGTGACTGATCAATACGGCGTAGTTGTTCGTATAGGTAAATACATGCACATACATAGGTAACTTGAGCAGAATAGTTATTTCGCGTCCTTGTATGCAGAGCCACACTCAGAAATCTTAGAATTGATACAGGCCTGGCAATAGCCCAGACATGCACAAAAAAAGGATAAGCTAAGATCAATGATAATGTATCAATTGGATGTAGGCAAAAAAAAAAAAAAGAAAAGCCCAGTACAGCTGTATCTATGATTGGTACCATAACTACATCTGTCTAGTACATTGATATCAGGCTACCGCAACTATGCGAGTGATCTCTCATGCTCATACAGCATGAGGAAGAATTATTTTAGTGTGTGTGGGGTCTAATAAAAAGCTCCTTGTGAGTGATTGTGGTAGGGCGCCGGTTCTTCCAGTATTTCTGTGGTGACATTGTCGACGTTTCCTGAAATCCATGCTGCTGGCGATATCTAAACCCTAGAAAGTCGTCCGCAGCGGGGGGAGGACCAGCAAAAATTAAATGATCATACTCGTCAAGATCTTCCTGAAGCACGTATACATTCCCATCTACGCCATCAATCGGCGCTGTAGACGGCACAAGCCACAGTGGCTGTCCCTCCCCACTCCTAATCATCCTCTCCATGACCGTCAGCTTAACTGGCTCCTTCATACCCTTCCAGTAGTGTATGTCATCAGTTCCGTCCGTCCACTTCATCCGCAACGTGAATTTCATCTTCTCCGACGTGCACATTGCCTTGAATAGCGCAGTACAAAGCGTATCCTCACATACATAATGCGTGGTACTCCATCCCCCGCCCCTAACCGCCTGGTCCGGATCATATAGCGTCTTGTCTGTACATATTCTCACCACGACGTGCTCATGCGGCTTGCTGTCATCGTCTGTTACGAGCCATCTTGGACAAATCCTCCCCTTCTTCCCCGTATACTCCAGCAACGCCTGCAGCGCCCTCATGTTCCTGCTATCTGTGTAGAACAATATACATTCGTAGAAAATATGAGTTCTCACCAACTCCTGGATTCTTTTCAAATGTTCCAGTGTTTCATCGCAGTTCCCAAGGTACGCAAAGTACCAATGCATGATCCCGTTCACAAGACGGAATACAAAGAGATACTTGTACTCCACAAACTCGACGGTGAGTATATCTTCTGCCGTCCGTTGATAAGGCCACAAGACCTGCACTGTGGCTCTAGAAGGGCTGTCACGCGTGTTCTGGTGGTCTTGGAACACGAAGTCAAGCACGTCTTGGAAGCCCTGGTGCCTCATTTCACCGTGTGGACCTAGGATGTAGACTGTCCGCCCGCCAGCAATACTCTTGCGTATTTTGAGGTAAATATTTTTGGACTCGCTGGAGCCTGGAGCTGGGCCGACGTGCAGCGGGACTTTTCTGATTCGTCGTGGAGGCGGGTTGAAAACAGTGATGCTTTGAGGTGGGCCCTTCATCTTTTTCCTTGCGAGTTGTGTTATTATAGAATATAACTTGCGTAGTTAGAGTGGTGCAATTTAAATCTATCATGCTTTAATTTTGTATAGGTGGCTACTGGTGGTGTTGCGGTAAACTGTTGTTTGTCGTAAAAAAGCCATGTGTGTGGAAGTTCGTTCTGATACTGTTAAAGCCGGTCGGATTTCTCATACACCAAATGTACCGAGCCGTACCAATAAGGCCATATAACCCTCAAATTGTAATATTAAATCACATCAAGTTCTTTTCTTTGAAGCCCATGTTTCAACTTCGAGCAGCATATTATGTGGAAAGTTGAAGACACTTTGACGATAACTCGCATTGATTGACAGGTGCAAGAGGTGTCCCTTTCATCGTTCTAAGCTGCCTCTTCAAGATCCGAGACGACGATAGAACATATATATTCGATTGTAGGCTCCCTCTCCTGATAATAGTAGAAAGCCCCAATTCTTACATTAGAAACGTTGCTAATTCATCCCCAATGCGTAGACTCTCAGAACGATACTTGAGCTTGTGAACTTCACTGATATTAATACCAACAGCTAGTTCGGGATAACCGCCAAGCAATATCTCCACAGGGTTAGGTCTCCTGCAGGAACCGTCCCATCCGTCGGGCCGTACCACAAGCTCCAGCATCTGCTGCTGCCTGCATCATCACTACTCACATCATCTCATCAGCACCACCGATCAGCACCTCACGACCTCAACAAACCTCACAATGCCACCCCTAATTCCTCTCGTCGACTACTCCGACTCTGACTCTGACTCGGACACCTCCTCCTCCCCTGATGCCAAACGCGCCAAACCCAATTCCACCAGCACCGCCTCGGGGCTCCCACCTCTCCCCTCACGTTTCCACGACCTCTACGCCGTCGCCCCACGCATCGGACAGCAAGACGACCCCTCGCTCCACGGCGGACGCAAGCGCTCCATCCCGCACGTGCAGGGCAATTGGCCGACCCACGTCTACATTGAGTGTAACCCACCCTCCATCCCCGCCCCAGCTCCAGCAGAGAAACAGGGAGGGAGGCACAGAGAGCTGACGGAGAATCTGGAGGGCATTTGTCGCGTTTAGAGTTCGACTGCTTGGACGAAGTGTTTCGGACTCTTGCGGGCGTTGGGGAGCGCGAGGAGGGCCTCGCCGTAGAGAGCCATCTCAAGAGTGATCTGGGCGGCGAGCTGCCGTTGCATCTGAGTCTCAGTAGGCCCAATGTGCTGGCCACGGCACAGAGAGACGGGTTTATGGAACTCTTGGGGGACCGTGTGGAGAGGCTGAGGGTTAAGCCGTTCGTCTCTCTTGAATTTACCTTATTTTTTCGTTCTTGCTGGGGATTGTTGCTGGGGAGATGACTGATGTGGGGATAGGTTTGCGATCGACTTTACAGGCTGGGAATGGGTTAGCAATTTTGATCAGACTCGTTGGTTCTTTGTGATGAAGGCTTCGAAGGGGCCTGAGAAGGAGGTTTGTAGTCTTGGTGGTTGTCGTTGCGGGTAGTACAGGCCCGACCTGAAGCTGATGATGAGCTTATAGCTTTCTCGCTTGCTGGAGCTCTCGAACCGTACCTTTGAAGCGTTCGGGCAGCCGCCGCTGTACTCGCAGGGCGCGGATAAGCTGGACGGGTTCCATGTCTCCCTTGCGTGGTCTTTGAAGAAGCCCAGTGACGAGACAATGCAGAAGATGGAGAAGGCAATAATGGGCGAAGAGTGCTGCGGTAAGAAGATCATTACTTTGAAAGGAAGGCCCCAGCGCATGACGATGGATGTGGAGACTATCAGGGTCAAGATTGGCAATGTAGTCCATGCTGTTGAGCTGAATAGGAAGGAGAAGGAGGAAGGCAGTAATAGTAAGAAGAGGAGGTTTTCGAGCTCGAAGTGAGTACTCGTTCGATTGAAGCCTATCTATGCTTGGGTGTACTTTACGTTAGTGCCACTTAAAAATAAATGCAATTGTTACTTGTGTTGCAGATGATGGAGTGGCAGAATTTGAACTACGTTGCCCTTAGAGGGCTACACTGACTGGCACTTGCACGAACTATCACTCGGTGAGGCCTATACCCACTTTAACTCGGTCCCCTGATAGAAATGCTGTACGATACACTGCGTAGTAAACCAATCATTTCCCTACCACCGCAAGTGTCCTGAATTCATTTTGTGTTCGGCGCTTGTAATCAATCCCAGTTTATATGCGTGTTGCGTACTCCCGGCACGAGGATTTCGGTTCGCAGTGGGTGAAACACATTATGCTTTTAAATGTTACATGTGAACGATTTGTTTCTCGTGAAGTGTTATCTTTGTTTCACGTAACAATGCCAACGTGTGAAACAAAGCTTTCGAGAATACTATTTAAAATAGCAGCGAATGAGTACGATTTAATTATCGTCCAGTAACACGGTTTCCTGAACGATAATTATAACAATTGTTTCCATGGGAGATAGAGGTCTTTTATAATAATTGTAAGTATTTTCAGAAGCTGCTCTAGCTTGGTTGAACTTCGAGATTGCGCAGGCCATTCAAGGTAACAAGCGCAACCATTGAAGTCTTGGCGCCACCACCCCGGGTTCTTGCATCAGCTCCCACAACCTCTCTCCATCATCAATCAACTCCAACCTCCACCACCACCACCCACCTCACCTTAAACCTCACAACTCCAAAGCCCCACAACCCCCCCCACCAACCGCCCACCATGTCTCTCGACAAGCAAGCCGCGGCCTTCACCAAGTCCGTGCAGGCGCAAGCCAACTTCAGCGGCCCGCGACGCGTCGCCGCGCCCACCACCTCCACCACCCCCGCCGCCGCCAGCACGCCCACCACGGCGCCCAAACGCAAGCGCATCGTAGACCGGACCAAGCCTGTCGCGCCGCCCATCGTCTACTCGCAGCCCACCGACACCTCGCTGGGCACGCAGCACATGATGACGCAAGTGCACCACGCCATCCAGCACCTCAAGCAGCGCGAGGTGCCCCAAACCCCCGAACAGATCGCCAGCTACCTGTCCATCCAGATGACACCGACCCTGCTGCAGGTGCTGAAGCAGAACGAGCGCCTCACGTGGAACCCCGCCCAGGGCACGCTCGAGTATAAGCCGATCCACAACATCCGCAGTGCGCAGGCGCTGCTGGCGCATCTGCAGCAGCAGACGACGGCGCAGGGGTTGAGCGTGAAGGAGCTGAAGGATGGGTGGGCTGGTGCGGTGGAGACGATTGCGGATTTGGAGGAGAGCGGGGATATACTGGTGACGAGGACGAAGAAGGACAATCAGCCGAGGATGGTCTGGATTAATGATAAGACGCTGGATATCATTGTCGAGGACGAGTTTAAGGCGATCTGGCATAAGATTGTGATCCCGCCGCCGGGTGACCTGCCTGGCGAGTTGGAGAAGGCTGGGTTGAAGCCGACGAGTGTGGACCCAGCGACTATCAAGAAGGAGGTCAAGGGCGGGGCGCAGAAGGGAAGGAAGAGGGCGCAGAACAGGAGGGTGAAGGTCAGCAATGTCCATATGAACCACATCCTTAAGGACTCGAAGGACTTGAAGAGGTAGTGGGACTGTGGGGGTGAAGGTATTTCTTTCTTTCCTTGTGTTCTTCTAAGGCGTTGGATTTAGGTTTCCTTTCTTTTGTGTGTCCAAAATTGATACTATTCAAGCAGCATTATGGCTGCTTGGGTTTAGGATAGGGTTCTATAGAGGATTTTTTTTTTAACTTTTTCCCTTTTTTGATTTGAGATAAGTCGATAAATTGCACGGTGCTGGTATGTATTTGTGCAATTTACAAATATAAATTATAATTACATATGTAACTGTACCAATATCCATGATTGTGATAAAACCTTGCCGTACAAATTAAGCCCAGTAATACAGCCAAATAGTAAATCCTCCAATAAAGCTGCTTGAGAATAGTAATCTCATCAAGTTCGAACTAGGATTAAGTATCATTGACACCCAAAGCCATTATCTCCGGCACAAACTGCCCAAGACCCCCTCCTATTCTATATCTAAACTACTAGGCTAGTACATGTAGTCTTAGTCAATGGCCCTGAATGTTACATTCCTTGACTGTCCCAATTCTAGTCTTTGTTTGGCAGTGAATAATAGCACGATTGTGAACATGTAACTTTCTATCAAAAAGCCCGTTTACCCTTTATTTGGATGCAGCCCTATCTACATGGACCAGCAATAGAACTATATGTACTAGTTCTCACCTAGAATACCGCCATTCACCGCCCACAGCAGTCTGTCTATAAAAGGCCCTTGCGGCCTCTCTCCTCATTCCATATCACAGTCACCCCATCTCAAAAACACTACGAACCAGCCTCCAACACAAACCACAAATCACAACCATGAGTCTCCTTCCCAACCCCTACCGCCTCCCCGACACCCTCTATATCTATCACGATACCCCACCACCACTCACACGGCCCCCCTGTCCCCTCCCCACCCTGCAAGACCTCGAAGAAGCCGCCGATAATAGCATCCTCGACATCGACCACAACACCGACGGGATGGAGGCCTTCCTCGACCGCCCGCAGCCGTACTCCGTTGAGGAGAAGGGGCGTGCTGCGGTGCTGCTGAATACGGCGGAGAAGGAGGTGGGGGTGGTGAATACGCATAGGGGCGTGTGTGTGCTGCTGAGGGGCAGTGGGGTGGGTGAGGGGAGGCTGGCGGAGTTGCAGCGGAGGTTGGAGGATGCGGCGAGGGATAGTGCGGAGGTGGCGGGGGAGCTGTGGGCATTGGTGATGGAGTAGGGATTCTTCCCCTTTTTTCTTTCTTTTAGTGTTGGTTGGTAAATGGTATTTTTGTGGTTGACTCTGCTTGCTGTATAAATTAGGGGTTTGGGAATAACTGCGCCTGAAGATTGACATTTTATTTATTTATTTGTAGTATTATAGTTGGACATTTATTAAATTATTGATGGTTTCCGCGCCCATTAATAGTGTATGAATCGTAGATGCCCCATTTTTCGATACTTTAATGTTTAAATGTTGAGAGCAGTGGGCTTGTCATTGTTTAGTGAATTGACTTTAAATATGTATTGCTAAGCCTTTGAAGATCTAGCCTTTGAAGCTCTAGCTTTCCTGTAGTTGAGTGATCTTTCTGATGTAGAAATATGTTTGCTGAGCCCATACATGCCATGTTTTCGCGGGATCCAAGTTTCTATCGTTGCTCGAATACGGTATTAAGACTTGTTGTGTCCAAACTGATGTTCAACATTATTCTGATACCGCGACTTTTTAAGAATAGCTAGCCATCTAGATATTGTTGGCCGTATAAGATAAAGGGCCTGTACTACCAGCAAGACCCAACATTGACAGCTGCGCTGATTCGCTAGATCCAAATCCAGGACCAAAATGATTGCTGTAAACGACCCACATAAAGACCCCCTCCGCGAGGGCCGGGTTCATGACCTCGCCAGCCATTTCAATTGTGGCACTTGGTAAACTGTCTGTCTGCTCCGCGCCGTGGGTACGTATACGGAGTCTGTCGTATTCTATATATATACCGCGCGCCAGAGGAGCAGAGTTTATAGACGAACCCAATCCAATGCCAAGATCAAGTCTCCCTGGAGGCTGGGGTACGTAGAAACACTATTTCCCCAACACTTTTTTCCTCCGAGTGATCGCGCGTGAAGCCAAGACTTTGCTTTGCTGCACCTATGTAGCATGTGACAGTGCAGCGCAGTCGATCGCGAGAACCATGACCCCGTCCGTTTGGTTTGCAGTGCACGTTTCCCCCATCCCGCAGCATCCACCGCAGGAACTGGCTGGGAATACAGAAAGAAGTTCCCGGAGCAAGCCGGACGGGTAAAATCATCATCCCATTGTTGTATGTAGTATGTATGCTGCACCGATTAATTGATCAGATGGCCGGTTTATTCGCAGGGTTGCTTGCAGTGCTGTTGCGGACACCTGTTCGGTTGCGTACCAGGTCCACGCGTAAATACTGTATGGATGCAGTTGAGATGCGATAGGGATGGGGATAGGGATGGGGATAGATGGGGATAAATGGGGATAGGGATAGGAAGAGGGCAGAATACCTAGAATACCTAGAATAGAGAAGAGGCCTCTCCCCTTCTTCTCGCGCCTGCATGGAGGGCCCTGGCATAACTAATCTTATCGATCACATCTGGCAGTCTGTCTGCTGGCTATTGGGTTTCAAACTGGTGAGAGGAGAGAAAGATCGTAGACCGTAGAGGGCCCCTACCTACTCTCCATTCTAAAGTACACTAGGCTGCTGCTGCTGCTGCCCAGCTCTAACAGGTTCCGAACAACACCTAACTACCTCTGTTCCTGTCACCTCCCTTTCTTTTCTTTCTTCTTTCTTCTTCTTCCACACTTCTTCTTCGCATTAATCTTCCTGCCCCATTACAACGCAACCCCCATTCTCCGAGCAGCAGCCCTCCCTTCTCGTTTCAAACACCACACCGTCGTCATGGCTTCCTGGGTGGATACGCGGACACTACACCAGAAACCGTTGAGAGGTAACAACTTTTCCCATCTCCCATCCCCCATCCCCCGTTGCCCCTGTCCCCTATTCCCGTCCGTCGCCGGGAAACCACAAATCAAGCATCCCAAGTAAAATAGAAGCAGGCCTTAAATTCCAATACTTACAAAATGCGCAGAGAAACGGAAGAGTTCCGAGACGCTGCCCGATGACCAATTGATCCACCTGAAAAGCTACCGTTACCAGGCGGTCGACAAATCACTCATCTCGCGGTACATCCTAAAGCACTACGTAGGTTCTTCATTGGGCAGAGGAGAAGAAAGAAAAAAGCGCGTTGCACATATACTGATCGGTTGGTGATGCTATGTAGTGGAACTTCATGGTTGAGCTGCTGCCGCGATGGCTCGCGCCGAATGCGGTCACGCTGATCGGCTTCGGGTTCATCGTCACGAATGTCGCGTGTCTGGCCTACTTCATGCCCGACCTGGTGGGGCCCGGGCCGAGCTGGCTCTACTATTCGTTTGCGTTCGGGCTGTGGGCGTACTCGACGATGGATAACATCGATGGGAAGCAGGCGCGGAGGACGGGGTCCAGCTCGCCGCTGGGGGAGTTGTTTGAGTATGTTTCTCCTTCATGAATCCTGACCGGAAGTGTCGCGGCGAGGTGCTAATATGGTTTTTTTTTGACTCGCGACAGCCATGGTATCGATTCTCTCAACTGCACTTTAGGTAGGTTGACTTCCGGTGGTGATTTGGCGGGATTGGCGACTGATGGGTGTTACAGCTAGTCTTTGCGAAACTGCGTCTATGGGCCTGGGACCCTCGAAGGCTGGCGCTTTCACGGCGCTGATTCCGTGCTTGCCCATGTTCTTCTCTACTTGGGAGACTTACCACACCCACGTTCTCTACCTTGGATACTTCAACGGCCCGACGGAAGGTCTCATCATTGCCTGCAGTTTGATGGCTGCGTCTGGTTACTACGGGCCTGAAATCTGGACCCACAAGCTCTCTGAGGTTTTCGGCGACCACTGGATCTTTGGCGACTACTCTATCCGCGACATCTGGATCCCGGTCATTCTCGGCTCGTTCTTGGTCGCACACTTGCCTTTCTGTGTTTATAATGTGATTGTAGCCCGGCGCCGCCAGAATCTACCCGTACTCCCGATCTTCTTGGAATGGACCCCGATCATCATCTTCACTGCCAGCTGTGTTTTCTGGCTCGGCAGCGAGCATAGCAGCTTGTTGACTGAGAACCACTTGATCCTGTTCTGTATCACTATGAGCTTTGTGTTTGGGCGCATGACTACCAAGATCATCCTGGCACACTTGACAAAGCAGCCGTTCCCATATTGGACCATCATGTTGGCGCCGTTGATGGGCGGTGCTGTGTTGGTCAACCTGCCACTTGTTGGACTGTGAGTGAATACTTATTCTTGGGACTCCATTATAGAGTTGCTGACCAATGGATTGATATAGCCCTGCGATCACTCCGCTCTACGAGCTCTACTACCTCCGCGCCTACTGCGCGTTTGCCTTTGTCGTGTACACGCGCTGGGCGATGTTGGTCATTGATGCCATCTGCGGCTACCTCGGAATCAGGTGTCTCCGCATCCCCTACCCGCCCCCGGTCAGGCCGGGAGTGCTCAACGGCGTCACCAGCCCCAAGAAGCAGAGGGCGGCGTAAGCGGGCAGTGTGGCAGAAGACGGGATTCGAAGCTTCTTTGTGGGTATTTTACTTTTATTTTATTACATATGTAATTGTGCGTGGCGGGATAGGGTAGGGGGGGAATAGACACGGGGAAGCGGGGAACGGGGGGGGAGAGGGGTGTCGGCGGGAATATATTTGTTCAACACATTAATTAAGGGGAGAGGGGATGGGGAGTGGGGAGTTTGTAACCTTTTTTTTATCTTTTTACTGTAACTTGAATTGATGGGTAATGAACGAAACCTGACTCTAGATCATATCATGCCTGCGTATGTGTGGGGTGTTGCGGTTGTTTGTATGTAAAAGTTTTTTTTATCTTTTTTCTTGGGTGGTCGTGAGGGCGAGGAAGGCAAGATGGGATACCCGCTGATGTCTGGTTTAATTGAAATGGCTTATCTGGGTGTATCTGTTTGTGACAATGAGAGTGTGAATGCGTGTGAGTGAGAGAGTGAGTGATCTGTTGTGTTCTATGGCCGTCACGTGAGTACGTGAAACACACCCCCACGCGTACGCCCTGCAAACTCTCAGCCCCAACCGTGGCAGAGATTGATCGATATCTGCTCAATTGCAGTCTTCAGTGGATCATCATACTCCCATTCACGCAGAACTCTCTTCTCTTCATCACCACCATCTCCCCTTGATCTGCCGTCTTCTTCTGCGTGTGAAATATTCAGCCCCCAGACCCCACGTTACCCGGCCCGTACGTCAATTGCAACCCTCAACCCTCCCAGCGTGAGATCCCCCGAGTCAATCCAAAATCCTCCCCGAACAAACTCCACCCAATTGCACCCAATCAATCCCCACAACCACAGGAGTAGCCAGCACTCACTCACGAGCCATCGCCACACAATGTCCGACCCGCTCCTCCCCCGGGCCCCGCCGCATACCGCCGCCCCGACCCCGACGACATGGCCGAGACCGAACTGATGCTGCGCCAGAAGCTGACCGAGAGCTCGTCGTGGAACCAGATGGCGCCGCCGCCTGTTCCCGTCCCTGCGCCTGTCCCTGTTCCGGTTGCCGCTGAGGTCCCAGTGCCCGCGCCTGTGCCGCCTGTCTACGACCCTGCCCCCGTCCCTGCTGAGGCCCCGACACTCGTCGAGGGGGAGGAGGGGGGAGGTGATGAGGCGGCGGCGGCGGGGGCAGCGGCGGGGGCAAAGAAGACGCCTGCGAAGAGTAGGGCTAGGGCTGGTACGGGGGCGGGCAGGAGTACGAGGAGGAGGAAGACGAGTAGTACGCCGATTAAGGATGAGAGCGACGTAAGTCGAAGTCCCCCCCCCCCACCTTCCTTCCCCTCATTCCCGCAGCCACCATCTAACATAACCCGCGCGCCTAGAACCCCTCCTCCGAAGAATTCACCATGGAAGGCATCAAGACCAAATCCGGCCGCAAGGTCCACCGCCCCGCGCACTTCAACCCGGCCCAAAAACAACCCTCCCGCCGGCGGGGTCCCTACCGCCGCATCCACGACTCGCGCATCTGCAAGATCTGCCAGCGCGGCCACAGCCCGCAGAGCAACATGATCGTCTTCTGCGACGGCTGCAACACGCCCTTCCACCAGCTGTGCCACGACCCGCCCATCGACGACCTCGTGATCGCCGTCGCGGAGGCCGAGTGGTTCTGCAGCGCTTGTGCCAAGAAACGGGAGGAGAAGCCTTTGGCCACGGGGCTGAGCGGCCAGGGGCTCACCGAGGATGAGAAGAGGACGTATTTGGCGAGTTTGCCGCTGGGGAGCCTGGTGGAGCTGGTGTTCTTTGCGGAGAGGGCGCATCCGGAGTTGCCGCTGTATGATCCGCAGACGAGGAGGATTGTCGAGGCGATTAAGAGCGCGAGTGTGGCGGCGGTGGCGAAGGAGGATGGGGGTGTGGAGGTGGGGGGAGGGGGCGGGGAGGCGGTGGTGGGTGGGGAGGCTGAGGGGGGGGGAGTGCCGAATTGGGAGGATATGATTGTGAGGGCGATTCTGGCGATCGCTGATGAGAAGGGCAGTCAGGCGAAAGCTATCTTTGAGTGGCTCGGGAAGTACGTCCACTACCCCTCCCTACCCCCCCCCCCCGCCCCCAAATTCCACATACACAAAACTAACGAAACCATAGCAACTACCCCGCCATCGAAGGCCGCGACATCCGCTCCGAGGCACAAGGCTCTCTCCAATCCGCACTGCGCAAGAACCGCCTCCTCCGCGAGGGCCACAGCTACAAAGTCAACCCCGCCTTCGTCTCCAAGCCCACACACACCATGCTCGACAGCATCCCAATCATTGCGCCCGGCTCGGGCATCAAGCTGCCGCCCGAGACGGAGGACCTGCTGGTCGATGATGATCTCGTCGCGTTCAGCCATAAGTGGCGGCTGGGCGTGGCGCCGGAGGATCAGGATGCCGAGGGCGAGCTGGATGCGGAGGGGGTGGAAGATGCGGAGGGGGTGGAGGACGCGGAGGGGGTGGAAGATGCGGAGGGGGTGGAGGATGTCGTTATGTAGGGTGTCCGTCTCATCCTTTGCGCCTGTTATTCTTTTTTGCTATTTTGCTATTTTTGTAGTGTTTTGGGGGGCGGGCGAGCTGGGTGTATTTTTAGGGTTTTCTATTGTTTTTCTATCGTTTTTTACCCCGAGAGTTTAATTAGTGTTATGGAATCAAGCCTTCTGCCAATGATTGTTCTTCTCTTTCCTTGGAATCGTGACTACACGTAATAGATGCGTTGCTTTACCAGCCCTAGAAAAGTTTCTGTGGAAAGAGTTGCTCAGGGTTAGGGTATAACTATACAGAAATCGAGTGAGAATATATGATGCAAACCGCAGGGCAGGTGTTTGGAAACGGCGTGGATGGGCTTCTGTTCTTCATGCGGCGCAGATTGAGTTCATTTCACCCTATTTCCCTTCCACCTTCGATCTTAGGCGGGGTTAACAAGGAAGGAAACTTATGCGGAAACTGGGATGGTATATTATACCCAAGTCTCTCCCTACTTCACCATCCTTTCTAACCTACACATAACACTTTCTTCCCCACCAAGACCTTCTTTCTCCCCATCAACATTTTCTTCCACACATCTTCTTTATTCATCAGTACTTGAACGTACTCGTTTCTGTAGCCTTCAACTTCTTCAGGCTCTCACGATATCCATCATGCAGTACGCATTTTCTACCCCACTAATGTGCAGCTTTCTTTCCTAATTTTTTCGTTTTTCTACTTTGTTTTTCGTCTCCTATCCACACCATGCAAACTCCTTCCTCTTCTTCCCCGGATACTATCCGTTTCTCGACCTGTTCATCACTCGCTTTCTTTCCTGCGTATTGTAAGACTTTTCTTTTCATCTTCTTTTCTTTCCATTTTCTTTTCTTTCCATCTCTTTTCCAGCTTCTGTTTTCCCCCGTTTCATCAAGTTGGCTCCCTCGATATCGCTCGACTGCTTCTTCTCTCCGCCATGCAAGTTTACTCTCTTTTACTGCCCTGCGGTATACCCATATACATGTATCTATCACCTATCATCCTGCCCCATTCACTCCGTTCTGTATCTGCTTCCCTTTCCTTGCCTTAATTTTCATCGTACTTCGACTACAACGTTATTTGCTCCTGCCCCAACCTATTCCATCAACTTCCTTCCCCTTCCCCCAACATACAAAACCTTCCTTAACATCTACCACTACCTCTTTTCTGCTGTCTTTGTGTGCCTGTCGATACACGCTCTTTTTGCCTCGGCGTCTGTCTTTCTTCGTGGTAGTTTTCCTACCTACTAATCACCAACCCCGACTCCATTCTCCCTTACACCAACTACCCTCGAGCATCCACTCCTCCTCTTTCTCTATTTCTCATTCCTTGATCCCTCGCACAACGAGTTTCTTCCCCCCGATATTGCCCTCCACCTCTTGTCCTAGATGGATCCCCTTCTTTCAACCATCCGCACCTGCCCACATACATGTCTATCATTTGCATGTGAAAGGACTTTTTGCGTCAGTTAATGCCTTAACTTTCTTTCTCTTTTTTTTGATTTTTTTTTTTTTGGCTGTCAATTATGTCACTATTTCCCTCGCGCCCTTTGTCTTTCTCTGCCCCGCGCCAGTTCCCCATCTTGCGAGTTAGGGAGGTAAAGACAGTATTCTGTTCACAGCGACAACCGACGCACCAGTGTATTGGTGTCCATCACCGGGTAGTTAACTGGGAGGGTACATGGCTGGCGACACAATACACACCAATAGTAGTACACCTGCACCTGATGATATACCCTAAGGTACAAACGTTGTTAGGGGTCGGGATAGTGATTTATCCCCGCCAAGAGATATCTGTCCTAGTTTATCTAAGGATATGGACTTCTGAGGTTGATACTGGTAGTTTATAAAAGAAAATCTGGCAAGATAGAGGCCTGCGCCTCCTCCGCCCAACGATATTCCGCTGAGGAGCATGGGAATCTATCCGGAATATAGGCGGTGGTTCGACAACGTCTATCCTCCACCAGCTTCGCCGTGATCCCGATAGTATCACAGCCTACGACCTAATATCATATAGCGAGGCGCAGAGGTCTTCCGGGGAGTGGAGTCTATAAACGATCAAATAGTACCTCCACATCTCATCTACCTTTTGCGCCAACCATTCAAGACCTAGCCCTCTAAAAGACTAAGTGAAATGTGTTGCTAATTGAATTGCACACGACATAGTGGATACGGCCCTAGGCGTAATGCAATACTTTCCCACATCACGGCACTAGGGCACTAGGTGACTCACCGTGACTCACTCGTCTGTCCGCCATTCGATATACCGCCAGAACGGTAATTTGAATTCTCCCATGGCTCAGTAGGCGGCATGAGGTATATGCTACTTGCAAGGCTCTGGGTTCAAACCCCATGCTTTGTGGCCTGAGTTCATTGTTGTAGACTTAATTATACTGCGAGCATAGGGACACACATCACTGTTACTAAAGTTCCGCAAGACAGGATAATAGGGTCATATGATGCCGCAGAAAACATATATTAACCGACAAAACGTAGTATTACAATTTACTAGATAACAGCCACATTCTCCGAACCTCCGCATTTAACAACCTTCCTCCTCACCGCAATCGCTTGTATCATCTGGTTCCGTTTCCATAGATCTAGGGATCATGGGGCCTTCGATGCCCACTGGTGTTGCAGCCCCAGACAAGAACTCGCGTAGCTCCGCAGCAGTACGGGGCTTTACGTCAATTGATTGCTTACAGGCATTTAACACATTCTGAGAATCGCGGTTAGAGGTCGTGTAATATAAGTCAATGGGAAAGACTGACCCTGTACGCCCAGAAAGTTTGCAATTGTTGCAAAAGATCGTCGACACGGTCGTATTGACTTGGAACTTTCCGTATCACGTCAACGGTCATTACACACATGTAGCCTTTCCCAATAACCATTCGCCTGTTTTGGCAATGCCACCCTATAGTAGTTATCTTTAGCATAGCCTCTGTGGTGTGTCTATAAATGGCGACCTTACCTCCCATCACAGCGCCCAAAACCTGCAACTTAAGTCTACCTCGAAGAGGGATAGTAGACTTCTGCAGCCTATATAACATGTCATGTAGCACCTTAACGACCTTCAAGGTATCTCGAGTCCATTTCCTGGCAAACTCAGAAACGAAAGTCTTCGAATGTTCGGCCGCCCCAACCTCGTGATTATCAAGACGCATGATAGAGTCGTAAAGGTGACCGATACGCTGCCGCTCATCCGGCGAACGATGGACATTTTTCCTGTCAGATGTGGAGAGCGACATCGACTCTCCTCTAAACCGGTTAGCTAGAATAGCAGCAAGGGGATGAAACATGCCTGCTTATATAAGTACCAGGCACTGTGCCCATGCATTGATCATAGAGGATACCCCACATGTTGGAAGTGAGCCAAAACTCCCCGTGATCACGAGTGAAAGCGCTGGGGCTATCCAACAGGCCAGACCAGCAGCGCATTGCGTTGTCAAGCCACGTACGTCCAGCCCGTTCCTCGAGAGGTATCTCCGGGGTGAGTGGTGGAGTAGTATAGATATACTCTTTAAATTGGTCGGCGTTGTTGTGCTGTCGACATGTAGGTCAGCGGGTGGGTATGAGCAATTAGAGGGCAATGTGACATACCCCACCATATCGAACAATGGCATCCAGAAACCACCCATCCGTCTCGGGAAGCGGTGGTATCTCCTCGCATATCATTCTTCTCTCATTATCGGAGAACAAACCCATAACCTGTTCGTCTGATGTATCGATAACCCAGGAGTGGACTGCGAGCTCCCACTCACAGTCTTTGAAGTGGTGATAGAGAACGTCTTCCACATAACGAACCCCCCCTAGTGAAGGGTTATTTGCACCAGAGGTATCTCGGAGGGGCCATTTTGCCCTATCCTTCAGGCTGGCCCAGGTGTGCTTGAACGCTTTGAGATGCCTGTCAGTATTAGTGCATCAATTCTCGCTTGGGGAAGTGTGTCATTACCGTGAGGCGGAAGCTGCCCGCCGTGAGGCGGGGGCAGCCCGCCGCGTTGGCGGTGAGTCGTTTCGACCATTTGAAGCGGGACGCTTCCTTTTTCTAGACCCAACGTTCGATGTAAGCGTGGAGTTGCTGACATTACCACTAACAAAGATGGCGGGCTGAGAGGCGCAGGTGGCTTGCGGGAGGGGGGCGGGTGGCTGGAGGATGTCGAAAACCTTGCAAATGTCGTGTTTGTCCACACCCTAAAATCACATGCATAACGAGCATTAAATTAAGCATACCAACAGGTCGACAGGCCCGGGACAGCATGATAGGGAAAATGCCTTGAACAACAGACAAGCCACGTAAGCCATCCGTGCTCCGGTGGAACCGGATCGGCATATTCCCTCAGCATGATGGACCGCAACCCGCCTTGAACAACAGACAGGCCACATGAGCCATCTGTGCCCTGCTGGGACTGTTGAAACCGTTCGTGACCTGACTCGTCCGTAAGGGCCACCGACCATCGAGCGTCCCCTGCTATAGTTGATGGCTTCAAAGAGAAAGGCCTGGGACGAGCAAACCGGCGCACGAACGGTCGTTTTCACAAGGATGAATACATAAATGAGGATCTTACATTTATTTCATATCTGTTCAGCAGCCTTTCAGCTATTTTCCGGCGTTCCGGCATGTCGTCGTCATCGCGAGCTCGACGTAGACCCCGCACCCATGCATCAGTGAGAAACGATTTTGCGTCGGGGCGTGTGAGGAGGATACGGGGGATCTCAAAGATGAAGCTGTATGCACTCCAAAGGGCTGGTTTCACGTTATCGAAATATTGATTCACTTGATATTGGTCCAATAACCTCTGTGCTCTCTCGCGGCGCTCAACGTCCCGTTCACCAGTACTATTAGTGACGATAGACTCCAAGGCCTGCTCCCATTTTCGACCAGCCTCCGACCTAGGGAGCTTGAGGTAGTCGATAAAATCCGAAAACCGCCATCGATCGTGCGAACCATCAAAGTATGTGGCAGATGAAGGATGATGAGTCTACTGGTAATTAGTCTAAGTACAAACGAACAAAACGAACAAGAGGGTTGTAAGGTAGGTCTACTCCCGACATAGTGCAAAGATTAATGTTCAGAGGCCGTACAACTCATTATATGGTTCCGTAGTGGCAAGGGGCAACTTATCTTGTCACTACCCTCCGCGGAGATAACGTATGCCAAGTCCTTATTTCGAGACCAGCCACGCCTATCCCAGGCAAGATAAGAGGCTGGAGGGGGGCCTGAAAGTCCCGTAGGGGCAGTTATCTAGCCCATAGGAGAAGTGATCTCTGTGTTCTGATCACGTGTACGATTACTGCCCTCTGTGGAGATAACGTATGCCAAGAGGGGGGGGGGGCTGAAAGTCCCGGGGTAGAAGCTGATTGAGGCAGTAATCTAGCCCCATAGGAGAAGTGATCTCCGTATTCTGGCATGCTAATGCATGTGTGAAAGCTAAGCCGCCGTAGTTGCTTATTCGGGACGGCCAAATCCCGATACGGAAGGTCTGTGTGTGGATCGGTGGACAGTCTCTTTATAAGCGCGTAACACACCTGCTCGCCCGACTACACAACTTCATTGTAGTAGCAATTGATATAAACCCACATTATCACCATACCTAAGAGAAAATTACCATCACGAAAAGCACTGTCGAAGAGTCGAAGAGATGGAAGAGGAGCAGGCCCAATTTGAGCTTACTGACCCCAATTTGACCGATTTAGACTACATTCTGGAGCAGGCCTTTATCTATGAGGGCAACAACCGCGGGCCAGCTGGAGTCTACCACTCTGGCAGCACTTTGGCAGATATACTCGCGGTGCAGATAGACGACCTTCGAAACCGACTTTTCAAACTAGAGGAGATAAGTCAGACTAGTAGTATGTCCCGGAATAATGACATTGTGAGACGGGCGCCGTTATACTAACGCCATACCAGATGAATGCCCGACGGCCACAAAGAATGCGAAGGTTGTTCGCTAGTCTGATGACCTAACCGAAACGTTGGGCGGTTTAGAGGCTGTAGACGATACGCCGATTGCTATGGAGGTTGAGATAGAAGCGGGCCCTCCCAAAAGATTTAAGCATAAGAAGGGGGCGGATGGCACAACTTCTCCCAAACGTCGTCGTACTAACCCCTTATCAGACGTACCGGACGACGCCCAGCCGGTCGGTGGGTTAATTGGAAATCCGGGCGGCGGTTCGGGGACTAGAGGCGATACACTGACTGATGAGAAAGGTGAGATGGCGCAGATCTGACACACGTAAACACTCGCTGACAGCATCTAGGAGACGGTCCCGAGGAAACTGGCACCACGCCAGCCGGCATCCAACCAGCAAATAAGGGCACTAAGGTGACCCGTGGTTCCAATAAGTCCACTACAAAGTCAAGTTCGAGGGTAGTCAAGCCGAGCAAGGAGCTATTATCTATCCCTCAGGAGATTTTGAAGATATCCTGCTGTGATATCGGGGAGAATGGGGAGCTTGGCCTTGGACTTAACGGTGGCAATGCAGTAAAGCGGCCCAGGTTGAACCCGTTAATGGATAAAGAGAACGTTGTTAGTGTTGCGGTGGGTGGGGCACACGTCATGTACCTCACAATTGACGGCAGGGTTTTTACGCATGGCGTTGGAGACGACGGCGCGCTAGGCCGGCACGTCCCTACGGACCAAGAAGGCGCAGACGCGAGGGAGATTGCAGAAAATCCTGCTGCTGTTCAGTTCCCCCATGGGGTAAAGATCGCTCGTATTGCGGCTGGTGATAGCTTCAGTATCGCAATTAGCACAAAGCGCCGCGTTTATGCCTGGGGCACCTTCAGACTGGTATGTGATTCATCTCGGTTTAAACGCCTACTAACAGTTCGGCAGGACGACGGTAGTAAAGGATTTTCCGCGACGACACAAATTCAAAAAGAGCCTTCTCTCATACGTACAATAACCAATGTAGTCGACGTTGCTGCCGGGGCAAACTATGTGACGTTCATGACCGCAGATGGCAAGGTGTGCATAGTTGGGACTGTGCTGGGAAGCCCACCACCACAACGACGACGCTTGGCGAGGTTGGGCAGCGAACCGCGCGATTATGTCGGCAGCCCCACCTGGTTTAAGGGCTTGTCACCCCGCGCTATCTTTGCTGGGGAGCGTCATGGATTCATTCTCTCATCATCATCAAAAGGGCATGTACTGGCATTTGGTTCCAATAGTTCTGGCCAATGTGGTATGCGTGGAGGTAGCCAATATAGTGAACCGAACCTGGTGACATCTCTTTCGGAGCATAAGATAGTTTCTATAGCTGCCGGCAGTGAGCATACGATTATGTTAACGAACGACAACAATGTTTTAGCATGTGGAGTTAACTTGTACGGCGAGCTCGGGTTGGGCGCGAGGTTCGATGAAATTGACGCTTCGGACAAGATGCTATCCCCAACACAATTACACAAGGGTAAACCCCCTGAGTTTTTCGCTTTAGCCAAGCCGTCACCTATAGTCAAACTTTCGGGCCACGCTATATCGGTCGCGTGCGGTGCTCGTCATAGCATCGTTACCACTAAGACTGGGCAAATCTATACCTTTGGACTTGGGTCGTCGTATCAAACCGGGTTGGTTCCCATTAAACAGTTTGCTGAGGTACGGGATGGAATGACGCACTATCGTGACCTCGATTGGCATTGTAACCCAATGTTGGTGCGCAACACAGTCACCACGGGAATGTTCATGACTGTTGCTGCGGGTGGTGCGACGTTTTCGGTCTTCGGTGGGAGGACTATGTCGGAGGAGGAAATCAAGGGCATAGAACAGACGCGGAGTGAGGAGGAAAAATCGATTTGCGGGGCGGATTAACGAGGAATGCGTTTTAAGATTATGTATCTATATTTGACCTCACGGCAGGGACCACTGGCCTTAGGCTATTATTGAATTTGCACCTGGAGTAGAGTATTTGAATTATAAGTGATGTGTTGTGTTGGTGGGGGTAGACTTTCCCCGCTCAATTAAAGTGGGTATAACCCCCTCAGAGGGATTTTGGAGACACCAAAACAATCGTCTCCTACCCCGGAAGAGGGTCAGTCGTGTCAGATTTTGGGGTTGGATCCATCAAAGGCAGGAGGATAATGCAAATCAGGAACTCTACCCATCAAGCCCCAAATATTTGGCATCGAGTAAACGAGGCTTCGGGTATTTGTTTGGCCGTGGTCAAAAAGCCTCATCTAATAAGATCTGAGGCACTCCAGAGATGCCCGAGAGCTAAGTACATACTCAGCGAGAAAACCGAGAGGCAGTTCGATATCCATGAGAAGAGATTATAGGTACACTTGGGGCGGTATCGGTTCGAGTAAAGAGTGATGATGCATCAGCTATCACTCGACCATGACAATTGGCTGAGTACTAGTTAAGGTACCAAGCAATTATGACGATGACTATGTGGTATTGGTAGCGGTACTCTCCAAGGGTAGGAGGTCATCCATGGATTTTGAGATTCAATGGTGAACAGAGGTCCGTTGGGTCTCGGATCTGGTGTTTAGCCACGACATTGGTCGAAGACAGCCTTTCCATCGCCGGCTCTAAACTCTAGTACCTTCTTTCGAAGAATAATCCAGTCGATGGTTGGATATGACAAGATGCCCAATTTTGACAAGTCTCGGGCTGCCAACACACGCAGGTACCAGCACTCGAACGTACCACTCATGCTCACTCGAACAGGTAACGAAAAAAGGAAAGAGTCAACGCTGTAGCCGGTTTCTGCACCTCTTGAATTGAGCTTCTTTGTCACCAATAACCGCCAATGTTCGATTGAGGGGGTATTCAAGTGACCAGGGAAGGCATCTATGTCTTAGGTCGTTTCCATAGAAGTTTGAACATGCGCTCCTCCAAACGCTCCCCTATCTCTTACTTACAGAAATAACCATCTACATAGACGTCAGCACGAATCAGACACCACTACTTGTCAAAACTTAACTGGCATTCCAGCTCGGACCCAATCCTAGCACATTCTGTTCTTATCTTGTTCCTTCTACAAGGATCTACTTACTTACTTACAATCAGATAAGATAAGATCCAGTGTAAGACAACCGGATTAATTCCTTGTTTTTCCGGAACTCCTTTTCCCTGCATATCGCTTGTCTATCAACGTCAGAAACCTGAAAGTTGGATGATTTAGATCACATTTTATTCCATAGATCTGCCAGGCGGTGATCGACGGACTGGCGGCGTTCTGGAAGCTTGAAATCAAGGAATGCCGAAATCGAGATGAGCTTGCTGAGGGTTCGGCATCAGGTATCACTCGATCGGTAGTGAGCGCCATAGGATGACCTGGGTTTGGTTTCCGTGTTGGGTAGCAAAAGTACAGCGAGAGGTAGAAACAGGGGCCTAAAAAACAGGGTTTCTGTGGCTGGGCAAGCCAATAGGACTCCTCCCATATTTCTACAATAATCTTACCGCAAGCTGTACGGTTTCGTATGGCACGGCACGTAGTCGAGCCACCCTCCAAAACAACAGAGGTTTATTGCTAAGGTGTGGAGATGTGGGCTACGCGGAGGGATGTGCATGGGAGGCATCTGCTCTTAGACTGAGGCCCCAATAGTCTCATAATGACCTTAGTTTTGCTGATCATTTGTTTGGCAAGTCCCAATTACTAATGCCTTCATCAATTACTAACCTATCAATACCGTGCTCCAACACACTTTCATAGTCCAAGTTCAATCCCAGGTTAAAGCGAACGTCTCTATTTCAATCCAGACCTCTAGCCTCTATTGAAAGATCTCAACTGTTTTTATCGATGATGGATGAGGTTTCCGATGTCTGGCCTGGGCCGGGCCGGCTGGGGTTTGGTTTCGGCCCAGACCGGCCGGTTGAGCCCTCGGAGGTCCGTCACCGTCACACTATCAGGATCCTAGTGAATAAGTATTCATCATAAGGAGTTCAGTTTTGCTTTTCTCGATATTATATCTTCCTAGTCCGTACGATACAGCTCAGAGTTTCAGGCCTAGCTGATATGTAAATGTCTGCGCAGCAGGCCTGTTGGTAGGTTTTATATATGTATCAATTATTTTAACGTTGCAGTTTAATGCAGGTATTCTAGTCTCTAGCTAGCCGCTAGCACATCGATAGTCCGATAAACCCGATTTAGGTAGAAAAAAATACTCTTGAAAAATATCTCGTGGACATTTTATGGATGCAATTGTCTCGACCGGTTCTAGATGAGGACCGTCCAAGCCCAAATCCGAGGAATAGTGGGCCCGACTCGACTGAATTCTTAGAATCCCTGGGGTGTTGGGGCCATGAATTGAATGGTTCCAATCCGATGTGAAGTCAGATTCTTAATCTAGCCCAGTAGACTGTGGTCTCGATGGCTCTGAACACCTCGATGCATGCCTAATATTCTACAAGATTCTTTTATTAGTTACAGTTTATGCACTTCTATAAGGCTTCCATACTTAGTGTGGGCCACATTAATGCCCACTCCGGATCCCTGTATAGATCCTTATCAGCTGCAGTAGCTTTCTCGTGTTTCTAGTCGAATGAGAGTGGCCGTCCAACTCACCTGCGTGTTTATCGGTGCGAATCAAATCTCACATCCATGAGCAGAATTCAGTGAGCTGTTTTTATCCTAAAGGAGCCAGAAAAAGAAAAAGAACCTAAAAATAATTTGGATCAGATCGTAAAACCAAGTGAGAAAGAAAGGTAGGAACAAGCTTCCCTTGGTCGTAGACAAATAGGTGCTCGAAGACAAGTAATTAATAACTTATGACAAGGTACAATTTTTACAGGCCAACTGGCAACAACATGTAAGCTAAGCGTTACTGCACATAGAGAGTCTGAGTACTAAGACTAGGGAAAGAGTTAGGCAAGCTGAAATCGTTTGGTCTCATTGGGAAAACATCTTCCGTTGCCTGAGCTAAGATGTAATTAATTGACTTTAGTACTAATAGCTACACATAGTGAATCACATATCCGGTGTTACTAGAGAATCTGCAAGCATCCCCTTGATTGTGAAGCTGATTTCATTGAGATATTATCTTCTTATCGAGCCTTGCTTACTGGTTGCAATCCCTAGGGATTTTGAAGACCATGACCAACACGTAGTCGTTAGTAAAGATTTCTCGAATGAATAAACTTGGAAAAAAAACGCGAAGAATCTAGATCTATTTGGTTAGGGAGCTTTGAAATCTCTCGGAGTCTGGGTAGCCTTATAATTATCACTGATATTAATCTTTATCATTCTCACAGACTACACCTGTAACAAATTGGCCCAAAGGTATACTAGACAAGACGTAAACACTGTTTTAACAGACCGCAATGGGCACCGACACCGGTAGAGCCCGTCTATAAGGAGGTTTCTGGAACTCGGGTTTGGTGAAGGCCCCAATTTCCGAAACATCTCTACAGGAGTACTCCGCGTTGGTTTGTATGCGACTAGCTCCAAAACCAAGTCACTCGTAAAGATGTTTCTGATGCTCGAATTCTGACAAAAGAAATACCAACACCAAAAACATTCCCACGGGCAACTTCCCTATTCTCGGAGCATAGGCCTCGCCCACAAACATGTTTCTGGCATTCGGGAAGCGACAATAATCGACTGCCCCAAGGCCCAAAACATCTCTATAGGAGAGAGCCCCATTTATATAGACACGGGACAAACCAAATACCAACTCGCCTATAAAAATGCTTTTGATGCTAGCGTTCTAGAATCAGACTGCTATCAAAGGCATTTCTACAGGAGCTTGCTCCACAACAAGTGTAGCGCCCGAGTGAGCACCTATGACTAGGGCGTAGAGGTCAGGCCATGGAGCGTGTCCAACACCGACCACGAGTGATAGTACGCATCAGCGGTCAAGGGGCACAAGCAGCATCCCTTCAGCAGGTTTTGTATCTCGCCGTTTCTTACAACCCAGAATTAAACCGGTAGAGGAGGGGGAAATACAAAATCTGCGAACCAGTCCGGAAGGCCAAAACTCGGCCCACGATATCAGAAACTTGTAGCCACAAAACTCCGCATCCCTTCAACAGCTCTTGTATCTCAATATCTGCTGCACCCTGCCTCAAATAGAGGACGCAACAACATTAAAAATACAAAACCTGTGAACGGAGCGCTTTCCAAAACCTATCCCTCGGTATCCAAAATTATGCACACATCCCTTCAGTAGATTTCGTAACCCACATCACCTGCGACCAGCTAGAAACTGTGTATCTGTGAATGAGAGTTACGAAATCCAAGAGCCAAAAAGCCAAAAGCCAAAAGATCACACACACATTCCTTCGCCAGATCTTGTAAACCACCAAGGAGTGCTTCCCTAATCCCCACCCATTCCTTTGTCGGGTCTTGTAGACAAAAATCTCTCTCAGTTTGAGAAAGCCAAAAATACCGAACTTAAGACCCTCTCTCAAAACCCTTATACGTCCCTCCATTAGATCTCGTCCAGAATCGCACAGTCCTGGCGAGACCTAGGGCACCGCGGATAGACAAGACCCACGAATGGAGCGCTTTGCAAAAAAAGAACTCCCCAAACTTCAAAATGCCACCGGCGAATGCAGCAAGCCCAAAAAATAAAAAGTTGAATGGAGACACGGGGAATCGAACCCCGGACCTTCTCAAGTTTCCAATGCCAGGTGGCACTGCAAATGAGATGTTATACCCCTAAACCATATCCCCACTTTAGTGTTATGAACTCGGTTAGTATTTTGTGTTCCCGGTTAGCGCCAAGGACTAGGTGACGGATCCAGTTAGGGGGAGGTTATCAGGCAACCGTCGACGAAGGAAGATCTACTCCGTGACGGTACTAGCGCTAGCGCCTATCCCGGTGCCGCCACGCACCTGTGGGTACTCGAACACGGTAGCTAGACCGCTGATCTTTTTCTAAATCCCGACGGCGCTCAAACGTCTTCGCGCCTTTCATAACACTGGATGGTACTAATGTATACTTGCAGAGTTTCTGACCCTACCGTTAAACTCACGTAACATCTGTAGTCCTCATTGAGTTCCCTGTCCTGGAACACGTTCTCGAGTATCTCACGGGACCCTGGTGCTGGGGGCGCCACCGAGTGGAGTTGCGCCACTAGTTGGGTGGGGGGGTATAGCCTTGGCTTTATCACGTGATATCTCCGTTTAGGGTATAAGCTATCAAAGTTTGTACCCTGGGAACTAGTTCTAGCACGCTAAGGCTGAATTATATAGCGATTCCAGTCTCAATTGCTAGACTCAGGCCACTAAGCGTATCGCCATCACATGAATTTTGATTTAAGATGACGCTTAGCAGCCGGAGTGTAATAACGGAAACTGGTACATAATAGGGGTAGTCGGCTGTTTGACAGTCAAGACCAGGGCTGTTGGTTTATCCCTTGGACGCGTGAGACATTTGGAGAATCTCTCTCATGCATTAGCGGGAATTGGCAGTCATGTGACCTAGAATTTGGCTGAGAAAACGTCCGGGTAAGCAGTTTGCTGCATTTATTGGTCTTCGGAATACTCAGAGATGCCAAAAACTTCGCAAGTTGCTGCTTTATTATAGTAAATCGTTTCCTAGGTAGGGCACGCTAATGCATGAGAGAGATTCTCCAAATGTCTCACGCGTCCAAGGGATAGTGGAAGGAACTCAGTGGCTTTCACAGTTCCTATTGGTCTAAACCATACTTCCTCTATGATCCGACAGTTGCCGATACGACCGTTAGCGGTTTCATATATATAGTAAGATCTAGATCTATACTACTTGCGCAAGGACTACCTCGTATCATTAAAAGCCTTATAAAAATGCCCCTAGAGAAGTGCAGGAAGAAGCCCATTTTCAGACTCCCGCAGGGCAAAAACTGTGGGGTCAAATCGTGCTGCTTTTAAGTTTAGAGTGCCTGCAGAACAGTGATATCCTTGGGGGTCGAATTATCCGGGATAATACAACGATATCGCACTGTTTCTCTCACCACCTCTTGTCGGTTCTCTAAAATAACCGCCAATAACGAGGCAGAACTAAAGGCAGTTTTTTCAGGAGAAAGAGCCCCATATTCAATCTCCAAGGATGCCGATATCAACTATGCTGCGCCCGCTTCCTAAGCTATGACAACGACATATCCTCCTTGCAAGGTTGCTTGGACTTGGATCTTGGATCTTGGAGCTTGCGCGTTTACCCAACGGCCATGGAAATCCCTTGCACCTATGGCCGAATTGTAACATGACAGGTGCCATTCGTCATGGACCGCTAACTCAAATATGTGAGATTAGGTTTAGAGTTGTGAGCGAGCGAGCGAGTGATGGGTCGTGCCTTAGCCATAAGCCTCGGCAGGAACCTGAGGTAGTGTAGATATTAGCCTATTTATAGAAGCACCCCTGTAATACGATACCTCTGCTCCATCTTGAGCAACCAAACAGCAGGCAAGAAGTACCTGCATGTACGTACTTCTACATACTCGATGTATCTCTACTTTCTCTACACCTGACCTGCTGCACCCATCTACATATCAATGTGCTGCCAAAGAAAAGCCACGCGGCGATTTGGACCATGAGCGGAAGCCGGGACTTGTAGGGACCCGAGCAAACGTTTCGATCCTCTTTCAGAATCAGAACCCTCGTTCGACCCTGCTTTCCTATCCAAGATCCCAAACCAGAGAGGAATCCCACCCCGTATCGCTGCGCCCGGTTTCACCAGCCCCCACGGCCCACACAGAAAGGGTCCACTCCACTCCAGTCCGCGGAATACAAATCAAATCGGAGATGGCAAAAAAAAAAAAAAACGATTGTCCCAAGCTTCCTAAGCCGGAACAACCCTCGTCCCGCGGATCCGACGTGATGTGACGCTGAGGGAATATTTTGACAACGCGTATCCTAGCCGCCGCTCTTCGCTTTCCTCTTTTTTTTTTTTTTATTTCTTCCTTCTGCCATGTGGTTGTTCCCTGAAAAACGACGAGTAACCCTAACCCTGACCGTTGTGAGTGAACGAAGTAAGCCGCAGTTATGACGTAGGTGGTTAGATAAGACAAAGAGACTCTGAGACGGTTGCAGAAGAGTAGAGTGGTAATATTAGAAATAGGTATCAAAGAAACGCACCTTTCTGCAAAGGGAGACGACAGTGCGGAAAGTTGTACTCGTATTCGAGGCTACGACTGGGGCTTAAAAAAAAGGCTGAGTTATTTCTGGGAGGGGTGGTGGGGGTGGAGGTGGTGGGTTGTTGGTATGCCAGTACGAACGCCAGTATGGCATGGCATGGGTTGTGTAAAGTATTGGTAAGGGGTGGGGTGGGAGGTGTAAGGGGGGTATGTAGGGATTATCGGTAGACATGGATGGCGGATGGGTAGCTAGCTAGGCTTGGGAGTAATAATTGAGGCCTCTATGACGTGGAACCGAAGACTGCTGCTTCGTCATGCCACACACGCAGGAAAGGCCGACAAGGACTGTGACTGACTGGGAGTCCCTATCAAAGGACAAAGCAGGAAAGAGCTAGAAGCGCGGCGGCGGCGGAGAGCTTATATTTCATGGTGCTTTCCCACCCTCCTCTTCGATCTTATTTTTTGGGATCATACAAGAAACCATATCATTGGCTCTTATTACCATTACTACCATTACTACCACTTATTATCACTGAAGTCGTACCATTATTGACTTTTTATACTCATATCGATATTATCATTACTACCACTGCGAAAACAACTTATATCACCGCCTGATTGTGGAAAACATTTATATTGAAAACAAAAACAACTTACAACTATAACTCATATCTACAATGGCTGCTGTTATGAGACCAGATAACGCCTGGGTAAGTACAAACCCAACTTCCAAATCTCTATATCAAAATACTAATTAATCTCCAGGGCGCACCACCCCCCTACCACCCCACGACAGCAACCCCCGTCGTCCACACTCCAAATCCCTCTCCAACACCACCCCACGGCCCACCCCACGGCCACGAAGCACCTCAGCGGGCACCCGCCCCCTCGCCACCCTCCAGCGCGAAGCCCGCCGTGCCCACCGCTCCCCACACCTCAAGAAGTCTGCCATCCCAGGCCCAGACACCATCGACCGTCTCGACAACATTCTCGGCGGCACCCCATACCACCACGAGGGCCCGTTCGACGCCACACTGCGCGCAAGACAGATTCCCGGAAGAAGCCCCGTGGAGGCGCTGGCGTGGAGTAATGCAAAGGCGATTGCGGCGACGCCGAGAGAGAACATCATTGATTGTCTGGAGAAGCATAAGCCGTTGCAGGGGACGGCGAGTGTGCCCGTTGGCATGAGGACCGCTGCGGGACAGGTGATGGGTGATTATGAGGAGGTGGATCTCATGGTGGAGAGTGGGTATCGGAGGTATCCGGGACTTGTGAGTATATTCCTTGTTATTAGGTTATGGGATGATTTAGAATGGCGGCTAATCGTTTTGGTAGGACTATTTGGATGAAGATAAGAAGGGAAAGGGAGAGCCTGGATACACGCTCGATAAGTTCGATAAGCAGCAGAAGGCCGCGCGGAAGGCGAGGAAGACGCAGAGCCTGGGACGCAACGAGTATGAGCCGTATTCTGACAACAAGACCGCCGGTGTGCACACATTGGCTGTGCCTGCGACCGCGAGCGGGTATGATGGCGCCGGAGTCAGGCGGAACAAGAGCTCTGCCGGGAGGATGGAAGGTGGAGAGTCGTTTGGGGATAAGCTGAAGAAGAGGTTCAACTTGAAGAGGAGGTTGAGCTAGAGGGTGTTTTTATCGATTGATGCACCGATGGACTGACTGTTGTTGTCACTTGTATACTGACTGTTGTTGTCACTTGTATACTGACTGACCTTTTATACGTTCATTTACGACGGGTTTTTTCCTTTGTTTTAGCTTGTGGGGGTTTTTTTTGGGGACATTTCTTTTGGGTTCTTTTGTTTTCATATATTACGGATAAATATCAGGGATGGGTACATCTAGATGTGTCTTTTGGGGGACTTTTTGGTTTTGGTTTTGACTCAAATTTGAAGTATTGCACCTAGCTGATGGAGCTCTACTGTTGTATTATTAGTTTACCTTTACATATTGTTAGCTTTGACTAGGATACGAATCATATCATGAATATAAAAAAGCATTAAACTATATTCAATACTGTCTATATACACACCTTATAACCAACTAATCTATTACAACTCCAATTCAAAAATTGTCTCTTCTTCATCTCCCGCCTCTCCCGCCCCGGGCCCCACGACCCCCTCTTCATCACTTCCACAGATAGTAGCGTCGCTATCCTCAGTACCCTCCGTACCCTCAGTATCCACGCTATCCTCACTATCCTCACTATCCCCACTATCCGCACTATCCGCACTATCCGCACTATCCGCACTATCAGCGTTCCCACCCCCACTCACACTCTCACCCTCACTACTATCACTCTCATTCTCCTCCTGCACATAATGTACTATAATAACCATCTCCTCAAACCTCACCTCCTTCTCCCCTTCCCCCTTCCCCTTCACCCCACTCCCATCCAAACCCCCTACCCCATCCTCCTCCTCCACCTCAGGCCCCGAGCGCCTCGCATTATACTGCGTCTTCCACCGCGTCTCGGCGTCAAGGTCATACATCCGCGTCACCGGCATGACCCTGTAGCCCCGCGGCCGCGGCAGCGGGTACGGCGCGATATGTGTTGTGTGCCGGGGTGGGGAGATGTGACGCGTGCGTGCTTGCCAGGGGATGTAGGAGCCACTGAAGAGGCGGCGCACCAGTTGTGGGGGTGGTTGGTGGGGTGTTGGTGGGTCAGTGTTGGTCATGGGGTGCGTGGTTGGGGGCGAGTGATGGGGTGTGATTGGGGGCTTGGGGTGGTTAGGTGGTTGGTGTGTGGTGTTTTGTGTTTTGGGGGTGACTGTAGAGAGAAGAGATGGGGGAGAAGGGACGTGGTTTTTGCGCGGCTCTATACATAGTATTCGAGATAGGTTTATAATATCATGGTCATCAGAGCTGGGAGCGCTAGGAGTTTTGGGGACTAGATGGTGTTGTTCTGGAGAATTTACGTCACTTGACGATGTTATTTTTAGATTTGTTTTGGTGGGAATTCGGATTGGTCTCGTGGGTTTTAACAAATACTATTGGTGCTATCAATCTCTTTATATATGGATTAGATGGTTGTTAATTAACGTAAATACTAGGCACAGCTTCAAAAGTATATATCCTCCTGTATAAATGGAAAATTATCTTTTCTGCTCCTCGAGTGATTGAAGATGGCGACTATGTAGATTTATCTACTGTGTTTATTTGAACAAGACCATTTTTTTGAAACCCGGGTCGATCGAATTGGTCTCGCACGCTTTCAACGGTGATGGGAGACCGAGTGATATTGTATGAAACAAACTTGAAGAAATGATTACCTGTCGCAGAATTACCTTGGCTTCAGTGGGCCGCTTAGGCTAAATTCTCAAGGAGGGCTACACTTTTCAAGAACAGTCCGATGTTCTGTTTTCTTTGGATAACATTTAGCTTGCTGTGTTTTCGAGTGATCTCTCATGACTCGAATTAACTTTTACTTACAAATGCTATGTAGTAGTTCAACCTAACATGACGATATCGGCTCATATTCATGAATGAGAGAGGTTTAAGAAACTATATTATAAGTTGACAGTTATAGGGAATCTTAGCTACGTAGTTGGGCGTTTCCTTTAGGGCGCGGGCGATAGTATTTACGTCTGCCATTCATAGCCTTCGCATGCATCTACTATTACTGATTGCAGACATAGATAATAATTAATGAGAAGAAATCCTTTAATATGTGTTATAACATTAGATACCCAATATACCATCACAAATAAACCAAACCCCATTGTCGTTTAACCCTCCAGTTACGAAGGGACAAAAAAACCTTCTTGATCCAGGGTCCCAAAATCGATTCCGACACCCCAAGAAGAAAGCTTCTTACTTGGCGCCGCGGGGTTTAACCTCAAGCTTCAGAGTACTCCACGTTGCAAGCAGAGAGTCATCGGAGAGGAATGTGGTCCAGCCGTCGGCCTCCGCCACATTCCAATCCCCATTAACGTCCTCCTCGGGCCCATCTCCGATCTGCCTACGGCCGATTACTCTCCACTGGATGTCTGAGAACCCGCAGTTCTTCGGCTCGACGTATGCTTCGCACATGGGACATACAGAAAGCTGCTCGTCCTCTTCAAAGCTGAAGGTGTTCGGGCCCCATCTGATTAGGATCTCTTTGTTGAAAGCTACGCAGGCACGCGTTTTGCAAATCCCTTTAGATAGAATTTTATATTAGTAAATAGCTATGTATTGAGCATAGTAGCGGGGGGCGCTGTCTCTCACCTATGAGGCTTATGCCCGGTACAGCCATCCGCCAGGCAGGCGCCCTGTAGTCCCAGGGTAGCCTAAGCTTATCCTTGGACCGAAGCCCGTGGAAAGAGAAATGGGTGGTCCCTATCGGCTTGACTGGGCCACCGATACGTCTTACTTCTGGGGTGCCCTTTGGGGCGTAGATGGCATTATACTTCTCGTCCGGGTCCTCTCTGTTGGTAGACATTTTTGCCGGAGGGGTCTGAAAGATATTGGTTAATTGAAGTTGCCGATGATGAGAGGTCTTTTGGTGAAGAGCTGTGATAATGATATTCGCTGGGAAGTATGTGGTATTAAATACAGAGACATGATGATTGATATGATTTCTCAAGATTGAAGTCTGGGGGATGACTTTTGCTAAGCATGTAGCGATAATGTATTTTATTCTTTGTGCTGTTAAGTTAGAGAAAAGTCTTCTCTGAATGTGGCTTCATGTAGCTTTCGAGAAACTTCCTTGTCAAATATGTCGAGAATCAGATAGATATATGTTGTCTTTATCTGCACCAACGCTTTGATCTGGGGATCAAAGATTGAGTTTTATTTAAAGATATATCATATTAGACTGGCCAAATCACCTTAATTAATTCAAGTCTTTTGATTTCTTTGGAATCCCCACAACGAATGTCTGTACCCGTATATTTAACAAGGATAATCAACGTATTCATGGAATAACCCATTGAGTATCAAAGAAGGAAATTCGTACTAGAGTGGTCTTAGCCAGAAAATAAATCTTCGGCCTCTTCATTCCAGCACATTGGTGCAAGGATATCTTTCTGATAGAGCTGCACACTCAAGCTTCCTTGTATAGTCTGGATCTCTGGCTTTGTTGATCTACCAGTGTATATATGCCCCATTCTGGATATCGCTAGTAAGGGATCAAAGAAAGCTCTCTTCGCCTCCGTACCAAAGATGTTAGATATCACTGTCCTCTATTGTCCTTGTCTTGAATTATCCATGACCAGCTTCTGTTGCGCTGGCAGCTCGTTATGAGTCCAGTCCGAATGAGTCAAGATTTCCGGCCCTAACGATTTTCTTATGATCTGGTAATGTCTAATGTTTATTGTCAGGAACCAATAGTGATTATAGGGATCGGAGATTCAGTATACCATTTTGGATAGCCCTTCATGTTTTATCGCACAGAGGTATCGGCCCAAGAGGCTAGAGGCTGTGTACAGGGCTTACATCACCCCGATGCAGGTCCGTACCAATCTGCTCACTTTGGCGAAAAATCGATCCTTCTCGTATGGCTTATCTGGTTGACAATGTCGGTGTAACCATATCAACAAAACCTAACCCTATAATGACATAGTCTAACCATATTTGTACTAGTACAATTTTCAATGTCGCTATTCACTTCACCACCGAAGGCGCGAAGTGTTGAACAAACCCCCGGCTTCACGAACATTTCAAATGATGGAATCACCAACAGCACTACCTCCAACTTCACTCGAAACACAATCTTCACTCCCTCCGGCAGAGGTCAGTTCTCCCTTCAGCTTTATGTTCTATTTACCAGATTAGAAATTGCTCTGCTAACATGCTACGTAGGTTCTTGTCCGAGACTCAGCTAAAAGAACACGCGAGCTCTTCTCTGGAGATTTCGCGAACGCATTCCTTCTCGACGATGAGTCTAGGTACCTACCGCCCTCCCTCAATCTAGCTCTACCCCACCTCATGCTCCCGTGATAGACCCCCTGACACAATCTCCACAGTCGCAAATCCCTCGTCACGAACAAAATCCGCACCGAATATGACGACCTCCGCGAGCTTCCCGCAGCACTAGCGGCCAAACAGGCCGCCGCCACAAGCGCTGCGAAACGCAAGAAGCTCGGCCCCGGCTCGTCGAAGCCCCTTGCTACAGAAGCGGACGGCGCCGATGCATCGACAATGAAGATGATTGAAGGGATCCCCTCCTCAGGGGCAACTGGACCCACCACGACTGCGCTCACAATCCGCGGCAAAGCGCCGATGCCAGGCTTTGGCGGCGCAGGTAATGCTCAGAAGAATCTTCCTGGATCGAGCTTGGTGAGAAACAATGCTGTGCAGCAGGTAAAACCTGTCTGGCACGCGCCGTGGAAGCTTATGCGTGTTATTGCCGGTCATCTGGGGTGGGTTCGCGCGCTGGCTGTGGAACCGAACAATCAGTGGTTTTGTACGGGTGCTGGAGATCGCACTGTAAAGATATGGGATCTGGCGAGTGGATCGTTGAAGTTGACGTTGACTGGTCATATTTCTACTGTTCGAGGGTTGGCAGTATCGCCGAGACATCCATACTTATTCTCGTGTGGTGAGGATAAGATGGTTAAATGTTGGGATCTAGAAAGTAATCGCGTTATTCGTCATTACCATGGACATCTGTCAGGTGTATACTCTCTGGCACTCCACCCAACGCTGGACGTCCTGGTCACTTCAGGTCGTGACGGTGTGGCACGAGTATGGGATATGAGGACCCGCACAAATGTCATGGTCCTCTCAGGACATCAAGGAACTGTGTCTTCAGTTGTCACACAGGAGGCGGACCCTCAGGTTATCACAGGTTCCATGGACTCTACTGTTCGTCTATGGGATCTGGCAGCCGGGAAAACCATGGCAGTTCTCACACATCACAAAAAGTCGGTCCGAACGATCACGACACATCCAAAGGAGTTTACATTCGCTTCTGGGAGTGCGGATAATATTAAGCAGTGGAAGTGCCCCGAGGGAGCGTTCATGCAAAACTTTGAGGGCTTTGGAGGAATAGTAAATACATTAAGTGTCAATGAAGATGATGTTCTGTTTTCAGGATGTATGTGACCCCGCATTCCCCCTTAGCTTACTACTGATAGCTCACATATAACAGCGGATAATGGTGAGATGTGCTTCTTCGACTGGAAATCCGGACACCGCTTCCAAAAGATGGATACCACCGCGCAACCAGGTTCCTTGGAAGCAGAGCAGGGTGTATTCTGCAGTACTTTCGATAAGACAGGTTTGAGATTGATTACGGGTGAAGCCGATAAAACTAGTATGTCTTACCTCCCGGTGTGCGTAGTTAATAGATGCTAACATCAACCGCGTTATAGTCAAAGTATGGAAACAAGACGAAAATGCTACAGAGGAGACACATCCGTTGGATTGGAAACCAACGTTGCAGAGACGGCGGTACTAGTTTGGATTTTTGTCTTAGTGTGCTTGGACGCTTGGATATCTGGGCTTAGATGGCTCTGGAGGATAGAGGAGGCGTGATGTTTTGTTTCCTTCCTCATTTGTATTTTTATAAAAATTGCTTTTCTGTTCTGTTCTGCTCATGATATTAGGCGGCTAAATAATGAAATGAAATCTGGTCTTTGCCCCTATTCGATGGGTACGGTAGATGCTGCTACTGCCTTGTCCACTTTCCGCGTTTGCCTGGGGGTCCTGTCGAGCGGGGTGCATGCACACTGGGCGTTGAAAATGTTCCGTTTGGAGTGTAACCATCTGGGGTCTCTCAGACCGTCGATAAATTGACTGCTTGATCGATTGCATTGCTGTCGCTATCTTTGAAGCCATGACTCCGGGCCAATTCAAAGGGAGCAATGTTACCTTGTCGATTGTTCATGCGCTACCCATGTGAAAGATCACATACGCATCTATTACCCACGCAAGGAATATATAGTTCTGCCAATCTTTGCCCAATGTCTAGAATTTTCAGCCCAGAAATAGTCACAATGTGCTTAGGTGTGCACATCTCCCTATTTCCTTTCCAAAACCACTATGTGGGGCAGTTTTTGGGTGGAGATTTCAATTAGCACTTTACTGCTCCACCGGAGCACCACCTTCGTACTCCTGGATCAGGTGAGGACTTTAAAAAGTGAGTTTTCTTCCACGAAGCAAGATCGCCCGGCACCCCTAAATGAAGAGGTCCATAAGAATTATGCGCCCAAATTCCAGAGAAGTACCAGTTGTCATTCCTGCATAAGCACTTTCCTTGACCAACAAGGTCGTCCACCTCCCTCGTATTCCCCTCACTATCGAAAGATCAGTATCCATGTGCGAGCATCAGTTTTATGCACTCTCTAGGTATCCCTGTAGCTGAGTTGGAAATAGTTAAGAGTACGTACTCTTTGTTTGCGGTCAATTTGTGGTTGGGTTAAACTCTAGCCGCAGAAGAAAACAGCTCAAGCCCGGCCCATTTTTACTGGCCAACATATAATGCTTGTTCATCAACCAGCAGCATCTACAGTAGACCAGTCAGTTTCTTTCTCGTCAGCGTGCTCTAAAATGCTGATACATACCTGTGCTGGCTTCTAGAGAACACATCTAGGAGTTTGTTCGTAGTTAGCAATAATCTGCTCACCTAGGTCTCGGCCAGGTGTATAATTGGTGTAGTATGCAGGTAAGCCTTACTCGCCTCCATTAAAGAGCGCCTCAAGGAGTTTCAAGGTCTTAATATTTGTGCAGATTTTTCTTTGCTAGAGTATATTTCCCATTGAGATGAGGCCACGGATGCTAGCTATCGGAGGGATTTAGAGCGGTAGGAACCCAATACTACAACTAGTAGAATGTATGCTCCCTCTTTGTTAGAAGCATCTTGAGCGGCTTTGTGGACCGATTCAGTTGTAGTCAACCGAGGATAGTTCTCCCCAGGGTAATCTTGTTTGGTAGTGGCAGTGCACTGCGACAGTGACACAGGCTTCTTGGCTCCGGTAAGGCAGATGGTTGATTTCGATTATAAGAGTAGCGGGCAGTGGGCATGGCCCCGCGCCTCGACGAGATCAAAATAAGATGGCATAAATGCTGATGGGCGGAAACTGTTGCAAGGTCTAGGTAACAGAGTACCTACACCATAGGAGATTCACGTGTTATCACTCGATGTGCTAACCCGCATATTCGGTACGGCTTGACAGGCCAAGAATAAAACTTAATATCACAGCCAATAGCTACACTAAATCGACCACCGTTCTCATTTTTCACCTGTTACTCCCTCCCAAAATCTTCGTTTATTCCACCGGCTTATTTCAAATATCATAGTTTCCATATACATTTTGAATAACTACAATCAGGTAGCTGTGCTGAATCATGTTTTTTTATTGTTTATTAGTTTATTCAAGCATAAGTTTTTTGTAATGATTTATAAACAGGATTCTCATCTAGAGTTCGAAAGACTTCAACGAAGTGCGTATAGATAGACAGATGTGCTGGAGACTTCATGAGACTTTCAAGTCTCAACAAGGTTGTGCCGATGATCAATAGGCTAAATAAAGGTAACGTTGTACTTTAGAAGACAAGTAGATGCTTTAAACAGGAAGTCTTAACCTACATGTATGAAGCTACCTATCTTAGACGAAAGGGTGACGTTTGGCATAGCCGCGCGACCGAGGTGAACATGTGTTTCTCGAGTGATTAATTATGATTAAGCTCGCGTGCCACGCCACGTCGCTACTACATATTTTTTGTATTTCTCATCAGCAACCTTCTTGAGACGTCATGCAATGTCTCATAAATATCTGCTCCGTTTCGTCCGGACGAGCTTTAAGATTCTGATTGGATAATCAAGTGGATGACTTCATGGATCAGTCGACGTCGGCTATCAGAAGGTTTGACTCTGGAAGACCTTCGCCATCGTCAACAGTTTCTTGGATGAAGGATTTTGAGGCGGTACTGGGTCTCATCATTCATAGGTTGGTTACTCAGGAGGCGAGGTGTCTTCGCCGACGGGTAGAGACGCCGCTTCGATTACAGTGCATTATCTACTTTAACGTTTCTCCCTCATCTAACTCCACCTGCCCCACTTCATTTTGTTTCTTACAGATTTAATACATGCTGTGTGATACAATTGAAAAATATCACTGGAGGGTTCTACGGACTACCTGCGACATCAACCCGCTCGATGCTTGATCGGCTATACTTGCATGCTGAGAAGCTTCTTGAGTGAGTGACGAGAAATTACTTATTCAATATTGGGGCTCTCCCACGTGTTTCTCTCTGTGCCTGGACATATTTTGCCAGGGGCATATCATCCGAAATATGATCCCCAGATGCTTGTCTGCTTATGGGACACGACATTCACGAGCCGTCCCCTCAGAACCATCGTGTACAAGACTCGTGTACTAGTATTCTCAGATCTCGCAGCTTCGTGATACACCTCCCTTTCCTCACTCCTAAAGGTCGTGGAAAGGTCAAGCACAAAGCATCACTCGTTCATCAACTGAACGCATCCAGTCCTTTTGGAAACTATGGGTTTCAGACTCGTCACCGGGCTCGGAATTCCTCTCTCCTATTAATAAAAAAGCAATATTTATCTTTAGCTAGCTATAGGCCCTCGCATCAAATCTGGATAGGACCCGGACTGAATCTTCAGGTGCCGTTGGTGACTGTCTCAGATGTATGCGCGCAACGCGCTGGGGATATCAAAATCAGGACAACGAATCAATTCATCTCCGGGTCGACGTACATAGGTCCGAAGAAGTGCTTGTTTTGCAGCTGGTTGTACAAGGACCCTGAACGATGATCTTTCGTGAGACCCTGTTTACTCACAAGTACCTGAGTTCCTGCGAGTATTGATCGATTTGTATGGGCTGATTCAGTGACGACACCTAGGAGGGTTTTTGTATGGAGAGAAATGGGCGTCTAATGCAGGGATGTCAATCTTCGTTCCAAAGGTAAGGAGCAAGTTAATGGAAGATGGATACCGGTATATTTCCCGGCTTTGACTCTCCGTGGTGACGAGTCTCGATCAATGCATGGCCTTAATAACTCATGGGAGTGGGGGATTACTATATCTCTTCATTTACGTCGGATGGGTGTTGTGTCGGGGTCGTTCTGGGGAGAACAAGCATTCTTGGTGTCTCTCTTCGGAGTCTTGACCATATTCGAGAGGGTGAGGTTACGATAACCTTTATCGATAAGAGGTGGGGTTAGGGTTATGGTGTGGTTGCAGTGTGATTTTAATTCTCAAATGGGCCGGGTAATGATAGTACAGTGGCCATACGATGTCACCAACGAACCTAGGCATCTTGAATTTTGGAAATTGGCTGTTTCACAATTTACGGAGCCGATATCTATCTAGCCTTATCGTCAGGGAAAGACCGGCAGCACTTCAGACTCATCCTCCGTCTTAAAGCAATTGCATTGCCTATTTGCTATTTACAGAAGTCCGGGTCCTATCTACGATAATGGGAAGTCTAGATCTATCAACCGCTGTTAAGAGCTATGGGGTCAATTCCAGCCAGTAGCAGCGCAGGGCGCGAACCCGACAATCGGAAGATGGGAGCGGCGAGTTTAGGTTGGAGAGAGTGCAGGAAGTTAAGTGCAAGATATGGTGTGAGAGAGGAGAGAGATCGCGTTGGAGGCTGGGAAGATCCCCTCCTCTTTTCGTTATCTTGCGATAGTCGTTTGTCCGGAAACAACCCCGTATATCCTTCCCATCGTGGGGCGTTGCTGTGGAATCAAGCAGGAAGAATTGATTGCACACCGGTGGTTGTTCAACATCCAGGAAGCATCTATGGGCTCCATGTCGATCATGGTGAAACCTGGCTACATATGAGTTTGCGAACAAAAGAGAAGACGATAAAAAAAAACTCTCTTTCGCTGTTTCTGTACCTTGTGTACCTCTATTCCTTCCCCCGAGATACCTAAAAGCTTGGTCGAGGAACGGAAATGATCATGCGGCATACGGCAGCGAGTCCCGTCTGCATCAGAAAAGCTTGACATTGATTCTCTTCCCATAGACATGGTTTCCCAAGGAATGTAAAGTTGAAGATGGGGTCAAGATGTTTTTTGCAAGGTTGTTCTCGTGAGCACAATTTCTCCTGAACTATAACCTACAATTTCACGCACGCACGCACGCACGCACGTGTTGTTGAATTCCAGTTCCAGAGAGTAAGATCTATCCGAACTGTAATAAACCAAGTTCATTAAGGCGCTTGGCTAAATTGCTGCAGATTTGTGGCGGAGTCGCATGTTCCTGCTGTATTGTACTTGAGGTATAATTGTTTATTGCTTGGAAAGGATACAGTATGCCGGCGACGACCCCGAGCTGAGTTCTATTTCTGACGGTGAATTGTCAAGAGGAGAAGGAGGATCATGAGGAAGTCCTGTCCTTGATTGCGCGTCCCCAACCTGGCTAGACCGCACTAGAAAGAAAGGGAAAAAAATGGTTTGTGGTGGAAATTTATTTTGGGGAGTGTGCTCGACCAAAGTTTGGTGGTGCTGTTTTGTGACTAGAACAATGATTTGCTACCCCGCCAAATGAAAGAAAGCGCCCCAAAACTTGGGTGCACGCACGCCCAGGTGCGGGTGATTCCTTTTTTGTGGTTAGGGCTGGGGCGCGCGCGCGGTGATGATCGGCCAACCAATGCTAACGGCGATCGAGCGAGGGAAGCGAGGGGAGGAGGAGGGATGAGTTGCGAATCTGGCACTTCACCCTCACCCCATCGTAGATTTCTCGGATTAATATTTCACCTTTCCTTTTGGCCCAACAGGGCTGAGCTCGAGCATGAGGGTTATTTATTAATATTTGAGAGGTTTAAGGGTTGGGGGGTTGGAGGTTGGGGGATTGAACTAAGGAAATACCTCTCTGATGTCTCGCGCGTATTATTTTCCCTCACTCAGTCAGTTTCTCCGAAGTGAATACTCCAACATAGCCCACCGACGGTAGAGTACGTTATCAAGGCCTTACTGACAGGGTGCGTGGAAGGAAGGCGGCAGACCATGGTGTGACAGATAAGCATGTTTATCGACTGACGGGGCCTCACTTCCTCCACCAAACCATGCTTGCTTAGAGTAACTTGCTGCCTCTAAGGCCTCTAACGTTTGTGGAGCTCGTGATCCACATAGGAAACAGATCGGCAGCCACGGAGAGTTTACTTTGGGAGCTAAGGGTCTTGGGGGTATAGCTTTACCAGTAACCTAAGCTTAGCTTCCAACCCCAGGTTTTCTCCGCATTTTTCGCCTGGGCACTCCGAGGAACGGTTTTTTGTTTTGTCTGGGCAGCGTTTAGATGAGGTAGAATAGGTAGTCCTAGAGTAGAGGGCATCAAGGACTGTTTTGCCCAGAAAAATGGCTGTATGCAAGCAAGCAAACTGACAGATAATGGAAACGAAGTTCACTGAAGTTCTCGCTTGCGCTTGCACAGGCAGGCGATCGCTAATCGCTGGATTGTGTGGGTTGGTGTGGGTGTTCGCTCTGTCTACCATGCACACCACACCCCGGACTCTCCCCGCATTTGGCAAGGAAGCTCCCTCGCCAGGGTTGCACGGACTCACCGCACTTCCAATCGGTGGTGGGCAGTGCAGAGCCAATGATAGACTGTATCATTTCCATCTTGTCCATCGAATCAGTGGCGATCGCTTGTGACGCCCGCATACGTCACTGCGTTGGGAAGGGCTGCTTGATGGTCAACGCTCAAGCGGTATCAAGCCTTTTACTTTTCTTTTTAGGAAGTTGCCGTTCGGTGAGTGAGGGCGAGTGAGAGAGGGCGTATGCTAAATGTAAGTTATGTGTAGGTAAGGAAACAGCTAACAGCATCATGAGACACGACGGCGACAACAACGACCGACGAGCAGGCCCGCCGCCCCACCAACTTTGTGCGGTGTGGGTCATGATTGTGGCTTTCCCCCCCCCCCCTTTTTTGACGTTTTCCTTTGTCCACGAGGAGTAATCAAGGCCCAACACCTGGGCTTACTTACATTGGTAGAGAACGAGAAAGATATAAAAGCTCCTACCCACCCCCTCTTATCACGGCCCATTCCATACAGTCCAGTCCAGTACACAGTCCGATAAAATATAAACCAACAAGCTCCTCAATTTTTATATCCATATATATTCGCAGCTTAAGACTACCACCGCAACCTTAATACCACCACTACCACTACCACTCACTGCTACCAACAACTACTACTACTACCTTCAAACACTTACCATGACTTCCGCCGAAACCCGTACCCAGCCATTCTCCATGAGTCCCGTGAGCCCTATCAGCCCCGTCGACATTGAGCCACGACAGTACCGCCGCGGGTCCATGGTCGATGATGCCATGGCCGAGCCGTTCATGCGCGTAGGCCGCCGCGGCAGCGATGGCAGCGATGGCAGCCTCTCACCGATCGAGAAGCGGGATCGCAGGATGTATGTTTCCCCAATCCCTCCTCTTCTCTCCATGAGAGTTTTTATGAGAGATGTAGAGAGACAGTTGGCTAATTAATATTTTTGCAACAGGAGCAAGGAGTGGGATGCCTCAAAAACACCGCCATCGAGGTTCCAGAAGATGGAGGGTTCGGTATGTGTTTCCCCCCCTAAGCCTTCAAACTCCCTTTTTACTATAGTGCTGGTGACTGACTGTCTGTACTGGTGATAGACTTTTCGCAACTTCCTTCATTCGCTTGACGGCCCATCGCTCTGGCCCGAGATCAGTACGAGGAATCATATTTGTCCTCAACCAGGCAAGAGTCATGAAATGGGTGATCAACGGGACTCTTCTACGGATAGAGAAGAGGAGAGAAGAGTATTTGAAATACTACTAGTTAAATTCATATACTAGAGTAAAATGGAAATACAGCCTTCTCTGGCTCCTTCCGTCGATCGTCACCATGTTGTAATCTCTCGTATATACGTATATCATGATACACTGTAACCTCGTAAGGCATAATCTTGTATATGTGGTATGAGATAAATGAGTGCATTCTCTCAACTACTATCTCAACTTCTTGTTGTGTTGTATTTTTTTGGTGTAACCTGGTGTCTTTTCTACCTCCTCTTTTCTCTTTTTCTAACTTACTTCATTTTCAGCTTACTACCGGATATATTTCTTATCTACCTCTTTGCCGTGGTCAATTGCCTGAGCATGGGATGTATCCTGACGAATACAATTGTAACGCGTACTCTTACTATATCCGCACCAGTAAATCACTACATCATCTAGAGATATCCATCCAATACTTTGCTGGTTCTTTGGTGTCTCCATATTCTTATTTGTCTCTGTATTTTTCATTGTAGCTAAAATACTTAAACTACTTATCAGTTGTTCAATGGGATCAGGGGTAGGTTAGTATATGAACAATCCTCGGAAGTGTTAGAATTACCCGTTGATAAATCATTGAGTAGATGTTTATTGTTGCCTTTTTAATAGTTACTTTTGAATAATTTGGCGCCGTGTGAGTTAGTTTCTTATGTAAGTTTTAGCGAGAAGCTCTGCTCAAATGCGCGCACTCGTTTCCGCCAACTAGCCTATGCCCAACATACCGCGCCTATTTACTCGATAAAACTCGATTTATTATTGATGTATTGATGGCCTTATACTTGTATTTTCAGTCTTTGTGGACGGCACGCGAGCTGTCTACCACGGAGGAAGAATTCGAATGACGTGAACTGGCTACTCCATAGCGATGTTAACGACCAGAATATAGCCAACAATGACACGGCAGAATGATCATGATGAGCGTTATTCCGTGATAGATTTAGACACGTGTCAAGGACAAACTATTGCTGAAGGACTTCCGACATAGAGCGTGATGGAATATACATTCGCTAGTGTGTACTTCATAAGAATGCTAATACTAGGTGAGAGCTCACAGGCTATACGAGTCAGAAGCTGATTGAAAGTACATCTGCTCGCTAAGTGTAGTGTATATAAACACTCTCGCTTACTAACTCTAACTTAATTAACTCAAGCACCAAGATCACTCTAGGGCACCACGAGGAACCAAAACTCGGAGTGAGGGAGAGATCTCATAACAGCCAAAAGATTCAAGCCTGACTCTATAATTAAGCTACTAGTTACCCACTAACCAACCGCCACCAACACGCCACTGAAAACACATAACCACCAACTCAACCAACCGCAAGTCAACTCTATATCTACGACATACATACTCATCAGTTCTTTCACTCACCTTTGCTCACCCACTACCCGTCATTCGTGAATCAAACACCAACCCTGGCCTCACGACCACCAACCGGCCAACTCCTCACATTCAACTCGCGGCTCCCATGTACTGCCCTCAACCTCTCAGTCTTACTTCCTTAGGGCCTCGTGCTCTCACTCTCCTACCCACCCAACCTCTCCAACCGCTCTCACTAGAACATAACAAGCAGCATCACGAACACACTAGTTCCTATCTAAATCCTGGACTTATCTGACTACCAATAGCTTCGCCGTGCTCTACACACTCGTGTGTGCTTTGCTCCCTCTCTGCACAAGTCGCCGCGGGACTCAGCTGTGTGAATGCACAGACAGACATCTGTACAGACACACCTCAGCGACCCATGTCACCCTGTATAATCCCCTCCAACCCACCCAAGGGTCACCACATATCATGCGAAAGTGCCCAACACCTACGAATTCTAGACAGTCCACACCTCTTTTCAACGTCACGAGACTTGTGCTTTGCTCTCCTTCACTCGCCCTATATATAACTGAACCTGTATACTCCTATAGACCGTCCTAATGGCCAGGCACCGCCCACTAACCGAGCCATTCTCAACGATCACCATGCCTACCAGCCCTTCCGGCAACCATCTCATCTCCAATAATCCCCTGTCCTCTAAACCCTCGCTTCCTCCCTCCAACCTGTGTGTTTATCCTTCTATCGATGCATCAGTAAGCCCTACGAGGCCAACATCAGCGCCTTATATAGCATTAGCTTGCTGCACCCATCGATAGAGTGACTCTGTGCGCCCTCACCATGACCGCCATACCCTGAACGCTAACATAATCTGCTCCTTGCGCCACCATAGGCTACGACTGAGCCAGACATCGCTCAGCTGGTCCTCTCTCCAGAAGAACGGAACGCAGACGATAACTGAAACAGTCACTTTACTATAAGAAGCCGCGGTGCATAGACCGGAGCCAGCCCTACGTCCTTCAAGTACCATCCCACCTAACGAATCGCCGCAACAACTGTGTGTATTTCTCTGCAGCTTTTTCTAGTAAACTCTCCCTACTTCTGCCGTGGCGTTTCCTTCATATGGACCTGCGATCAGGATCCTTACCTCGGTGCTTACTCTGTCAGAGAGTGAAGGTGAGGTGGGGGGCGTGAACATTGCATCATGGATTGATCACTCGAAATATTTTGGTTGAGGGCCGACACTTGTGACTCAATATACTTCATCGAGACACATGAGGTGCTTGCTGTGAGGTTATATCGTTGGTCTCCATGCTTCTTAACGCGTCACTCGTCGCGCCGCTCTTCGCGGAATATACTGCCGCGTCGTGCCATGGCGTGGTGCCTCTTACTATCTGTCCTCTGCGCGGCCCGTGGTCGAGCGTACGGACACGCAGTTGCCGGCACTTTGGTCGTAGTTGGCGGTCCGCGGGAGCGACATATGGTTGACTGCCGGCCGCAGATTCGCGGGATTACCTTATAAGCCCTAGAGGGTCACCGTCCTGAACTGAACGGAGGAGTTATTACGGACGCAGGGCCGACGACCAGATGCGCCGCAAGAGGCGCCTATAAAATAAAAAATATTGGGATATTTACACACTGGCCGGATATTTAAGTCATTTAAGCCTAGTCGACCCTCTCTTGGCGCATAAAAAGAGCCTGCCAAAAAATTTGCTACCTCAGCTGCCAGTTCGCGTGACACTGAAATTCACAAGGCAATGATAATCCTGCAAACTTATACAACGCTATAAACGCTGGTAATGTTTCCAACTACTAAACACACCGTCAACCACACCATTAACAACTCGGAAAAAAAAACAAACATACACTAATCCCCCCACGGCTTTTTCTTATTCGCTAGAAGGTCTAATAGCTCCATAATGCTTCTCTTCCTTTAATCTTCTCGCTTTCAGCGCCAACTTTATCCATGATCTCTCTAACTGCTTATCCGGCTTCCCCATCATCTACACGCGCACGCTCTCAGCTCTAATCTTCTTTGCGACCCCTGCCTCGCATTTCCTGAGCGCATTATTCGCCGCTCGCCCGCCTTTGCCGCGCATCCACCGTCGCAACCGCGACTCCTTCTGGTGGTGGCAATGGCATCGTAATCTGCGTCGGCGTCTTGCGTCCACGATCGGCGTCACATTCAGGTCTGCTGCTGCAGGCCTTCACGACTTCTTACATTCTACCCGCCCACACCTATGTCGGTCCCGATATATATAAAAAACCCTTTTCAGGGAAGGGTAGACCCATCCTTTTCATAAACCCCCACAACTACACTTTCCCCTTCGCAACCACATGCGCAATATCACGCAAACGAGACCTTGGCCCCCTCACGGTCAATAACAACCTGGATGTCTCATATAGCGCCTGGTCCACACGGCTTGTACGCAGCTTCGACAGCTTGTCCTGAGCTTCTCGAGCACGCGGCGAGGTCGCTCTCGAGGTCGGTGAAGTGGGTATGAAGTCGAAAGCACCGGCAGGGGGGGGACCTCGTTGTAGGGATTAGTGGGATGTGGGGCAGTGGTGGTAGTTACTTTTTGCGGGGCTTGACGCGCTTTTGTGGTGGGCGGTAGTGTTGTGAGCGTGAGGTGGGAGTGGTGAGATGAGCCGCTGCGGGAAGGAGGGAGGAGGGAACTGGTAGGTGGTGCACTTGTGTCGTGGTGCTGATAGATGCGGGTCAAGGTGGGTGTGGATAGTAGAGAGGGGGTGGGGGTATCTCGTGCTATGGAGGTAGGTCGCTGAGGTTGTGTGAGGCGGAGGATGACGGTTCGGAGGGGGGGACACTTGTGTGTGGTGCGTGTGTGGCGTCTCTGCTCGGGGTAGTAGAGAGAAGTGCTAAGTTCACCAATTGGGGGGTGGGGCGGTGGTGTCAGGTTTCTGTTTTTTCTTTTTGTAGTCGATGCTGTGTGTCTAGAGAATGGGGGGGGAGATGGAGAGAGCAACTCGCATAATCTCGGGTGTCGGTTAATGAGCGGCTGAGCACCCTCGGGTTGGACCTCCTCCTAAAGCCTGCCGCATACCCGGTCTCGTGCTAGTTCTTTCTACTGAATCATTGACGTACTGAACAGTTGATAATTACAAATAAGAGCTTAATTGATGTCACACAAAACGTCTAGGTTCACTATCAGACGTAACCAGCACGCAAGCATGGTTAATAGGTTTACTCAGCACAGCAAAACCAAAATGACGGCAGCGCTCTCACAATATTCGTCGCCGCGCTCCCCGTACCCGATCGCGATCTGAGTCCCTCACCTCCCTTCCCGCTTCCCTACCTCCTCTCCCGACAGGTACCTTACAAAACCAGCAACAACTCTCAACCCACCGTAACCCCCCCGACTCCGATCCGACCCGCCTCCCTCCGCCCACTGTCACACTCTTATTCGCTGCGAGACTCCCTTGACGCCGTCCTCCCTCAAACCTCGACGCCACACAAACCATTCTCTCCTACCCCCCTTCTCCTCTCCTCCTCACCGGCACCGGCCTCTCCCCACAATCACCCCTACGCCCCCTCCTACACACAATATCGAGCTACCCCTACCCTTACCATCCACCGGCCCGCCACTATCAGCCACGCCTACGAAGCATACGCAACATCGCAACCCTGCACCCCCCTACTCCCTCACCATCGAGTCCCTCTCGCACCCTGAGCTTTGCTGCTCACGCAAGGGTTACCTCCCATAACCTTCCTCCCCTCCACTAGATCGGGCCATCCCGCTCGTCCACCGGCGCGCCACCGAAGACCCTTTTCGCGTCTATCTCCTGGGCATGAGCCGAGCCGGGAAATCACTGAGATATGCTACTTACGGCCCGATAAGGCTCGACTGCACGACAGTGCTGTTACGAGCGAGAGTCCTCAAATTTTAGAGAGGCACGCCCTGCGGGAAGTGAGCGGTCTGCCCCGGACTCCTCGCCAGCGCCCCCCCAAACCGCCCCACCACCTCCCGCAGCACCGCCGTCCGCGCCACCATCCCCATCGCCGCCTCAAACCCCTTCAACCGCCGCCCCCACGTCCGCCAGCCACGCCCGCAGCACGCCCCAGAAAGAACTCGGCAATGGCGTCTTCGGGCGCCTGTGAGAGCACCTCCACGAACGCGCCCACCCGTACCTCCACCTCGTCCACGCGGACATCGGCGAGGCCAGGGCGCACCTCGACGCCGCCGTCCGCGCCGGGTGCGAAGCGCCAGGTCGCGCCGCCGGCGTGAGGATGTGGTCGTGAAGCGCCGTGAGCACGGCGGAGGGGAGGGTTGACGTCTTGATGTGGGTGTGCAGTAGCGAGAGGGCGCGGGTGTGCCATGTGCTGCGGGAGGTGGGTGAGACTGAAGATGGTGAGTGCCCAGAGGGCTGGCAGGAGTGGTGTTAGCAGGCGGTGGGGGACAGAGGGGGACGGGTGCGCGGCGAGGAGGGTGCTGAGGCGGGTGAGGGTCTGGCCCCCGAGAGGGGGGGTCCGGGATTCAAGTGCCATTGTGATCAGGCTGCGTCGTCAGGTACTATACCGTTCAGTATCGACTCACCAGTTACTAGGTCTCAAAGATCTCTGATCTGGATAGGATCCCTCGAATGAGAGGCTGGATAATTCGCTGAGGACTTTGCAGTGTGCTGCAGATTTTGATGAATCTGATACGAAGAGCAGCACTCGAGCTCAGGACGCCACTGGGGAAACGAATGGCAGAACCGTTGATCTTTGACTCGAACTGTCTCTCTCCGGTTCCAACACGTAAGCCTACACGCAACTGAAACCACATAGACTCCACTCTCGTAACTTTCCGTCGATCCGGTTCGACCCATCGCTCCGTGAACGGACGGACAATATAAATCGAGTGTTCTCAGACTGGAATCTCCGCCCCTCTCACACAGATCTCACGCGCGTTTTTCAGTCTCTTAGAGCCACACCTTCCTTACCTACGATCCAGGAGCCTATTCTGCGTGACCACTATCAATTATGACCTCTCGCTTTCACACACGCACGTCACCTAAATTGCAGCCTATGTGATGTCCTATACCAGTTGAAGTTCTAATGAACAAATCTGAGAGCTCTAAATTAAAGCTGACATAGATACCAACATCCTTCATCACGAATATGTGCAAGTACTGAGTTGCGAGCATGCGCTTAAGTGAGGGCGCCACGGAGGGGCACGCGTGCCCCGCCCCGAACTAAAATAGAGTAGTGCGCTGAGAACGCCTCGCTCTCCTGGTCCAACGTGCGCATCCCTGAAGCGACGGGCTTCCGATACCTACGAAATAGCATCCCAGGCAGCCTCCAGTAGCATGCGTGTGCACGTCACCTCGGGCTCCGAAGCCTCGATTTGATGTCTACGGTATGTACTGGTCATACTGATGGCGGACTTGTGTAGAGAACCAGTCTCGGGGTCCATCCTCTGGGTGATCGATCTGGTTTTCGATCCGGTGTTCCTCCACTATTGTCCGACTGAAGTGGGCTTGCAGTTGGCACGAATTGATCAAAGGCCTAAAGGACTGCGCAAAGAAAAAAATCACATTCTCCTCGTATATCGCCAAGGACACCAGCTGTTGGATGGGTCGAGATTTCATTGCGCAGATGTCCAAATCTATGTGCAATGTCTGGAAGACACCGGGCGAGTTTTAGTTACGGACTCCAAGGCCGCGGAAGCGAGTTGGAGGTTGTGAGCGTGAACAGAAGCTACCTAATGGAAGAGAGTTCAGATTTCTGGTAGATCGTATTAGCTTTATTTAGGTACGAGGTGTCCACGTGAGAGAGCCGCTCATCTCGCACAAAACTGTTAGTAAACGAGAGTGCTCTCTCTAGTGCCTTGGACCTCATTATCAGCTCCAGTAATAGTCCTGACTCGGTTGAGCTCGAAGAGCGCATACGAGCTCCGAATATAGGGCTCGGTATGAAAGTGAGATCTATCAGTCGCGCGAGTTGACTGAACCCATATAGCGAGGTTCAAACTATCTGCGAAACTCTCTCTCACGATACGTAGCCCACACACGGCGAGAGCGCACGTAGAGTCGCTATGAATCGCATCTGAGTATATGCGCGAGAATTCCTCCTCAATGCCCTACATGTAAGCGACGCGACGCGAACACCAACCAACACTGCCGAGTGAACGTACCCACAATGTGCCGCACTACACACCGATACACCTCATCAACCGATTAACGCTAATCACACTCGCACCGTGTGTTCATAGGCACCCTGCCACTCCACCCAAACCATACGACACCACACCACCCCACGATGCGCGCCGCCGCTACAACTCTCTCTCTTACTGTCCTGCGATGCTCTCCACTCTCGTCAAGCTCCTTTCTCTCATCTCTTCGCTTATAATTAACGGGTAGATCTCTACAAACAGGCACTCTCCTATATATCAGACTGTTCTCACTCCTCTCACTATCACGCGTTGCCGCTCACGGTGCCGCTATCCGCTCCTGGAAAGAGCGCGTTCGCACATCTATGTAGGAGCCAACCTCACTCGACTGAGCGCACAGAGAGAAACGGGCTCTGTGTCTCATCAACGTATGCTTCTCTCCACCCGTACTACTCTTTCTCTCCTGGTGCACTCCTCCTGCATCACTGGCTCTCTCCGCGGCGTAGAGCATCAACTGTTGATGCTCTCGCGCAGGACCCATCCATCACAACGACCCCATAACATAATAGTTAGACGCAGGAATCTGTCTAACCAAAAGAACGAAACTTGCGTTCCACATCAAAGCGACAGCCTGCGGCTCACATCTCCGTCTTTTCTGGTCCGAGAATTGATCTCACAATGTGACTTGTTCACGGCGCGGACTGCGCTCCCAAGGGGATGAAGAGAATGCCATGTAGTATACCAAGTAGCTCAGACGCTGCACATAGATAGGAGAGGAGCTGGATAGACCCACACTCTGCGTGACACGAGCTGCTCGGAGGTAAGGCACGGGTAATACTGCGCGCTAGACATAAGACACAGAGGCGACAGGTCGCCGGAGGAGCCGCTCGCCTGGCGATGAGTGGTTGTGCTCCCGGTTGGGTGTCTTAGTGCCTAGCCAAAGATTTCAAGGTGCACTGGTGTTATAGTGCGTTTTCGAGTAGCTCGAGTCCAATTGTGTATAGTAGCGGGACGTTGAATAGGTAAAGTGAGGGTAGTTTGCGCTAGTGCGTATCGTGTGGTGTAAGAGGACGTGGTTATGGGCGTGGTTGGTGATGTTAAAGTTACTTTGTGGCCGAAGGGTTTGGCGCCGGGTCCCCGGGTAACACTGATGCGGGTCCGGGGAATGGGGGAAAGAACGTTTATAAAGGAAGGATGGCGGAAAGAATAATTGCACGACTTTCGTTTGAAGAGCGGGAGGTCTAGAGCGCATTGCGGCGGCTTTATATGAGGGTGCTGGATATGTAAGATTTGTCGCATGGTGTTTTGTTGATTAACGGCGTAGTTATGGGTCTGATGATCCAGGCAAGTATACTGGTGAGAGGGCGAAAAAAAGGGTTGTGAAGGTGGTAGAAATGTTGTATAAGGAGTACACTCACGGTCGGGAGGATTATGGATCGTGGTGGGAGATCCGTGGGAAAAGTTTAAAAATAAATTGGAGGGCTATTCCTTTGGATGGGCGATGCTTGCCGTCTGAGTTATCTCGGCCTTGTTTAGTATGTGGTAGTAAGAATGCGATATAAAATTGTACTTCTACTGGTATATGGCTCTAGTATTGGTGCTTGCCTTGAGTTTATAACGTCTCCGGCTATATAAGTTTTGAGAGAACTTAAACTAATATATTATTCTAGCCTCGCTAATTGTTGAAATGTGCTCTAAAGAGTCAGTAAGAGTTTAATATGTGGTCAAGTATCGAATGCGAAAGAACTAGAGCCGGGAGTATCTTGCACGTCGAACTCGATCCTTGAGGGTTCCAACCAGGTTCCTCACCTAAGTCATTACCCGGAGCCTACGCGTGGATTATCGGTTTCTTCCATTTCCCTTGCCGCGCACTAGCTCATTGACCTTCCCCCACAGAGAGATCCAGAAGAAAGATATATATAAGAATATAGAATTTTTTTCTTTGGTCTCTCGACTTCGGCACACTCTCCCGGCCGCACCCCCATTAGATTGAAAATCTTAGAAAGCTTTATGCCTCTATGCACCCCATCACGCACAGCCAGCCGCGCTCAGACCCCGCCACAACACAAAGTCCCGCCTCCGCTGCCTACACGCCATCTCGCGCACCTCCAAACCAACCGGCACTTCCACGACGCGGCCTATCGTCACACCCCTAGAGGACTGACGGCGATCTTCGGGGAAGACACAGTAGCGCACCCCCTTCTACACCACTTTAATACCCGGGCACAACACCCCCACGGAGCAAGCCTTCCCTAGATTACCCTGCGTGTCCTCACGTACACGCAGCGGACATACCATTATCTGCACACCACCTCTCCTAGCCCTGTACAAAAAGGCGTGCTTATCAAAAGACAGCTGCGTCTAGGAAAGGTGAGCAACCAGCCAACATCCGCAACCCATATCGAGGCCACGCCCACGAACTGCTAGCGAGCTCGCGCTACGAGGCTTTCGACTTCGAGGTTCGAGCCACACCGTTCACCGTTACTCGAAGAATAGCGTGACACCGTTATCGTTTTCTCCGCTGGGGTGCTCGAGGAAAGGCTCGGAAGGCACGGGACCTTTTATACGAAGCGCTTGCGTAACAAGCCGTGTGGACCCGCGCTATATGAGACATCCAGGTTGTTATGGACCGTGAGGGGCGCCAAGGTTTCTCGTCTGAGCTTCTGGATATTGCGCTACTTGTGGTTCGACCAAGGGAATCCGAATAGGCATAGTTGTGGGGTTTAAATGGTGAGATATGAGTCGGTGGATCGAAAGTTCTACCCCTCCTACATGAAAGTGGCAAACGAGTTTTTTTTATAAATACATATATATAACACGAGATTCTGACATAGGGGTGTGTGCGGGGCGGTAAGATTTATTGTGTAAAGAAGTTCTGAAGGCGCTGACAGCACGCAGACTTGCATAGCGAAATATCGTATATATGACCGATCATGGACTCAAACGACACGTGCCGACGCAGCATTACGTTGCATGCCATTGCCACCAATCCTAATGTGAGTGAGAAGACCGCGGGGTTTGCGGAAACCGGTGGATTCGACCGGGCACACTTGGCAAAGGCGGGTTCGCGAGCGAAGGGGACGCGCATGAAATGCGCTCACGCCGGACATGCGCAGGCAGGAATCAATCGCGCAGTTCTACGCATAATGAGAGATATAATGAGCTTTTCTGATAACGAGCGTGCGTGTAGATTGATGTTGAGGAAGGCGGCACTCACGCCAGTTAGAGTATACCATCATAGATAAAGTTGGCGCTGAAGACATGAGAATGTGCGCAAGAGTAATGTATCATGAGGTAGCACGTGCACAAGATGAAGTGCGACTGGGGAGACATTAAATTAGAGCGTACTAGCTCTAAAATAACTCTGAAATAAAGACAGTTAATTAAGTGAAGAGAATAGGTTAAGAGATATTGCTGGCTGCGTGCTTGTCGTCATTAGTTCTCGATTTACGGTGAGATTTATGTACATTGTCTCACATAGAAAGTAGTGTATCGGTATGGCGTAGTGATTTATAGTAAGGTTAGTGGAAAGAACACCTGATGACCGAGGATGTCCTATATGCTGTTGATTATGTTGCGGAGGGGTACATATATCATTGACCTTGGTGAAATTTTACTGTGTGAGACGCTCATCTGATTTATTAGAGATGTTGAAATCGCGTGCAGTGTTTAACTTGCGAAATTATAATTGTATCGTGATAGTGATTAAATCGCAAAGTCTGTCATCTTCCAAGCTCAGATCTGCGTTAATTCGTTATAATAACTCTGGCGGCTACAATTGCCCACTACTACGTTACAAGACGGTATTATTCCACTTCGACACGAACTGCACAGTGAGCCAGCTGCTCTAGCTCACCAAGAGTGAAGAAAGCACTGCAGTGAGGCAGTCATCCTAGCCGTGAAGCCTCCGGCCCCTACTGCACCGTGTGCTGGATGCACCTGTACACGGCCAGAGTGAAAGAAACCTTAGGCCTTCCTGGGAGAAGAGACCCGAATTTTCACCATATCTGGAGCTTCTCTATGAGCCGAGTGTGCTTGACCGATGCTCAGTATCATTATGCCACACGTCAAGCACCTTCATGGACTAGTTCTTGTGTTCTCGTCCACTCGTAGAGGTACTGTTCGAAGGTGAGTGATTGGGCTCGCACAAAAGATGTCCACACGAGAGTGAACGCGTCCACAGAGAGATAGTAATTGACATACTCGGAAAGATGATAGTGACATTCTCCTAGTGTATCGGCACACACTGTACAGCGCCCCCCCGTAGCATCCATCACGACTACAGTTCTTCTTGCATTCTGCAGCGAACCAGCGTTATTCTATCCGTTTAGCCTGCAGTGCGCCGGCAGCTCGTCATTCATGGTAGAGACCCATGCCATGTGTGACACGGTGGCGTATCACTACGGCAGTGCGGTTGTCGTTATTAGCCACAGACGCATATATTTCGCTCTTTCTTTGTGTTATCTTAGGGGCAGGATACTTCCACCAAGGTCACGAATGACACCTCTGCTACCATGTGCTTTGCGCCCAAGGAGCTTTACTAATATGGATTCTAAGTGGTGAGCCGATAAGATCTGTCACAATATTCCTGTGCGAAGATGAAAATAGAGGGAGCTTGGCGGTGGCGAAAGTATGATTTTGGAACAAGGCACAGGAAATTATAACATTGACTAGGTGGGCAGAGCTTCCTCAGCAGATCACGCGCTTACTACAAATTGGCTGGCATCTTTAACTCAAAATACACAACATAATCGAAATAAGCAAGCTATTAGACATTTGCTGAGTAATCAAGGCGCGTGCGATGACTCTTATGACAAGGATGAATGGCCGACGAATAACAAGTGGCCTCCCCCAATACGAATATCTCAAGTCTTAGTTCTATAGCTGTATTCTCTGTTGAACTCCTAATTAGTTTAAATAAGGATCTCCTGGTGTTGCGGGATACGAATACTTTATAAAGCACACAGATGGGAATAGCCTCTCTGTGAGAAGTGGCACGGATGCGGTGCCCCTTGCCTGCTGGACCTATGTGAGACTCTCGCACTACACCTCATCAATCTCGCTTCACTCTACATACATCCAACACTAATCCTGCTGCTCATAGCAGTGCTCTACTCGACACTCGAGACCTTCCATATCTTTCAATGCATATGCTCGGCGTCTCACCCTTCGGGTGTGGATTCATGTGTTAAATTTTCTGTTCTACTTCTGTCCTACGTACCCCTGGCCTCACGCAGTGGACGGGCCGAAGAGATAGCACTGGATAAAACCGAGGGACGAATTGACTGGTACCAAATCACGTGACTTAGCTCACACCAAGTCCAGAAAATCTCGCGAAACGTCTCGCAACTATTATCCAGTCTCCAGTTTCGTGATGTCTCTGCTCTATCTTTAAGTAGAACGCTATTTGATGGTGTGTGCATGCAACTCGTGTTTGAGATGTGAAGATAACGAACGATAGTTCTATTTATAGCCCCTCCTAAGTAACACAGGTATACTCTTCACCACTTACGGAGTAAAGTGGGGATATGGAGTACGAATTAGGGCGTCAAAGAGTGTGGAACGCGGCAACCGGCACCACTTCCATTCCCCGCTGGCTGGCTCGGAATCCATGTTGGGCCTAAGGTTGACTCCATAGTGACGGTGTATGCCAAATGATAATCAACAACGTGGAGTGAGGAGTTAAGTTAAGTATAGATTAGGTGGAGTGATGTGTAGTGAAGTTGGTGATGCAATATCACTCCACGGTTCTCCTCGCTCGCTGGCTGCCATTAACATAACCTAAGATGCCTCTTTGCAACCATTGGCGTGCTCGGAATCCCCAAAGCTAGTTACATAAGAGTCATAGTGTGTGGAAGTAAGGGGTTCGATCCTTGGGGGTGAGATGAGGATGTGCGGTCACTCATTGGTGTGGCACCTCAAACTATGGTAGAGCGAAGTATGAGCCACATGTATTCGTATGTTTAATAGAGTATTGAGTAGTTATAAGTACCGAGATGTATTCAAGTCTCGACGGTCCGGCCTCCCTGATCTCCATTTATAGTCACAGATTCTAGCCATGTGTTCCTCGCTAGTTGTCCTTACACGGTGTCTTAATCTATCACGAATAACGGCTCTAGATCTCTGCCGTGTCTGTTGGGCTAATCTGGCTTGATCTCAGTCCATAGGATTGTAATTCGAGATGGGCAGAGTGTTTATTTAGCCATCTACATATAGGTATTGAAAAAGCCGTGTGGGCAAGTTGGCGATCGCGATTGGAGTCTTCTATATTTTAGATATCAAGGCATTAATATTGTACTTCTAATGCAATATATAATTTATCACATCAATTTATTTAGTAGCTACATGTACTGTTTAGTTTCACAAACGATTGGCCACGACGGTTGGATATCCATATCTATATTGATAATTGTTCTATCCGGTTTATTTTTGTCTTTCCATCCCAGAGATGCAGCGCAAAGAGTAGAGAGAAATTCCGTAGTAGTAATAGTAAAAAAAAATGAAACGATAAAACAACTGTACACCAGAGAGAAAAAAATACAACCAGCAAGAAAGTAGTAGTAGTTAAGAGCCCCTTGTTTTCATCATGATACCTTACAAGTTAAGTTACACACAAAAAAGATAAGTAAAATTACGCGCGAGGAGGAGCCGGAAGGCTCATTCCAAGTCTAGGTAGAACGTTGATCAAAAGCTCCCTCTTCTTTCTGTCCGAGTAGGTTCCGTTGACCATGACCATCCTGTGGATATCTCCCGCGATGCCGTGAGGGCCCACATTAGGGGGCGTGTACTTGCCCTCGATGAGTCTGCCGAGAGCTGATTCGCGGCTGGCGTCATAGTTCTTCCAGTTCTCGTAGGTCCATTGGGAGGTTGGCTTTGTGCTATGAGTAGTATCAGCCCAAAGGGTGGCGCCGATGCCCTGGTTGGAAATTACTGAAGGCGGAACGTGAGGGGCGAGATATTCAGCAGTGGGAACAGTAGGGGTGTAAGGCAGCTCAACCTGCTCTGGGGGCGGCGCAGGAGGGAAAGGGTCCCTGCGGGAGGTACGAGATGAAGCATTGCGGTCATCGTCTCTGCCTCTACCACCACGTCCACCACGTCCACGTCCACCACCACGGCCGCCACCTGGACCGCCACGTCCGCGTCCGCGCCCGCCGAAGCCACCACCGAATCCACCACCGAAGCCACCTCGGCCTTCACCGTCGAAACCGCCGCGGCCACCGCCGAAACCTCCACGACCACCACGGCCTCCGAATCCACCGCCACGGCCTTCTCCGTCAAAGCCGCCGCGACCGCGGAAGCCACCGCCGAAGCCGCCACGGTCTTCACCACCACGGTCTCCACCACCGTAACCACCGCGGCCGCCACCACGGTCACTAAAGCCTCCGCGGCCACCGCCGTATCCGCCGCGGTCACCGTAGCTAGGACGTTCGCTGCGCTCGCCATAACTGGGGCGTTCGCCATAGCTGGGACGCTCACTGCGGTCACCGTAGCTAGGACGATCACCGTAGCTAGGACGATCACCTCCACGGCCGCCACCATATCCACCACGGTCACCGTAACTAGGGCGGTCGCCGTAGCTTGGGCGGTCGCCACGGTCGCCACCATAGCCACCACGGCCTCCCCCATACCCACCGCGGTCACCATTGTATCCGCCACGGCGCTCAAAGCCACCACGGCCACCACGGTCACCGCCATATCCCCCACGACCACCACGGAAGCCTCCGCGACCTCCGAACCCGCCACGACTGCCACCCTCCTCGTTGTTGAAGCGACTGCCACGTTCTTCGACCTCCTCCTCTTCGATGGCTTCGATGGCTTCAATGTCTTGTTCCTTGGCCTGGGCGAGGCCCTCATTGTTGTTGTTGGGTGGGAGAATATCGTCTATATCGACAGAGCGTGGGTTTGTGCGTCCCGCGAGAGCTGCAATGGGGACATTGGGTTAGTTATGTGTATATATCAAGTTCCCACAATTAAACAGAGGGGAATCGATAAGATAAGATAAGATATACCTTCATCGTTCCAGTAAGGAGAGGAAGGAGCGGGTTTATCGTCCTCAGCGAGTCTGGCCGGCGCAATGGAGAATTGGCGGCGGCGAACAGAACTAACTAGAGACTTTCCGTGGCCGAGAATGAGATTCCTGGAAAACATTTTAATTGGTTTTTTATTTTCCTTTTATGAGAATCTGTGAGTGGGGAGAAGAGAGAGATTGGGAGCGTTTCTCAATTCCAATCGAATGGTTTTGTAGGGAGGGTTGCAGGTTGATGTGGGGGGGCGGTTGATGGCCTAACAGAGTTTTTTTTTCCCTGCTGCGCTTTATTTTTCACCCCACTACTGCCAAGCCCTTCCTTATCCACACGTGACAACCGAAAAACCTCATCTCATATCCTGCATCATAAAAATAAATTTAAAGAATTGAGCTTTTTCACGAACCGATCGAATCAACCATGAACTTCGCCCGCCACCTTCTCCGCCGTGCTGTTATTGCTCCTCTTCCCTCTCGAGGGATCCCAATAATTCTTCCATCTCTCTGCGCCGCTCCAGTTAGAGCTCTTGCGGCCCCAGTTCCAGGAGTCATTATACCACGACTTCAGCAATCTGTACGCCATGAGTCCTCGACAGCAATTGGGGCAATCGGAAATACGGGGACAGCCGCAGAAGGCGAAGAAGTAAAGGAGACTAAGCCGCCCAGTTATGAACTTACGGTCACCTGCAGACCATGTACACACAGGTCTTCACACACAATCACTAAGCAGGGGTACCACCACGGTTCAGTAATGATTACATGCCCCGGGTGCCAGAACCGTCATGTTATCTCCGATCACTTGAAGGTACATCGATATTCACATCTTTTCTCTTCTTTCATCTGCTAATGTTTGCTACCGGTATAGATATTCGGCGAAACCGCCCGCTCGTTCGAGGATATCCTCTCTCAATCTGGCTCGGGCGAGACCGTCAAGAAAGTCGCCCTTTCCCCGGAAGAACAGATGGCTGCCGTGGAAAAGGTACTGAAGGAGAAGGGCATCTGGAGCAAGGATGGAGGCGATGTAGAACTGTTGCCGGATGAGCCAAAGGAGACGGAAGAAGACTGGCGGAAGGGACTAGTAGGGGAAAATGAAAAGAAAGAATAGCTGTAAAGGAACAGATGTAGATGAAAGGAACGTGGGATGGCGTTATATGTTTTTTTGTGTTTTAGTAGATAAAAAGTATAGTTCCTGTATATAGCCGGAAGGCGGCATCTGTACCCTTATTGACATTGGATAGAGAAAGCATTTAAAAACTCCATTCTAATTCTTATATCTTCCAGTTATCCCTAATTAGCCAATTTTATACTTAAGGAAAATCGTGGGGTTGGCTGTGATTATTGCCCAGTTGAACAGTCTGTAGTGACGGGAAAGAGTCTGAGTGGTCGAGTTTGAATTGTCAAAGAATTTGGAGGTTTGTTGACCATCTATAATTGAGGTGTTATAGACTGCATGCCACGGTGTTCCTATGTAGGACAAAAAGTTAGTGGTCATTTGAAAGCCATGATGCGTTGTAACTACATCGAGTGATAACACGTGATTCCGAAATACATCTATAATCCACCACTCTCCCACCTCGGAATTAAGACCGCATCTCACCTTCTCCAACCTATAAACCTACTTGTGAAGTAGCGGATACTACGCTGAACCGCTAGAAAAGCATCCTTAAGAAGCCTTGTAGTCGGTTTGCGTTGTTAACCTGCATTTACCGTACCCAGGAGCCCCCCAGTCTCAAGCATCAACCAGAAGGCAACCAAGGTCGGAAAGCAGAGCATGAAGACTCTTCTAGGCAGGATACTCGACTGTTCCCCCACATTCATCGATCTCCAAGTAAAAAGCACTTCCTGGAACCCTTCTTTCTCGTGCGAATCCCTCCATCTCCCTAATCCCCAAGCTTCCATCCACTCTGTCCCAGAGATATTGCTACTTCTTTTCATCCAGATTTCTACAGCGGCACCCCAATTTCAACCAAGACTAAAAATAAGGCTCGTCATGTTTTATCTCGATACCTTCCCCTAACCCCTCCTCGCGGCAAACATCGATAGCACACAAATCCCCTCTCCTCACGAGTCTCACAGCCGAGAAAACACAGTCCGACTTTCTTACAAATGTATGTTTACGTTACAGTATTTGGATGGTTTCTTCATACGCCTATACATATTATCACAAGCCCCTCTCCTTTCTTCCCCGCCCCCAAACATCGGCCGTCCCCCCCCCCCCCCCCGATCTTTCTGTAGTAGATCGCTTTTCTACAAGCCCTAACTCCCGAAGGTCCCCGAGGGGACCCTAGGCAGAAAGAATAAGTGCTGCGTCTTTGCTCCAACCTACTCCCAGACATGGCGCCAGACGCCACACGACCACTCCACCCCTTGCATATAAAGATTGCTACCGGTTGCTAACCAGCTAGTTACAGAATCGGAGCGTCAACAACATGCACTACATATATCAGCACTATCACTAAATTAAGAACGCCAGTTGAAGCACCGCTGTGTCCAGCGCTTACTAGCAATATTAACTGCAGCTATAAACCAAAAGTACTAAGCTTCAAGCGCCAGCGGGGCCCATACTATAGGGCTAGAGAGGCCACAAACTCACGAGCCAAAATTGTGGATTCGTACACTCTGCACCGACTACTCCAACCCGGGCTACTATCTAATGCACATACTAACAGTGATCGCTACTTTAACATTCCGCCGACCGAGAAGCGCCCGGATATCTAGAGACGTAACCTCTAGCTGTGGGAAAAGATCAATTTTTTCACTGCAAAGCCAAGCACAAGACGCAATTGTCCCAAATTGGACTTTCTCTGCTTGGCTTTATAGCCAGTGCCTCAGGTCCAGAAGAACTGTCAAAAAGAGGCTGTTTAGACCTTGACAGATAAAAATAGATACCAACCGCTCTATCAGGTTTCCGATTGCCCAAGTAATCACGCGAGTAAACACGGTCAAAATGGAACGGAAATACCAGCAGTGTTGCACCGGATAGCGGATAGCAAACGTCAAAGGATTATCATCCCCATAAAGTAGCCCTCATAGAGTGGGGCGGGGAGACATGGATCTCAAGATTCAACGCATCAAATTTATATCAAAGTGGGGGAACCAAAAACTTAGATTACGAAATGTTACGTTGCTGGGTTTGTGTTCCTCTCTTTAGGGATATATTCTTTTCTTCTGTCCTGTGGCTATTCCTCCATTCAGAAACAGGTCCATAATCACGCCTTAAGGTAAGAGGAACTTCTCACCACAAGAGTTAGCAGATGGAGAAAAACATTATTTCACTTATAAGGTAGCGTTATCTCTTTCTTACGAGACTTCATTTTTTGCGGAATGAAAGTGGGGCTTATAATCTTTGTGCAAACATCATAATATAATACACAAAATAGGCCGTTGTGAGCCTAACCAAACAGCACGACACACAAAACAGACAACAATATAGCGGCTTAACCCCCTTGATATTTCAGACCTCACGGTCAGAGTATATATCTCATCGAAGGACTAGATTACAATCCGATTTTATTTGGGTAAATTTAGTTTTTCGAGGACCTGTTGCGCCCGTACTTAGGTCGAGTGATTACACATGATCCATCCATTCAAAAACCAAATAAACCATTAACCCAACAGTTGCAATTACTGCACCCGAGATCTCAGAGGCATGAATCTCTAGAGCATAATTAACACAAGATGTGCGAGGAAAGCGTCTATCCGCCCAAGGATTCCCCCAAACAGCCATAACCGCAAAAAAAAAAAAAAAAAAAAAAAAAAGTACGAGGACACTTACAGCAGCCGATTCTACACAGGCAGCAAAAGAACCCCAAGACTCCCAAACCAGAGCCACAAAACCACCCCATCCCATAGGAAGACCCCACCTAGTCCCATCCCCTCACCCCTCACAGATAAACCGCATCTACCTTACCCCCATATTTCGAAACCACACTCTAAAGGGGAAAAAAAAAACACCCCCAAACCCCCAAAACAACAAAGCATCAAAAAACCGTAAATATCTAGCCACGAAGCTAGTAACCTGACAAACACCCGGCCCACTCACCCAAAAGGCCGTATCAATAACCTAGCTTCACAGAATATGCCGGCTCAAGAAGAAGGAGTTTATATACCCCATTACAGGATCGAACCCGCCCCGCCCCCCCCCCCCCCCCCCCTTTGCATATCTATCTGTCGCTGGGGATATCCATGTTGGAGAAATTAAAGAGTTTGCTTTCTTTGCTTTCTTTCTTTGGCAGCTCACTCGAATGAGCGCGGGAGATATCTCTCTCTGCCATAGCAACGATATGCCCGCGGTTACAGAGTAGGGCGGGCGGGCGGGCAGCACCGTGGCTGTCTGTTCTAGAGGTGAAGTTAATTATAAAGGAACGAGCCAAGTAATGTGTTCACGAAGAAAACATATGCTAGGCCGTAAGAATGTAAATAGTAGTAGTAAATAGGTATCGAATCTCTAATCTCACCCCCCCCTTTTTTTTTTGAATCACAAATACTCATAGTAACACAGCTACAATATTCTATTCTGCTTCCTGCGTTGCATGTAAAAGAATGACCAGACCAGACCATATAAGCAAGAAACGACTGTCAATGATCGCTCAAGGCTGTTTTGAATTGACGCACTATATATTTACAACAAAACGAATAAGAAAAAACAACAAGTAAAAAGAAAAAGAAAAAAAGAGAAACTCCGGGTATAACACTCTCTCTACGCCTCCGTCATCTTCTCATCCTTACTCTCGCCCCCCTCCCCCTCCCCCTCCCCCTTCTCCTCCCCCTCCCCCACATTCTCCTTCTCCCTCCCCCTCCTCGCCTCCTCCTCCTCCTTCCCATCCGCCGCCGCATCCAACTGCATCTTATCCTCCAGACTCTCCCCCTCCCCCCCCCCTCCCTCTCCACACCCACATCCCTCATCTCCTCCACCCTGCCCATCTCCTCGACCCCAGGCGGGTCCTCAAACACCGTCCCCTCCGGCTGCGGCCCCACATCCTCAGGCCCCAACGGCGGCGGCGCCCCCGCCGCATCAGCAACGATCCCCAACTCCTGCTCAGCCCGCATCAGCTCCCCCTGCGACACCGCCGCCGCCTCATCCGACAGCGGCGTCGGCGTCAGCCACGGAATCGGCGACAGCAGCGCGCCGCCCAGCGACTCGTCGCTGCCCAGCATGAACGCCGCGCCGTTGGGCGCCCCGGGCGCGCCCCCCGCGCCGGCGGAGGCGTCTTCGAGTGGGAAGACGGTGGCGGGCGAGGAGACGGAGAGGACGCGGGTTAGTGCGCGGAGGTACTTTGTGAGGGAGCGGTAGTGCGCGGTGGGGTTGCGGAGCAGCTCGGCGAGGCGCTGGATGGTGTAGGGCGGGGCGGTGGGGAAGCTGGTGGTGAGGATGGTGGTCAGTTGCGTGAGGGTTGCGAGGTCGTCGGGGGAGATGGGGTCGGTGTTGGTGTTGGTGGGGAGGGTGGTGGTGGTGGGGGGCGGAGGCGCCATGGAGGTGGGGGAGGTGGCGGCTGCGGTGGCTGGCGCATTGGGGGTGGTGGTGATGTCGTTGCTGGGGGGGTCGGTGGGGGCCGGGGCGGAGGTTGAGGAGGAGGGGTCGGAGGCGTCGGGCGCGGTGGACTGCGTAGAGGGGTTGGAGGCGGGGATGGTGCTCGGCGCGGCGGGGTTAGGCGCTGGCGGGGGCGTCGGGAAGGAGTTGTGGGCGATCTGGGAGCGCTGTTAGTGGGCGTTACTCTGGGGAGTGTGGGGAGGGACGAACGTGTTCCAGACGGGTCAGAAGGCGCTTCAGAAGCTCTGGCCACTCGGGGCTGAGGACGGTGTTAGCTACACGGTACCGTATTGGAGCAGGGTGCCCGCGGGGGGGGTTACGGGGTACTGACATGTCCACTGAACCATCCTTGATGATCTCGTCGAGAATCGCCTCGTCTGCAGGACAGAGAATACCCCCATTCGCTCGTCAGCCCCAATTGCTTGCAGTGTACGTTATGTCAATCTGGAGATCGAGATCTTTGGCTTACCGGATCGCATTGTGCGTGTATTGGGGGAGTGGTTGGGGGTGTGATAGGTGGTTGTGGTTGTGGTTGTGGTGCTGGTGCTGGTGCTGGTGCTGGTGCTGGTGCTGGTGCTGGTGCTGGTAGGAGGTAATGATTCTGGGGGTTGCAAGTATCTATCACGTCCACGGTCCACCAGATCGTATCGAGACATGGAAGGGGAACTCTTCACGTGCCAGCTTGTTTACGGGGTGGCTGTGCAGGCCCTCGTCCACTCTACCGCTCCACGTGTGGCTTCACTGTGACTCCCACAAGTGACAAGTCCAACAACGGCTTTGTCAACCAATCAATTCAATCTAATCTATGTCCGTCCCTGCCCGTCCCCGGTCCCGTCCCCCATCCACTCAGATATCCCCCATCCATCCCCCCATTCCATCAGGGCCCACATCCCTGCCCTGCCCCCCAACTGACTGCAGCAGAGCAGAACCGGTAAGGCAAGAGAGCAGCAGCAGCAGGCAGCAGGCAGTAGAGTAACTGCAGACCTTGCACTGCAACTGCGCAGCTCCCACCCAGGCTTTCAACGTCTGTCTGTCTGTGTCTGGCTGGCCCATGGCGGATAAAATCCCCACCTCCCTCTCACTCGCAACTCTCCGCTTTCCCCAGACTTTTTTGTGCCCACTCTAGTGAAAGCTCACTCACTCGCCTGAGACGCTCCCCCTCCACCCTTCCACCCTCCCTCCCCACACTGGATGTGCCTTTATGGTAGATAAGTACGTACATAGGTAGACTACATATAGCTAGGCTCACCACCACCACCACCACCACCACCACCACCACTCTACACTACTGGCAACAACTCGCTCGCTACATGCTCCACTAGTTAATTACAGTAGCTAGCTAGGCAGGCACACACCGAGAAAAAGAAGGAAGGAAAGAAAAGAAGGAAAGAAAAGAAAAGAAAAGAAAAGAAGAAAAAAAGAGAGAGAGAGAAGACGCTTCCAGACCCGTACCTCCTCCTCCTCGATCATACACAGCTCACACGGAGCTAGCTATGGACCTTCAGCCTTACAGCACCAACAGCAGATATAGAAGCCCCCGTAGAACCCGCACCAGCTGCTCTTGCTCCATCACGCACTCTCACCCGCTCTGCCACCACCACCACTCCTCACAGCATCACGCCTCTACCCCCTCCGCCACTGCTACAACACTCACCACTACTACCACTACAACCACCACCGCCCAAAATCAAATCACAGCAACTCACTCGCCCAATTAAAAGCACCCCTCCAAAAACTACTACTACTACTACTACTACTACTACTACTACTACTACTACTACGACGACGACGACGACGACGACAGAAATGGCAATCCTCCTCGCCTACAACATCACCGCCGAATCGCTCTCCAAGCAGCCACAGTCACCGTCACACACACCGCGCACAATGCCCTACCCCCTCACCCCCGCCCCTCGCCCCCGCGCCCGCTCTCTCCCGCGCCAATACTCCTCCCACCACCACCACCACCACCACCCCCACCTTCCACAAGCACATCCTCCACCACCACCACCACACCCCTCCCCATCCCAAAAGGAAGGCGAATCACCCACACGCCAATCCCCCTCCCCCCTCCCACCACCACCCCGAAAGAAGAAGAAGAAGCCGACAACGACGACACCTCCGACCTCGACCCCGAAACACGCTTCAACACGCAGTTCAACACGCGGCGCTGCGCCGCCGCCGCAGTGCCGTTCGTGTCCTCGGCCGCAAAGAAGGGCAGGAAGGGGAAGCGGGTGGGATTCAAGCGGGAGCTGGCGACCGTCATTCCGCCGCCGTGCACGGACTTGGTGCTGTATGGGCAGCGGCCGCAGAGGTGTAGGGAGGGGGGGAAGGGGTGGGTGTGGGTGGAGTGGGTGGTGGTGGTGGTGATGGTGATGGTGATGGTTATGATGGTGCGGGTGCGGGGGGTGGGGGTGGGGGTGGGAAGGGAGGGGAGGATGGGACTGCGGGTGGGGAGGTAGGGAGGGTGCTGGATCTTGCGGGTTGATGGTGGTCGGACTGGCTGGCTGGTTGGTTGAGAGTGTCTCTTTGTTTTTTGTTCTGTTGTGGATATGGATGGCGTTTTTGGCGATTGTGTTTTATATCTTTTTTTTTTTTTTTTTCTTTCATAGGGGTTTTTTTCTTCTTTCTTTTTCTTTTCTTTCCTTTTCCTTTTTGAATATTACTATTGCCATTGCTACTACGACGGACTTAGATGGGGGGGGGGGGGGGGGGGCTACCTGTATGTTCTTGTCGTTTTTCCCACTCTTATACGAGTTGCATCTCCTTTTTCTCTTTCTGTTCCTGTTTCTCTGTTTTTTTTTCTCTTCTCCCCGAGGATTGTTAATAGATCATATCATGTAGTCTTTTTCCTCTTACCCCTACGAGCGGGTCGGTTTGCATGTGCATTGGGATAATGATAATGAATAGATGTGCATTTTCTTTTTTTCTTCTTTATTTAAATAAGATTGGTGTGGTTATAACCACTGATGTTCTTGCCGTTGGGTTGATGATCATGATGATCATGATGATATATATGGCTGCTGCTGCTGTAACTACATGTACATGTAGTTATTGGGCATTTTTGCACTGTACTGGGTGGGCTGCATACATGTATGTTGCTGCGTGAATACGTAAATACTGTTGGCTGCGCATGCGCTGTGTTGCATGTTGCTTTGTGTGTGAATATATCGGATATCACGATTCGTAGCCAAATACATGTATATAGATATAGTGCTGTGCTTGAATTCTTGGAGGTTCCGCAGCTAGCTAGCTATAGAGTTTCTTATACAGATGTACTACCAGTTCTAATGAAATAGCCGCTGTTCCATAAACCCCCCCCCCCCCCCCACACACACACACACACACACGGAGCTCAAATTCTGTGCCTTTCTCGAGGGTTTCGGTTTGTACCTACTATACTGTGTGGACGGTTTTTGGCCAAAATTACTGGAATACTAGTATAAACAAAACCGCGGGGGGGGGGGGGGCATGATGTAGGGTTAGCCGGGTGGGTGGTCGTGAATGATGGAGTATATATAGATCGACTCATGCCAACCGCAGCCAGAACGGATCTTTCCAATTGATCACGGCGGCTGCTGGCAGACACACTCAACTGATTGATAAGAAAGATTAAAAGTGGCCTAGTAGAAATACATGTAATTAAAGGTCTCACACACATACACACACACACACACTCTCTCTCTCTCTCTCTTGGCACCAACTTCAGGTTCACTCGTAGCCGTACAATAAGCCACCACCTTCGCCGTCGGGTTCAAACCGCCAAAGACTGCACTACTCGATTTGATACATGTAGTCAGTCATATGTGATCACTCGGACCCGCTAGCTAGCCCCTCACGCTATATAGTATATATATCTCCCGAATTCCTGCTCTAGATACTTGCATCTACAGACATATGGCCAAGTTGAGCTCTTTACGGTCGATTGTAATTCCGGGGCGGCGTGGGGTGGGGTGGGATGTGCGGCCTTCCATCACCCCTCACTCATGGCCGCAGCCGTCCCTGCATTCCCCCATCGCTGGAACGCCCCGCCCCGCCCCGCCCCGCCCGTTCGTCGCTAAGTTCAGACTGAACAGCTACATACATGTACATAAAATGCAGGAACTCCAACACCGCAGGTGCAAGTACCATAACCGACAAAAGAAACATTCCCGAGACATGCACCGCACCCGACGAATTATGGACGGCCAGTATATCCACGCACTACGAGGGGCGGGGGGAGGGGGGGACGTTTGGCCCATGTGAAACACCAGATTCCAGATTGTCTCATAGACCCATACGATGTGTAGATGTCTCTGTTCCCACTGTTCTGTTCCTGCCGTGAGTGCGAACAGTCTACATACAAGCCGTACTCAAGGGCAGGAAAAGCACCTGGTGTGTGTGCATAGCTGGCTTTAGGCCCCATGCCTCTCCCTCCCCGAATGACGTTCGGCCCTCCCGCCTCTACGAACCGGCCGGGTGGCAGCTCCTCTCATGTAGGATACACCGCTGCAGGACGGAGCTCAGCTGTGTGTAGGGCACTATCGCTCCGAACGGCTCGCGCCGGTCTCTGCGCACAATGGACCTGTTTATATTATCCCCGCAGGAAGCAAACCACAGCTTATGGTATCGCTCGAATAGAATGAGTGAGCTTATAATTACAGGTGCAAGTAAGGGGGATCGGTATCGGACTGTGGGTGGGGAGCTGGCCCAGAACCTCGAGCATCCATATACGACACAAAATGTAGCTACATACCTGCCGTCGTCATAGACTAGTATCTTGCAGAGAGGAGAGAAAAGAAAGCGTAGCCCTCTTTTCTTCATGCGCAGAGGACGCATCCGATCTAATTCGCCGATCGACGATTTGTCCTGGTACTAGACCTCAAGATAGACCGACATATAAGGCAACATGAAAAATCCCCCCTACGTCAGCCCGCCGGAGTGCAGCAAGAACATCCAAATTCGGTATCAATGTGCTGGAGTTAAGAACATGATTCGTATCTTTCAACGGAAAGACCTACAAGCTCAACCAGAATTTCTGCAGCCCTTCTCTTGGCTTCTCCACTTCGATGCTCAGCTACAAAGTGCAGCAGCTCCGGTACGTCTGGGGGCCCTGACCAGGAGGGAAGCGTGTCAAGGAGCTAAAACCTTGATTTGAATCATAAAGTATCACTCGCGTATCTACCACAGATCGTGCGCCATGTGGGGGACCCAAGTACAAGGGACAATAAGCCTGAAATGTGGAGCAGAGTTATGCACAGGCCATTTTCCAAATCTTAAGTAAAAGGCCAAGGCAGACAATAGCTTTACAAACGGAGGTCAAGCTGATCGATCGACGTAACAACGCACAACGCACAACTTACCACTACCACCACAACCACCACCACGATCAAAGAACAGAGCTCAAGTTTATTCCATTTCCTTCTTTTCTTTCCATTTACTCTTTGGTACCCCTTCGCACCAGAAACCTACTCCTTGAGTAGTAAGTAGTAGGTTTGAGGTGCGTAACGTTTCAAAGCGCTTGGAGCTAGTTGGAGTTTCCTAGATAATAGATAGATATAAGAGATACCAATAAACCCCGATGATTCTAATGCACCCCGCCGATGATACCGATCAAGATGGAGCTCCTATCTAGGGAAAACACATGGAAGCTTCTAGTTTAGGTTTTTGAACACATGTACTTCGGTATCAGGGGTTCATATTCGCGAGCAAAACAGGAAAACTACAGCTTTAGCCACCCTTGATACCGAAGTACTAGGGCGTTCAGTAAAAGGTCGTGAAAACAAGGAAGCAACGGGGCGAACACCAAAGTTGACGTGACGCGGTCCAACTAAATCAATGTTTCAACAGAAGGGAGGAAATCTATTTCAAGGTTAATTTATCATGTATCTATTTGCTATTTCACTAAAGATTCTTGTTGTCATTGCTACATTTGGATGGGTTCGTGAGTTCATGGTGTTGCTTCAACTTTGGTGTTCGCCCCGTTGCTTTCACGACCTTTTACTGAACGCCCTAGTAGAACGCCCTAGTAGAACGCAAAAGCAACAAGTGGTGCCGATTCTACTACTAAATAAGTGCCAAGCCAAGCCTAGCCAAAAACCCATGGCTGCATGGTATCTGACAAGGAATATCCGGTAAACTTTTGAGATTGCATTATTCTAGCCCTACATTTTTTTGGTTAAAAAAAAAACTAGAAACCCAAACCCCACTGCTCTAACGAGAGAGCGCGATATCATCTATCCTCAAAATCATCTTACAAGTTTCCGCAGCCAATTCAATGGCACTAGTAGAAACTAACAAAGGCTGCAGAACGTTCTCGTCAATGATGTTTGTGACTGCACCTCTCCTGACACTGACACCTGCACTCTTCTCACCCTTCTCATGTCTATTCCTCAATTCAGTCACAACACGAATACTATTAAGACCGGCATTCTCAGCGAGGGTTGTCGGGATCACTTCGAGAGCTTCCGCAAAAGCAGACCAACACACAGATTCAGTGCCTTCGATAGTCTGGGCAGCTTTCATCAACGCGCGAGAGACCTCGATTTCGGGTGCACCACCACCAGCAATGAGAGCCCTGTAACCAGTTAGTTTTTGGAGGAATTAAAGGCCTTAGGGCTTAGCTTCATACTTCTTCTTGACAAGACACCTGATAACGCAAAGAGCATCATGCAGGGAACGCTCGGCCTCATCCAAAATCATAGAGTTGGCACCTCTGCAAAGAACAGAGACGGTTTGGCCAGCTGCCTTTACACCAGTGACCTTGACGATACGTGCTCCAGCAGATTGAACCTCCTCAACAAGATCTGCTGAACCAAGCTTATCTTCTGTGAATGAATCGATATCGGCAATGGGCTTGCATCCGGTGCTCTATTTGTAGACGTATTAGCGTTGCTTGTGGAAGTAAGAATAATAGCTGACCTTGCAAATAAATTCCACTTCATCACGTTCAATATCCTTAATAGCAAGGATATTAAGCTTAGCGAGGAAATGCAACGAAAGGTCGTTGACGGCATCTCTAAGAATTGACTTTTGAATAAACAAGACATTGCACTTGGCCTTCTTGATTTTCTTGCACATGTTGAGCAAGTATGTTCGCTCCTCCTTCAAAATCTTATCCATTTGGCGGTAGTCATTGACGACAATTTGGTTCTCCATCTGTAATGTCAAATATATCATCAGCATCAATATCTGATCCCTCGGAAAGGATATTACTGACATCAGGCTTCGGCGGTGACAACTGGAACTGAATCAAACCGATCCTGGCCTTCTCCATCCTTGATGGTCCCCCCGAGGCCTTAATAACATTTTGGGTCAAAACCAGGCCGTCCACGAGCTCTGTATCGTCAATGGTTCCTCCGACTTTCTTTACAATGCGGATGTTGTTGAGATCAACGTTCTCAGCGATGGCAGGATTGATGACCTTTAGCACGGCATCAACAGCCATTGGGCCGAGAAGCGAGGAGTATTGAGAGACGATCTTACTGGACAATGATGTACTGGCGGCCTGGAGGAGGGATTGGCGGTCGGTCAGAGCCACGGGAGTGGACATCTCTGTCAAGATCTCAACCGCCTTCGCCGCCGCCCTCTGGAAGGATTCGGCGATGATTGTAGGATGGATACCTATCATATCTCTATGTTAGATAGGCAGTAACATGCACAGCATCTCAATTTTATTCATTACCTTTCCCAAGCAGCTTCTGTGCAGCACCCAAAAGACTTCCGGCGATAACTACTACCGAAGTAGTACCATCACCAGCCTCAACATCCTGCGCAGCTGACAGATCTACCAACTAGTCACCCAACCGTAGCCATCAGCAACGATAATCTAAACCGTAATCCCTCCGGAGTTTGCCTTCATACCATCTTCGCGGCTGGGTGCATTACGGCCATATCTTTCAAGATTGTGTGGCCATCGTTTGTAATCAGTGTGTGACCCTTTCCATTCTGAATCATCTTGTCCATTCCTCTAGGTCCCAGTGAAGTCTATCTCTCCCGTAACTGTAAGCATTGGAATACCATTCCGGAATCGAATTATCATACCCTGATGGCATCGGCAACAGCTGTAGTTATAGAATTCCGCCAGTCAGTCCAGAGCCTCATCCAGATCTGATACAGGTTCCTTACCTCTGGCAGCAATGATATTTGCTGTCCGTACCGCCATCGGCTTCTCCTTCAAACTTGAGGTTGCCCTGTTAGAGCCTGCTTGTGTCGCCATTCTTGTTTTGGTGGGTTTGATATTAGGGGTGGTCTGGTTGTACTTTGATGGTGTTAAATCCGGACAGTTTGGTAATACTGGAGGGGAGCTGCGGGGGTTTATTTTTCGAGGGTCTAGGTACGTTGCCAAGCCACACGCCACTAGAGATTATCGAGATAAGATAAGATCTGGATCTTCACGAAAAATGACTCGGTCCACAATATAGAGTTTAGCTGACCAAAAGTGAAACACATTTCTGCACATATTATTGGATGCATAAATTTTAGATTGCTTAAGTTTCCGTCCAACTGTCACAGCCAGAACTTTGTGATGCTAAAAGAGCAAACAATACAAGTCACATGAACCTTACCAACAAATGAAACACGAGCGATCAGTTTGAAGAGAACGATTTTTTTTATTTTATGACAAGCTAAAAGAATGAAATGAAACCATTCTTTCTCTGGGACATCTTGATATCCATCCATGCCCAGTTTACAAGAATTCGATACCCGTAAGGATACTTTCCCGGTTCCACCACAATTCCACCATAATTCCGTGCCATTACTCGGAAAGAACTCTGCTTTAACTTGTTAGGCACTTGTCAACCTCGTAATCTTGGGGAGTAGGGGGGAGTGCGCACACTTCCTTAGTATTTCGTTGAATCCAGAGCCCCAACCCATACTACGAATGTACCATATCTTCCCTAGCGGAAGACAATATTGTAGTTGGTGTTATTGAAATAGGCCGGAGGGGCTGCGGGAGCCGGGGGGGCTGGAGGAGCAGGAGGAGCAGCTGGAGCAGCTGGAGGCGGGGCTGGAGCTGGAGCGGATGGCTGAGGAGTAGCGAATCCGTACGCACTATGCCAGACGATATGGGCAGGAGCCGGCGCTGGGGCAGGGGCCGGGGCTGGCGGGGCTGGAGCCGGAGGGGGAGGTGGGGGCACAAGATGCCGGGCATAAGTCCACATCACTGGCGCAGCAGGAGGAGCCGGAGGGGCTTGATGGTATTGAACAGTAACAGAGACGCCGTTCAAATTAGGAGGTGCAGCAGGAGCTGGGACAGAGGTCCAAAAACCGGTCTCGGTTTGATAGAACAAGCGTTGACCATCAGCCATTGTGGAACTTTTGATGTAGATGAGAGATAGAGAAAGGGTGATGGTTATAGGGGATGGGAGGTCAGCGATGGGAGGTCAGCGATGGGAGGTGATGTGGTTTTATAGCCTGTTTCAGTGTTTCCGCACAAGCGTACAATGCGTACTATACGTACAACGGGCAGTAACCCTGTCAGATTTTAATCGAGTGATGGTATATGATTTCGCTTGGACTTATTCACAAATATTATGTAACCTTTACTACCTCACACATAAGCTGAGAATCAAGTTAAGCTCAAACTTAATTGAAAATGTGACGCCAATTTAAATGCTCCTGCGGCAATTTTGCTAGCAAATTGATTATATTTGTCTATACGGATCGCTTGAGAAATAGCACCATACACACAAAGGCTTGCCAACTAACTAAAAGCACAAACCAAAACAGACACGAGAAGGTTGAAATTACCCATGCTGCACCGATAAAGATGATCCCAAAACCAACTTTTTTTTAAATGTTGAATGACACGCCTACCCTATACCCAGATTTTATCTTGTTGAAAAACGCCTTTACCAATCCCCGCCCCATACATTCTACCGAAATTGTCATAATAATATACCCCGAAGCCTTTTTGAGTAAGTAATCGAAGTTGAAGACGATTACTCAAGGCTTAATTTATGGAAATGAAAGGAAAAAAGGTTAGATTGACAAAAGAAATATTGGAAAGCTAGTTCAGATCAATAGATCTAGAACTCGAGCTTCTTGGGCTTCTCCCAAGTGAACTCTTGGTTGGTGAAGTGACCTATAACCCAATGATTAGGAAAACGAACACTAGCTGGAAGAAGCGTGCAAACGTACCGTTCTTGGCGGTCTGGAGATAGATGGGCCTGGCAAGGTCCAAGTCCTTGACAATGACACCAGGTCTCAGATCAAAGTTCTTGCGGATAATGGCAACCAACTCGTCACTAGTCTTGTCGGAAGTGCCGTAGGTGTCGACCTAATAGATTATCAGCACGTTAGATATAGGTAAATCTCGTGCAAAGACTATACATACGAAGATAGAAAGAGGTTCGGCAACACCAATGGCGTACGATAGCTGAACAAGAGCACGGCGGGCAAGGCCAGCAGCGACCAAAGACTTGGCAATCCAACGGGCAACGTAGGCAGCAGAGCGGTCGACCTTGGAGAAGTCCTTTCCGGAGAAAGCACCACCACCGTGAGCACCCCAACCACCGTAGGTGTCGACGATGATCTTACGTCCGGTCAAACCGGCGTCACCCTGGGGTCCACCAATGATGAATTGACCAGAGGGTTGAATCTTTGTTGGGTTAGCGAAATCAGGGCAGCTCAAAGACACCGTAAAAGAGATTTCTTACGTGATAGATGGTCTTCTCATCGAGGTACTTGGCAGGAATTGACTTCTTGACAATCTTCTCCAAGATCTCCTTCCTCAACTCTTCGGTTGTAATGTCCTCAGAGTGCTGAGCAGAGACAACGACAGTGTCAACGCGCTTAGGGATGACAGCACCGTTGTCGTGAACGTACTCAACGGTCACCTGGGTCTTGGTATCAGGTCGGAGCCATGGAAGCGAACCGTCACGACGGGCAGCAGCCATATCGGCGTTCAACTTGTGGGCAAGGACAACGGTCAAGGGGAGGAGCTGAGGAGTCTCGTCGGTAGCATATCCGAACATGATACCCTGGTCACCAGCGCCCAACTCTTCGAGAGCCTTCTCATAGTGGAGACCCTGAGCAATATCCTTAGATTGCTGCTCAATGGCAACCAAGACGTTACAGGTGTTGTAGTCAAAGCCCTTCCTTGAGTCATCGTATCCAATGTCCTTGATGGTATCACGGATGATCTTCTGGTAGTCAAGACGGGCGCTGGTGGTAATTTCACCAAAAACCATAATCATACCGGTCTTTGTGGCAGTCTCACAGGCGACCTTAGAGAGGCGGTCCTCGGCCAAGCAGGCATCGAGAACAGCGTCAGAGACCTGATCGCTGTGAAACTGTAAGTACAGGAACTAACATTGATGAACTTTACAAGACCGGAAAGCGGGGTAGTATTCGTGCTACGAATTGTGACAACTTACGCGATCTTGTCGGGATGACCCTCGCCAACTGACTCTGAGGTGAAAAGGAAAGTTCCAGTAGCAACCATCTTGAATTTGGATTTTTTTTTTTCGTGTGAGGTCGGGTTGTAGTAGTGTTGTTGTTGGATGTTGTGTTGATAGAAGAGAAGAAAGGAGGGAGAGGGAAAAAATTTGGCTCTTTTTAGCTTGGACAAGAATGGTGCAATCTGAGGACCCTTTCGGGTATGCAAGGAGCCCCTGTCCCTAGCATATGCCATTTTACAATTTAATTGTCAAGATTTACTGGCCAAGTCACGATGCCATTAAATTATTAGAGCACAGGCGTATTTGCTCATTTCAAATTGGCCAATTGCAAATCGCGACTTTATCTATGACTGGTCGATTTCGTGCCGATATGGCGACATCCGGGCCTATGTTTGTGGTCCCTGCCGCAGGCAAAGTGCCTGAAAGGTTGAGCCTCATACTGAGCAATCAGTGCCAATCATCTTCTTATATGAATCTCTTTTGGCAAACTTCTCCGAAACCTTTCACTTTAAATCAGATATGGGTAATTAAAATCTTAGATCCGTATTGCCAAGGCTGCGGCTCAACTAAGGTTACCAGCATATTTCCCGATTTGGTACTGTACTTTAAAATACTTGCAACTGATGTAAGCCCTCTCGATTTCGCATACTATCCCACCTACATGTAAGTAAATCCAAAGGCAAAGCTTTGAGATCTGTTATTATAACGCTTTGGGGTTCATTATCAATTACGTATACATATATGTACATGTATACTTACATGTATTGTATGGTTGATTCCGCCGGACATACATGTATGTCTACGTTTCTACGGAATTAGGCGCAATACCGAAGAGTACATGTAATCAAAGTTATCGGGCTCTAGGACTTTCTGTAACACAAAGCTATAGAAGGTGTGTGCTTCAGGTGTTTCTGCCCCCAGGATCCCCCCCCCCCCCATATAGAGTACATGTAGGTACATGTACATTTAGTTATGCCCACGAGGCTAATACATGTATTTAATCCAACTTGCAGAAGGTGGGGCGATCGGGTGCTTATGTCACGCAGTAGTAGCTTTCCATATTTGTGTGTCTTTGTGTAGTAAGGGGATAACGAGGATTGTCTATATGTAGTTTTCAAGCACAGGTAGCATGAGGCGATAGAGTGAGATGTAATAGGTACACGTATGTAGATGTAGGTACAATACCGAAATCTAAAAAGGGTGTGGATTTGCTACGTTATCCCCAATGCGCTAACGTAGTAAAATTAAATATACAGTACCAAAAAAGCGGGTGGATCCAGTACTATCTTTGGCAAAATACCGTATTGTTACGGTATTGTTACAGTATTAATATGGTATAATAGTTAGGATTCGGAAGTTTTGCACGATTCCATATTGGTACAGTACTTATTACATCTCCTTTTTTCGTACTGTACTCGTAAATTCATGACGTTTCCGAACACGACTGCTATTGCATACCATACAAAAAAGCGCCAAATCCACCTTTTTGTATGTCATGCAATATTGGTCGTGTTCGGAAACGCTATGAAATTACGAGTAGTATTACTACGGTTTTCTTTTTGAAATGCCGGTTTAATTCCGTATTATTCACTAATCCTATAGTTATATATTATTCACTGATTTCTTCTGAAGTTTCTGTAGTCTGATTGGTGCGGATACCTAACCTGTATAGGAGCATGACACTAGCATGCCCGGCCGGTATTAACTTAGTATAAGGGATCAATTATACTACGGGTGGCCATTACATGTAAATGAGAAATCTTAGAGTTGGGCATAACTGAGTACCCTATGAGAGTCGAGCCAGCCAAGTACCACTACTGGAGCTTGCCACGGGCAACTACTGGAGATGTAAGTGCAAAGTTGATTAACCTGTACATATACTGGAGCTAGTCAACTATATGTAATATAGGTGAGCAAGTACATGTACTGGAGGTGGATGGAGGTGGGAGACCCCGCGGTCTCAGCTAGTCCAAGGCCGTATCCTTGTGATTGTTTTAGAGGAGGAATTCACGGAGACCAGTTGGTTATGCTCAGTGAATTTAAACCCGAGTGGGTGTACTCGACACGGACATTTATTACGAAGCGTTTATTGTGCTCCGAGTTTCCACTTTGATCATCTTTTCTTACAAAAAGATACATGTATATGTAGGTACTAGTACATGTAGTCCGACCGCCAAGACCGGTTATCAAATATTTGTGCTTTCATCGCAAGTATCTACATAGGTGCATACATGTATCCTGCAGAAACAGTGGTTAGTACATGTAGGTTAATTACCAGAAAGTAATGGGTACTTCGTACTATATATAGAAACAGTAGGGTCCTATCCAAACATCCCAGTTGTCGGGGCGAGTGAGCGGGGATGAAGGCGTACATCCTTCAAAATAGCTTGATGAGTCATGTAGACAGGACAAAGGCGGGGCAGCTCGCATTACCCATCAGGATCCAGCAACCGTGAGACGTCAGCATAGGACATTTTTTTCGGAACTTCCCTTCCACATAACGCACGCCACCATTACAGAACACCCTCCTCTTTCATTCGCTTTATAAGGAGTCCCCACCCAGAGCCAACCGTTGAACGCAAGACAAAGTAGAAACGGAAATAAGTTCTCGAGTGACTCAAAGCTCAACTATACACCACAAAAATGCCTATGTAAGCTACAAATTCCTCCAGACAGCTCTCAATTCGTTCAATAAACTGAGAAAAATTTTAGGCTTAAAAATCCAGCAACGAAATACAGGCCGTTCCCGCCTGTCAGTTTACCTGACCGCCAATGGCCAAATAAAACAATTACAAAGGCCCCCAGATGGCTCTCTACAGATTTGCGAGATGGTAACCAGTCGTTGGTTGATCCTATGGTACCTGAGACCTCTACACAAAAATTGCGCAAATACATAGTTTGCTAACTTAGTTTTTCTCCTCGTGAAATAGGACGGTGACCAAAAATGGCGCATGTTCAGGATGCTTGCCGAGCTCGGCTATAAGGAAATTGAGGTTTCGTTCCCTTCTGCATCGCAGACCGACTTTGACTTCACCCGCCGTCTTGTCGAGACACCAGGCGCTGTACCCGACGATGTCTGGCTCCAAGTCCTCTCCCCTTGCCGAGAAGATTTCATTCGCCGCACAATTGAGTCTATGAAGGGCGCCAAAAAGGCAATCATTCACCTATATCTCGCAACTTCAGAGTGTTTCCGTCGGATTGTGTTTGGCATGACCGAGGACCAATCTCTGGAGCTCGCCGTAAAATGCACAAAACTTGTCCGAAGCTTAACCAAAGACAACCCAGATGCGCAGGATACTGAATGGGCCTATGAGTTCTCCCCTGAGACTTTCAGTGACACTCGTCTTGACTTTGCTATTCGTATCTGCGAAGCCGTTAAAGCTGCTTGGGAGCCTACAGAGTCTAACCCAATCATTTTCAACCTCCCTGCGACTGTCGAAATGTCTACTCCCAACGTTTATGCGGACCAAATTGAGTACTTCTGTCGTGGAATCACTGAGCGTGAGAAGATCTGTATTTCTCTGCATCCACACAATGACCGTGGCTGTGCCATTGCCGCTGCAGAACTCGCTCAAATGGCTGGTGCGGACCGAGTCGAAGGTTGCCTCTTCGGCCACGGTGAACGTACCGGTAATGTCGACCTCGTCACTCTGGCGCTGAACCTCTATACCCAGGGTGTCAACCCCAATGTTGATTTCTCAGACATCACCAAAGTCATCGATACGGTTGAAGATTGCACTAAGATCCCTGTTCACCCCCGTGCACCCTATGGGGGCCAGCTCGTTGTATGTGCCTTCTCTGGTTCTCACCAAGACGCCATCAAGAAGGGCTTCAAGGTGCGCGACGATGCGGGCGTTGGTGAAGATGGCCAATGGCAGCTTCCTTACCTCCCTCTTGACCCCGCTGATATCGGGCGTACATACGAGGCGGTTATTCGTGTCAATTCACAGTCCGGAAAGGGTGGTGTGGCATGGGTTATTCAGCGTGCTCTCGACTTAGACTTGCCCCGCGGTCTTCAGATTGCATTCTCAAAGGTCGTACAGAAGCATGCAGATGAGCTCTCCCGCGAGCTGAAGCCACATGAGATCCAGCGTTTATTTGAGACGGAGTATCATCTCAATACACCCTCGAGAATCAGTCTCATTGACTACGAATTCTCAACTGATCGCTCCACTTCGCCGTCCCCGGGACTTGGGAAACAGAATGTTACTCCTCGCCGTACCTTTGCGGGTATCATCTCTATGGATGGGCGTGAGCACTCAATTAAGGGTATAGGAAACGGTCCTATCTCCTCCTTAGCTGATGCGTTGAAGTCGGTAGGTGTCGATTTGGATGTCAGGGACTACAAGGAGCACGCTATTGGACAAGGGAGGGATGTGAAGGCAGCATGTTTCATTGAGTCCCTGATCAGAACACAGGAGGGTGGTAAGGAGACGGTATGGGGCGTGGGTATTCACGAAGATGCGGCCCAGGCCAGTTTGATTGCCGTCTTAGGTGCGGCTAGTAAGGTATATTTCAACAATCACCCTTTTATATTTTTGGCCATAGAAATGAAACTAATCAACGATATATAGCTCGTATCATCTCGTCCTGGTACGCCACTGCCACTACAGCGAAAGGAGCACCTTGAAGCTCCAAGGTCTAGCCTGGCTTCAGAGATAAAGGTTAACATTAATGGCTTGGAACAAGCTGCTGCGAATGGAGTACATTGATTTCTTTCTGATATTCCTGTTGATTCAAAAATTTCTTTATTTCATATCAAAACCCAAATTTGGAAGGGCTGGAAAAGATAAGTGGTGTGGGCAAGATATCAGGTTATGGGTTTGAAAAGTTTTGTTTTTAGTTTGACATCACGCAGACGCGTTGTGCTTATTTTACCCACGTTCGTAAATAAGTAGAATAAGAAAACCATAACTTTGTGCGTAAATTCTTTTGTTGAGATATCTAGAGCATGAATCGAGCAAATCTTGAAGTATTGAAAGTGATTCTCATGATCACGGACTACAATTCTTCATTACTACCACTGGACTAGTAATTAGCCACGCCAAGCCAACCTAGATAAGATAAGATTAGCCTAGACTCATAGAAAAACTCTACATTCCTTGCATAGTTCGAAATCTCCATACCTTCAACCACCTATCGATATCTGCTATGCGGGGAGTGTTCCTCAAAGTCCCCACTGTAACCACCAAGCGCCTATTTGCAACTGTCACAAACACACCCCTTACACACATCATGGCTGCTGCAAACACCACCACTGCCACCGCCGCGAAAAAGGTGATCCTGGCGCCTATGGTTCGTACCGGAGAACTTCCAACTCGGCTTCTTTCACTCAAGTACGGTGCCGATATGGTCTGGGGTCCCGAGATTGTCGACAAAGCGATCATTGGTTGTAAGCGCGTCATCAACAAGCGTACTGGAACTATCGACTTTGTCAAGCCCTCCGGCGGTGCCAGGGGAGAAGAGAAGGTGGTTTTTAGGACGCACCCGGAGATCGAGGGTGGCAAGGTCGTATTTCAGATGGGCACGGCGAATGCGGAGCTGGCGGTAGAGGCGGCAAAAGTTTTAGTTTCGAGGGGAGAGGATGGGGAGAGGGAGGGAGGGACGGTAGTGGCAGGAGTGGATGTCAATTCAGGGTGTCCAAAGGTATGTGAATGCCATTGCGAAATAATTATATTTGAGCAGAGAAGTGAATAGGTCAAGGAGGAGTCGCCTGCACTCATGATGTCTTTATACATAGTCGATATCCACCAGACACACCTACCCCTACCCCACTCCCGCTCCACTCGCCCACTGCTCCCGCTGCCCCCGGTACCTTCATTTATAATTATTCTCGTACTCATATCTACTATAGCACTTCAGCATTCATGCCGGAATGGGCGCCGGGCTACTTAAAAACCCCGATAACCTCGTCGCTATTCTCACCTCCCTCGTCACTCAAATTGGAATCCCCCACTCCCTCCCCATATCCGTTAAGATCCGCCTGCTCGAACCCCACTCCGAGACCCTAAAGCTAGTGGAGCGCCTCTGCACGACCGGTATCTACCGGCTTACCCTACATTGCCGTACCATCCCACAGCGCCCCCGTGATCCTGCGATCCGCGATGTCCTTGCAGACGTCGCAAACATTTGCCATGCGGCAGGCGTGGAATGTATCGCTAATGGTGACGTCCTAAGCCGGTCTCACGCGCTCCAGCTCTGCGATGAGTACGGTGTCGATGGGTGCATGATCGCCCGCGCAGCGGAGGTTAACATGAGTGTATTCCTTCCTGACAAACCATTGCCATGGAAAGAAATAGCAGATGAATTTGTCAAGACTGCCGTGAAGATTGAGAGTCACTTTACAAATACCAAATTCGTATTGGGTAGGATCATACCCGGTAAAGATCCCATCTACCAAAAGGTGCACCAAGCGAAGACACACGAGCAGATTTGCGACATTCTGGGAATCCCATATGAGCCTCTTTCCCCTGCCATCGTGGAAGAGATGTCGGTGGAGGGAAAGGCAACTACAAAAGCTGTGGAGAAAGCAAAGAGTGTGAGTGCGACTGCGAGGGCTGCAGGAGGTGTTGTAGCGCCGCGAAAAGAGGGGAGGAAGTTGGCAGAGCGAGGAGTTGGGTCGGCTGCCAATCTTAAGGCAGCTGCCGAGAGAGAGGCGGAGATTGCTACTGTGGCCATTCCGGAGCAGGCCTCAGTGTCTGTATAGCGGACCACCTATTGAATCAATGTTGCAACATAAACGTAAAGTACTCAGCTTTCTTTTCTTGGGCTCAAGGCGAAAATATCATGTAGATTGGCGTTTTTGTTTTCCTTTTTACTTTATTGGGCTGCATACACTTGTCGGGTTTATAGTTAGTATCTAGTGAGGCCAATTGTACAAAAGTTTGGACGTTCAACTATCTAGTTAATTTATGTTTCGTGCGGTATATATGGGTGGATGAATGTAGCATCGATGTCGAGTGATATTTTGTGTTCCAGACGGTAACCGCCTTGGATAAGCGGTCGCCCGTAGGTAGTACCTTATCTGAATCGACATCGTGGGAGGAGTAACTTTAGATACATGTAGATTATGCGGGAAGAGCATAAGATGTCGGACCCGAGAAAAGGGCAAATGAGTATCACGACAATATTCACACCCGGTAATCTTATGGCCGTCTAGTTGGGAGTGACAGTGGCAATCTGGCCGTTAGGGCTCCAGTAAGACAGGCTTGTATTATCGAAAGACGTCGAGACAATATTATAGGTATTAGGCTCTGCTCCGGACATAATGCCTTGTCAAACGCGGTTGTGTCGGGCAGGGATTTTTTGTTATGAAGTGATGCGTGGGAAATGCATGTACTCTACCTGAATTGCTGCCGTATCACTATCGTGGTGTTCCATACTGAGTGACAATAAATGACTGAATCTAGGTCTCGTGTGACTGCGTGACTGCGTGACTGCAATCGTAATCATAAGATATCTAGCTAAATCCTTTGCCCGAGTGCTCGCTAGGTAGAACTACGTAATCAATTGCGTGAACTTCCCCGCCGTCAAACCCCTACCCCAAACAGAATTATACCGCGATCCCGGATGCACGGCCATTGCGGTCAAGTTTTATGGTAATATGCAGAGTAGAATTTATTGTGTTTCAAGGGCAAGTTTTTCCAGACTGTTATCTCGATAGGCCACGCGTCAGTATATACATTGTATCCTCAGAGTTGATCGCATCCTGTGCTCTAGAGTACTAGGTGGATCTTCACGTGACCCCCAAACTATTCAAAATCCGGGAAATGCAGAGAAGAAGAGAAAGAAGAAGCCATGTGGTCGGGATAGATAAACAAGTCGCTGCCAATTGTCGGGCCCTGCAGTAACTGATTGCGAAAGTGCAATAATTGTTTTATGATTGGACGGGTAAGTAAGGAGAAACGCCGTTAGAGCTATTTTAATAAATTCCCCAAGTGGCTGCATAAAGTAAGCCGGACACATTGCAACCCGGACCTATCCTTGGTGCTAGTAGAGTAGATGTGGGAGAAATACGACGAACTCCCGTCACCTCATCACCACCCAAGAAACCCAAGAACCACATCTAACGTGTACCTATCTCCTACCTACCACACCGACACAAAAGCGCCCTCGCATCATAACAGAAGCACGAATTAAACGAGGAATCCAATACCGGTCACTCCGACCGCGACAGCAAACATGTCCGACGAAAAGGATCTTCGGGCTGACGTCGATGTTAGTGCCAGTATTGAGGCACCGTCTACCTCGATGCCTACAAAGGAAACAGCGGAGACGAAGCATACTGAGATGGTTACGGGTTCAGTACCCGTAACTGTGAACGGGGATGCTTCTGACGACGAAGAGAGCTTCACTGAGGTCAAGATCTCAGATGTACACGAAGAGGATGAAGAAAAGGAGCAGGAAATCGAAGCTCCTCAACCTAAGCTTACACCAATAGCCGACATTCCCGTTGTTTTAGAACCCGCAGAGGAGGCAAAAGAAAAAAGGGATGAACACCTAGAGAAGGACAGCCCTGTCGAGTCCACGCCAGTATCGACGTCTCCTGTCGAGGAGTCTACAGAAAAGGTTGAAGAAACAGAATCACCCCCGGATGCACCGGAGAAGAACAGCCCCATTGAAGCTAAAGCAGCTGCACTGAAATCGTCGGAAGAAGCATCCACTTCATCTCCGGAGAAGTCCCCGCCTCCCACAGTCTCCGTCCCGGACATGCGGGACCGGGAGCTACCACCTCTTCCGAACCCACCACTTACCCCAAAAGCTGGAATTCCACTCCCAATCTCTACAGACCGACCAGTTCAGTCTGAAGCACGGACTGCCCCCCCACACCTATGCGCGAATCCTCAAAAAATGCACCTACCACGAGCTCTGCGCGAGTCACTTCCGCGTCACTAACTACGAATAATAGTGCAGGGCAGCCGTCATTATCATCGATGGTTTTTGTAGTCCAAGCACTCGAATCGATCGGCGCTTCAAAAGAAGGGAAGCGGAGAAAGTCTTTAGGAGAAAGTGTGCAGCGGGCTCTTACAGCTATCAGAGATGCAGCTCCCCAACTACCGCCGGATCCAGCAGTCGTATTTGAGCCATTACAGATAGCATGTACTGTCCAAAATACAGCTGTTGTTACTACTGCGCTGGATTGTATCGGGAAACTTATCAGCTACTCATACTTTTCAATACTACCGCCGGCACCCCCGGCGGAACCTGAAAGAGGAAATGAGAAGATGCCAGCGCCTGAAACGCCGCTCATTGAGAAAGCAATTGAAACTATCTGTGATTGTTTTCAGGGCGACACAACCCCAGATATGGTGCAGCTCCAGATTATCAAAGCCCTTCTAGCAGCAGTCCTGAACGACAAAGTAATTGTGCACGGCGCAGGCCTATTGAAGGCTGTCAGACAAACCTACAATATCTTTCTTCTTTCACGAAATAGCCCGAACCAAATGACAGCACAAGGAACATTAACACAGATGGTTCATACAGTGTTCGAGCGTGTCAAGATCCGGATTGCAATGAAGGAAGCAAATCTAGCTGCATCTGCTAATAGCGGCAATGAATCCCCAGCTGCGCCCAATAGACCCTCAAGCATAGATGGGGATAGTGTTGTCGGGGGCTCAGAGGTGCTGTCTTCAGCTGGAGGAGAAAAAGTCCCAGAGAAAATCACGCTGCAAAGTTTTGAGAACCGAAAATCGTTCGACGATGAGCGAATTGC